CATCCAAACAAAAAAATCAATAAAGAAATCCTAGATCTAAAACATACCATAGATCAAATGGACCTTACTGATGTCTACAGAACATTTCATCTAATTTCTACACAATATACATTCTTCTCAGCAGCCCATGGAACCTTCTCCAAAATAGATCATATCCTAGGGCACAAAGCAAGCCTCAGCAAATATAAGAAAGCAGAAATTATACCATGCATTCTATCTGATCACAATGCAATAAAACTAGAACTCAACAACAAAAATAAAGATAAAAAACATGCAAACAGCTGGAACCTGAATAACTCATTGCTTAACGAACAATGAGTCACTGAGGAAATTAGAAGCTTCCTGGACGTCAATGAAAATGAAAACACAACCTACTGGAACCTATGGGACACAGCAAAGGCAGTCCTGAGAGGAAAGTTTATAGCCATGAGTGCATATATTAAAAAGATTGAAAGATCTCAAATCAATGACCTAATGATACATCTCAAACTCCTAGAAAAACAAGAACAAGCAAAACCCAAAACAAATAGAAGGGAAATAATAAAAATAAGAGCTGAAATCAATGAAATAGAAACCAAAAAACATACAAAGAATTAATGAAACAAAAAGTTGGTTCTTTGAAAAAATAAACAAGATCGATAGACCCCTGGCAAACCTGACTAAAATGAGGAGAGAAAAAACCCAAATCAGTAAAATCAGGAATGCAAAAGGGGAGATAACAACAAACACCATGGAAGTCCAGGAAATCATCAGAGACTACTTTGAGAACCTATATTCAAATAAATTTGAAAATCTTGAAGAAATGGACAGATTTCTAGATACTTATGATCATCCAAAACTGAACCAAGAGGACATTAATCACCTGAATAGATCTATAACACAAAATGAAATTGAAGCAGCAATCAAGAGTCTCCCAAAAAGAAAAGTCCAGGACCTGATGGATTCTCTGCTGAATATTATCAGACTTTTAAAGAAGAACTGATACCAACCCTCCCTAAACTGTTCTATGAAATACAAAAGGGAAGGAAAACTGCCCAACACATTTTATGAAGACAGTATTAGACTTATCCCAAAACCAGGCAAAAACACCTCCAAAAAGGAGGCCAATCTCCTTAATGAACATTGATGCAAACATTCTCAATAAAATAATGGCAAACGAAATTCAACAACACATCAAAAAGATCATTCACCACGACCAAGTAGGCTTCATCCCAGGAATGCAGGGGTGGTTCAACATACGAAAATCAATAAATGTAATAACCACATTAACAGAAGCAAAGACAAAAACCACTTGATCATCTCAATAGATGCAGAAAAAGCCTTTGATAAGATCCAACACCATTTCATGATAAAAGCTCTAAGAAAACTAGGAATAGAAGGAAAGTACCTCAACATTATAAAAGCTATATATGACAAACCTACAGCCAGCATTATACTTAATGGTGAAAAACTGAAACCATTCCCTCTAAAATCAGGAATGAGACAAGGATGCCCACTATCTCCACTCCTATTCAACATAGTACTGGAATTCCTAGCCAGAGCAATTAGGCAAGAAGAAGGAATAAAAGGAATACAAATAGGTAAAAAACTGTCAAAATATCCCTATTTGCAGATGATATGATCCTATACCTTAAAGACCCAAAAAACTCTACTCAAAAGCTTCTAGACACCATCAATAGCTATAGCAAGGTAGCAGGATATAAAATCAACATAGAAAAATCATTAGCATTTCTATACACTAATAATGAACAAACTGAGAAAGAATATATGAAAACAATTCCATTTACAATAGCCTCAAAAAAAATCAAATACCTAGGTGTAAACTTAACAAAGGATGTGAATGACCTCTACAAGGAAAACTATAAACTTCTGAAGAAAGAGATTGAGGAAGACTATAGAAAGTGGAGAGATCTCCCATGCTCATGGATTGGTAGAATCAACATAGTAAAAATGTCTATACTCCCAAAAGTAATCTACATGTTTAATGCAATTCCCATCAAAATCCCAATGACATTCATCAAAGAGATTGAAAAATCTACTGTTAAATTTATTTGGAAACACAAGGGCCAACGAATAGCCAAGGCAATACTCAGTCAAAAGAACAATGCTGGAGGTATCACGATACCCGACTTCAAACTATATTACAAAGCAATAGCAATAAAAACAGCATGGTACTTGTGTAAAAACAGACATGAAGACCAGTGGAACAGAACAGAGGACCCAGATATGAAGCCACACAACTATAACCAACTTATCTTTGACAAAGGAGCTAAAAATATAAGATGGAGAAATAGCAGCATCTTCAACAAAACCTGCTGGAAAACTGGTTAGCAGTCTGCAAAAAACTGAAACCAGATCCATGTTTATCACCCTATACCAATATTAACTCAAAATGGATTAAGGCCTTTTTTTTTTTCCTTTTTGAGTTATTTATTTATTTATTTATATCCTATCTCCAGGGTGTACTTTGGCTTTGTTTTACATCAGTAAATCTGTCTAAATCTTTTTTTTTTTTTTCATTTTTCTTTTATTATTCATATGTGCATACAAGGCTTGGTTCATTTCTCCCCCCTGCCCCCACCCCCTCCCTTACCACCCACTCCTCCCCCTCCCTCCTCTTACCACCCACTCCCCCCCTCCCTCTCCCCCCGCCAATACCCAACAGAAACTATTTTGCCCTTATTTCTAATTTTGTTGTAGAGACAGTATAAGCAATAATAGGAAGGAACAAGGGTTTTTGCTGGTTGAGATAAGGATAGCTATACAGGGCATTGACTCACATTGATTTCCTGTGCGTGGGTGCTACCTTCTAGGTTAATTCTTTTTGATCTAACCTTTTCTCTAGTACCTGTTCCCCTTTTCCTATTGGCCTCAGTTGCTTTAAGGTATCTGCTTTAGTTTCTCTGCGTTAAGGGCAACAAATGCTAGCTAGTTTTTTAGGTGTCTTACCTATCCTCACCCCTTCCTTGTGTGCTCTCGCTTTTATCATGTGCTCATAGTCCAATCCCGATCAAGGGCCTTAATATCAGACCCTAAACTCTAAAGTTGGTACAGGAAAGAGTAGGAAATACTTTGGAACTAATAGGCATAGGCAAGGACTTTCTCAATGGAACCCCAGCAGCCTAGCAACTAAGAGATAGCACAGATAAATGGGACTTCATAAAACTAAAAAGCTTCTGTTCATCAAAAGAAATGGTCTCTAAACTGAAGAGAACACCCACAGAGTGGGAGAAAATATTTGCCAGCTACACATCAGACAAAGGACTGATAACCAGAATATATAGGGAACTTAAAAAACTAAATTCTCCCAAAACTAATGAACCAATAAAGAAATGGGCAAGTGAACTAAACAGAACTTTCTCAAAAGAAGAAATTCAACTGGCCAAAAAACACATGAAAAAAATGCTCACCATCTCTAGCCATAAAAGAAATGCAAATTAAAACCACACTAAGATTTCACCTCACCCCTGTTAGAATAGCCATCATTAGCAACACCAGTAATAAGAGGTGTTGGCGAGGATGGAAAAAGGAACCCTTTTACCCTGCTGGTGGGAATGCAAAATTAGTACAACTCTGGAAAAAAATTTGGAGGCGGTCTTAAAAATCTAAACATAGATCTACCATATGATCCAGCAATACCACTCTTGGGGATATACCCAAAAGAATGTGAAAAAATTCAAAAACAGGTTACTCCAAACAGGCACTTGCACACCCATGTTTATTGCAGCAGTATTCACAATAGCCGAGATATGGAAACAGTCAAGATGCCCCACTACTGATGAATGGATTAAGAAAATGTGGTATTTATACACAATGGAATTTTATGCAGCCATGAAGAAGAATGAAATGTTATCATTCGCAGGTAAATGAATGGAACTGGAGAATATCATTCTGAGTGAGGTTAGCCTGGCCCAAAAGACCAAAAATTGTATGTTCTCCCTTATATGCGGACATTAGATCAAGGGTAAACAGAACAAGGGGATGGGACTTTGATCACATGATAAAGCTAGAGCACACAAGGGAGGTATGAGGATAGATAGGTAAGACACCCAAAAAACTAGACAGCATTTGTTGCCCTCAATGCAGAGAAACTAATGCAGATACTTTAAAGTGACAGAGGCCAATAGGAGAAAGGGACCAGGAGCTAGTGAAAAGGTTAGTTCAAGAAGAATTAATTTAGAAGGTAACACACATGTACAGGAAAGCAATGCGAGTCAACTCCCTGTATAGCTATCCTTATCTCAACTAGCAAAAACCCTTGGTCCTTCCTATTATTGTTTATACTCTCTCTTCAACAAAATTAGAGATAAGGGGAAAATAGTTTCTGCCTGGTAGCGTGGGGTGGAGGGGAGAGGGAGGGGGTGGGGGGAAGAGGGAAAAAATGACCCAAACATTGTATGCACATATGAATAAAAGAAAAAGAAAGAAAGAAAGGAAGAAAGAAAGAAAATCTTTGGTCTTTTAAAAAAATTTCAGAAGTGTTTAGGAACCAGATTGTTAAAATAACTCTTTGAACCAATATTATAAATGCTGGCAGAAATGCAGAAGTTTTTATTAATTTGTATCATTCAAAAAATACTGTTTATTAATGGATTAAGGAATCATGATTTCTGTTTACATGAGGCTTCCACTAACTGGAGTTAAATACACCGAGAAACTCAAGATTTATTGAAAGAGATTCAGATGTTTAAAGTTGTTTTAATAAGTGGCAGTTTAAATAAGTTTAGGGTAGGATGATCCAGGTTAAGTAGCTCTACGGTACACAGATTGAAGACCTGATTTCCTTAGGGTTCGTTTCATATATTACAGTTTAAGTTCAGAAGGTCTCTGTTAGAATAAATAGGAGTGTTAAGGAAGATGTAGGTGTACAAATTAAGGCCTAAATCAATAATTGGATTCTAAAAACAAGATACTTATGCCATTTTAAACTGTATTATTCTCTGGACAATCTTATCTCAACAAGTTTCTTTAAATATATGGTATCTTTCTTAGTTTCTTACCCCAGTAAAATCTCTATAAGACTGGGAGAAGTAGAGATGAGCAGCAGGGCCAGATTTACTTCGAAGTTCTTTTATTTCTTCTTGGGATTCATGTAACATTCCCAGACATTCCATGTTCCTGTCTTGTAACTCATGAAGCTGAAAGGAAGGTGGTAGTGTATTTTACTATCTCCTCAAAACAACAATGGGGAAAGCACAAAACCCCTGTGAATAAAGGATTTTGTGGGGATAAGTATTCATTTTACCGACAGGACTAGCTGACTGCATAAATATTATTTTAACAATACAAAAACTCTGAAATAAACAGTAAAGAGAGTGTATTTATTTCAAACTGCTAGAATTGGGGTATCTTGCTCAAAATTATCCCAAAATGAGATTTCTCCAAACCTGAAATGTAGCCGAGACAACCAGACCTATCAATTTAATCTTTCACAGTTCATACCTAGAAAACTTACAGAGGAATTATAATAGCTATGGTTAAGTAAGGTTTAGCATGATAATAGGTTTAAACATCACTCTGAAGTCTGTAAGTGACAAGATTTTAGATGTCACAGGGTGCTCAACTTGGTTTTTTTCTCTTGTTCCAGAATCTTCTTTTATTTCTAGATACACTAGTCTAGTGAGAGAGAGAGAGAGAGAGAGAGAGAGAGAGAGAAAGAGAGAGAACCAGCTCATCGGAATCACCAGTCACCAGGGCTGGGTATGTTTATTGAAAATGCACATTCTAGGCCCTGATTCTAGACCAGCTGAATTAGAAACTCTTGGCATGGTGTCTGGAAATCTCCATTTAAAACATGTTCTCCCAGGTGACTCTCTCTTTTTTGTTTCCTTTTAAAGATACAGATTTATTCATTGTTTTAAATATCAAACACTTCCAAAATCAGAGTGTTGGGTACCATGCTTCTGAATCACATCTGTGCCACAGCACTCTGAAAATCGATCAGTTCCTTTTTATCATCCTCTATCTACTTCCTACTAGGTGTCCAATTCAGTGACAAAACCTGAAAAGTCAGATTTTCTGAAAGTGGACATGACACAACAGTCTCATGAATTTTCATCTCCTGTCATTTGCCAAAGATGAAAACACCCAAAATCCAGACATCTTGACTTTGATTATTAAAGGGCTACTAAGTCAGTTAAGTTAGGATTTTCACATCACTGAAAAGCATCTGGGGAGTCTGATTTAAGACACAGGGATGCTTAAAGTAATTTGTGGAAACCTAGCATTTTAACCTGTTATCAGAGAATGTAGAAGTGGAATCTTACATTTGCATTGAGCCTAGTGATTTTAATACCTCTGAAAGGTCATAAAATATATTCAAACTCTTTAAAAGTGGACATTGAGATCTATTTCTAGAATTTCTAAACCAACTAGCTTGCCTGGTTGATTTCTTCAGCCAAAACATAGACAGGAAAAAGTACAATTTAGATGTCTGGTGTTTCCTTCATTAAGTACCCACAGCAGACCTTTATAATAAGAACAGTACAGTAACTCCATGAATGAGCCTAATTTCCTGATCTTAACATTTCCCCATAAAACAGCTGCTCCAAGTCTTAGAACAAGTCTGAGTTTCAATAAGCTCAGAAATATAAATGCAGCAAACTTGCAAAAAACATATGTCGTTTGGAGGTTTCATTATACTTCTTCATTTTTATGTTTTGATGATACATATTTAGGTTTTGTTGTTGTTCAAGTATCTGTGTTTGAATATGGCATAGCAATTGCTTTTAAGTTATTAGAGCTTAAAGCTGCAGGAAATCTTCCGGAATACTCTGTGTAACTCCTGAGTCTCAGGAATCTACTAGACCTCTTCATCCTAGGTGAATCTTACCCATGCCAAACCACCATCAAGTTACATCTAATACACAGAATATTTATGTAGTTAGAAAAAAAAAAGGGTTTTGACACTTCTCCTGACATACCTGCAAAAACACTTACAATTAGAAATTATCTTATTTTTAAAATTGTTGGGCTATTTACAGTTTACAGTAGAATACTGGTAAAAAGGTCATATACTCCTAAAGAATCTAATATAAGTCAAGATTTTTCCCTATTAATCAAGGACATTGTCGCTATTAGTTTTAAAGACAGGACTTTTAAAAAATGCTTTATATCTTAGGTCATATAATTTCATCTTCATCTTTTGTTCTTATTTTCCAAATCTGCTAATTCCCCTTTAATAATTCTTACTTACAAAGGTTATTCCTCCCTTTCTGAATTACACAAGATAAAGGAAGATTTCATTACCTCCATTGTCAATTGTCGCTGGGCATCTTTGGAAGCTTGTAAATGAAGTCTTAGTTCTTCCTTCTCAATCACATGCTAACAGCATATTAAAACAAACATGTGAGGCCATATAAAATATAGCTACTTTCTTCCTTTTAAATAACATTTTAAGAGTTTCTCTCTGGGGATAGTCTTAAAGCCTATAAAAGATAAACTTTTCTAAAGTCAATTAGGAGCAATAAATTGAGCAGAACAGAAAAGGCACAAGGTGTTCAGAGGACAATGAGCATAATTCATAATAATTCATGCCACAACTTTCTGAGGAAAATCGAACTCCATTTTGAGAGAGACATAGTGACTTGAAAGTAGTTATTCATGACACTTTAGTGAATAAAGCAGATTAAAACAGCAATCAGATTAAGGTATTTAAAAAAGGCAGGGGCCATGGTTATTTTGGTCAACGGATTAGCACTCAGCAGAGTATGTAGTACTAGGTCAATGGTTAGCAAACTCCAGCTGTTTGAGTAAACCTACTTCTTTAAGTTTGTGCTGAAGATCTACAATCTGGGACAAGAGCGAGGAGATCTCTTCTTGGTATCGAATCAGTTCATCACTTTTTCCTGACAATTCTTCAGTCATTCTGGACATCTGAGCATTTGTTTCACCTTGGAAGCAAAGTAAAAATTTAAAAATTAATATAAAGGTAAGGCATGAATTGGTAAACAATAGCCTGTAGGCCAGATTCTTATTTATAACAAACAGTGAACTATCATGAATAGATTTTTCTTTAATATAAGATAGGAAAATAAAGTTTTTTCTGAGAAATGCTAATGCTGAGAATTGAATAGGAGACAATGACACTAATAAGAGAGATGACCTGTAATGGCAAACAGGCTAAACTTTTGCTTGAAAAATTTTCTTTGAAAGAGACATTTGCTGTAATTTTTCTCTTTATGAAGAATAAAAGACTGAATGGAAAGCTAGGTAAATTATGTGTCTTTGCAAGTGCTGAGTGGTAATTTGAGAACTCTTCAGGAGCATAAAATCCCACTTACAATGAAAATCAACCTTAACAAATCTAACAAAGGAACATTTCCAGAAAGGAACAGTAATAGTCCATGACAGAACATGATAAAGCAAGCTAATGAGATGCTTCTGGAAGGGAGAGACTTTCCGAGATACCTAGAGAACTAAGTAGGACCTCTACAATAATCCAGAGAACTAAGTAGGACCTCTACAATAATCCTTATAGCCTAGAGTTCTTGCACACACATGAAATAGAACCTTCTCAATTCCATTGGGGAAATATGCCTTTTGTAACAAACTCATCATTCAAACATAAGCAAAAACAAAACAATTTTTCAATGTCATGTAAACTATTTTTAAGTAGACAAAAGCCTCACCAATTTCAAAGGATGTTAAGGAGGTAGGAGACCTGGAGTTGAACTTTTTACAGTCACTTTTTTGTTTTCTAAAATAGTACTGGAGGAGATTCAATTTTGTTTTTCTTCTGGTTCTCTATTATTTTGTTACTCTAAGGTATCCCATTTTGAGACCCACAGTCAAAATGAATTGATGTGACTGTATCACATTGCCCCTTTCAACATAAAAGGTTATATATTTAATTAAATACCTTGTTCTAGTGACAATCTTTAGCCACAATTTAAAGGAATTATTTTAGTTAACATTCAACCCAAAATATATTCCTGTAAAAACACATAATTGACACTTAATAAATAAATACTTATTGAATGTCAGGCTTTGTATCTTTTTTTTTTGCTGTGCTGGCATTTGGACCCAGGTCTTCAGCCTTGCTAGCTAGGCACTTTACCACTTGAACGCCTCTGGCCCTTTTTGCTCTGCTTATTTTCAAGATAGGGTTTCACTTTTTGCTCAGGCCAGTCTGGACCATGATCCTATTTTACATTTCCCACTGTCACTGGAAGATAGGCACATTCCACCATGCCCAGCTTTTTTCTATTGAGATGGGGTCTCATGAACTTTTTTTTTTTTTTGCCTCACTGTCCTGGAACTACGATCCTTCCAATCTTAGCCTCCAGAGTAGCTTGGGGTGAAAGGCATGGCCCACTAAACTCAGCTATCAGTTGAGATGGGGTCTCAAGAACTCCCTGTCCAAGCTGGCCTTGAATTATGATCCTCTGAGCTCAGACTCCTAAGTAGCTAGGATTACAGGCATGAGCCACAATTGCCCAGCCTTTTATCCCATCTTTTAAGCTCTAGTTCTATCACTTACCAGTTTTCTGACTTTGGCAAATCATATCCCCTATGTGACTACTTCTTCACAAACAAAATGAGAGCTTTTGTTCCTTTTTCTCCAACATGCTATTACTTATATATAGAAATATAGGTCTTTATTTAAGAATGATGGCTATTTGAAGCAAATATATTTCATAAAAATACATATAGTATCTTATTTAGGGTTGTGGGTTCAATGTGATATTCTAATATTTTTCAGTAACTTCTATGGTCTGCATAGGTTTGTCCCTCAGAGGTTCATGTGTTGGAAGCTTGGTCCCCAGGGTGGTGGTGTTGAGGTGGTGGAACCTTTAAGAGGTGAGGCCTAGTGGAAGATATTTGGGTCATGGGGGTACCACTGACAAAAGGTGTTCTCTCCAAGTGGGCTCATTTTCTAGACAGCTGGTTATTATAAAGCAAGACCACCACATGTGCCCCTTCTGCACATAGCCAATTTCCTTTCTGTTTCTCTGCCATGTTGTGAGCCAGCCAGAGGATTCTCACTAGGATGCAGGTGCCATGCTGTTTTGACCCTCTAGTCACCAGAATTGTGAGCCAAATAAGCCTCTTTATAAAGTTACATAGTCTCAAATATTTTGTTATAACAACACAAAAGAGACTAAGATAGTAAACAATTTAAATTGTTTCTTTTTATTGTCTTTCGTGACTTTATTTTTTTTGGTTTATTTATTCATTTATTCATATGTGCATACATTGTTTGGGCCATTTCTCCCCCGTGCTCCCTCCCTCTTCCCCCCAACCCCCTCGCTTCCAGGCAGAACCTGTTCTGCCCTCTTCTCCAATTTTGTTGAAGAGAAGACATAAGCAATAATAAGAGACACAGCGTTTTTGCTAGTTTGAGATAAGGATACAGAGAGAGTCCTAGCATTGCTTCCATGCACATACTTATTACAACCCGAACTGGTTCATTTCTACCAGACCTCTTTTGTTGAAGAGAAGACATAAGCATAATAAGAAGAGACACAGCGTTTTTGCTAGTTTGAGATAAGGATACAGAGAGAGTCCTAGCATTGCTTCCATGCACATACTTATTACAACCCGAACTGGTTCATTTCTACCAGACCTCTTCACCATTTCCTGGTCACCCTCGCATATTGACCTCTGTCATTTTAAGGTTATTGTATTAGCTCCTCTAGAGTGGGCACATCAAACATTTCAAGTTTTGGGTTTTCTACCTTTCTCTATTCCTCCTGTATGTGTTCTCCCCTTAGCGTGTGTTCCATGTCCAATAATATTACTGCATTTGTTTTAGGTCTAAAGTCTGCATATGAGGGAGAACATATGATTTCTGGCCTTCTGAGCCTGGCTAACTTCGCTTAATATGATGTTCTCCAGTTCCATCCCATTTATTTGTGAATAACAAGATTTCATTCATCTTCATGGCTGAGTAAAATTTCATTGTGTATAAATAACACATTTCTTAATCCATTCATCAGTAGTGGGGCATCTTGGCTGTTTCCATAACTCGGCTATTGTGAATAGTGCTGCAATAAACATGGGTGTGCATGTGCCTCTGGAGTAACCTGAGCCACATTCCTTTGGGTATATCCCCAGGATTGGGATTGCTGGGTCATATGGCAGACCTATGTTTAATTTTTTAAGAAATCTTCATATTGTTTTCCAAAGTGGTTGTACTAGCTTACATTCCCACCAGCAGTGTATGAGGGTTCCTCTTTCCCCACATCCTTGCCAACATCTGTTGGTGGTATTTTTGATGACAAGCTATTCTAACAGGGGTGAGGTGGAATCTTAGTGTGGTTTTGATTTGCATTTCCTTTATGGCCAGGGATGGTGAGCATTTTTTCATGTGGTTTTTGGCCATTTGGATTTCTTCCTTTAAAAAAGTTCTGTTTAGTTCAGTTGCCCATTTCTTTATTGGTTCATTGATTTTGGGAGAATTTAGTTTTTTGAGCTCCCTGTATATGCTGGTTATCAGCCTTTGTCTGATATATAGTTAGCAAATATTTTCTCCCACTCTGTGGGTGATCTCTTCAGTTTAGAGACCATTTCTTTTGTTGTGCAGAAGCTTTTTATTTTCATGTAGTCCCATTTGTCCATCCTTTCTCTTAGTTGCTAGGCTGTTGGGGTTCTAGTGAGGAAGTCCTTGCTATATCTATTGCTTCCAGAGTATTCCCTGCTCTTTCTTATACTAACTTCAGAGTTTTTGGTCTGATATTAAGGTCCTTGATCCATTTTGAGTTGATACTAGTACAGCGTGATAGACATGGATCTAGTTCCAGTTTTCTGCAGGCAGATAGCCAGTTTTCCCAGCAACATTTGTTAAAGAGGCTATTTTCTATTGTATGTTTTTGGCACCTTTGTCAAAAATAAGGTGGGCATAGCTGTGTGGATTCATATCTGGGTCCTCTATTCTGTTTCACGGATCTTCATTTCTGTTTTTGTGCCAGTACCATGCTGTTTTTATTGCTATTACTTTGTAATATGGTTTGAAGTTGGGTATTGTAATACCTCCAGCATTGCTTTTTTTGCTGAGTATTGCCTTAGCTATTCGCAGTCTCTTGTGTTTCCAAATGAACTTTTGGTAGATTTTTCAATCTCTGTGATGAATGTCATTGGAATTTTGATGGGAATTGTGGTGAACATGTAGATTGCTTTTGTTAGTACAGCCATTTTTACTATGATGATTCTACCAATCCATGAGCATGGGAGATCTTTCCACCTTCTATAGTCTTCCTCAATCTCTTTCTTCAGAGGTTTGTAGTTCTCCTTGTAGAGGTTATTCACATTCTTTGTTAAGTTTACTCCTAGGTATTTGATTTTTTTTTTTTGAGGCTATTGTAAATGGAATTGTTTTCATATATTCTTTCTCAATTTTTCATTGTTGGTATATAGAAAAACTAATGATTTTTGTAAGTTGATTTTGTATCCTGCCACAATTGCTGAAGCTGTTTATGGTGTCCAGGAGTTTTTGGGTAGAGTTTTTTTGGGTCTTTGAGGTATAGGATCATGTCATCTGCAAATAGGGATATATTGACAGTTTCTTTACCTATTTGTATTCTTTTTATTTCTTCTTGCCTTATTGCTCTGACTAGGAATTCCAGGACTATGTTGAATAGGAGTGGGCACCCTTGTCTCATTCTTGATTTTAGAGGAGATGGTTTCAGTTTTTCTCCATTAAGTATAATGCTGGTTGTAGGTTTGTCAATATATAGACTTTATAATGCTGAGGTACATTCCTTCTATTCCTAGTTTTCTTAGAGCTTTTATCATGAAGTGGTGTTGAATCTTATCACAGGCTTTTTCTGTAACTATTGAGATGATCAAGTGGTTTTTGTTTTTGTTTCTATTAATGTGCTATATTACATTTATAGATTTGTGTATGTTGAATCACTCCTGCATCCCTGGGATGAAACTGAGGTGGTCATGGTGAATAATCTTTCTGATATGTTGTTGGATTTGGTTTGCCATTATTTTATTGAGAATTTTTGCATCAAAGTTCATTAAGGAGATTGGCCTATAGTTCTCCTTTTTGGATGTGTCTTTGTATGGTTTTGGGATGAGTATAATACTGGCTTCACAGAATGAGTTAGGTAGTATTCCTTCCCTTTCTATTTCATGGAAAAGTTTAAGGAGAGTTGGTATTAGTTCTTTTTTAAAGATATGATAGAATTCAGCAGAGAATCCATCAGGTCCTAGACTTTTCTTTTCTGGGAGACTATTGCTTCTTCAATTTCATTTCATGCTATAGATCTATTTAGGTGGCTAATATCCTCTTGGTTCAGTTATGGATAGTCATAAGTATATAGAAATGTGTCCATTTCTTCAAGATTTTCAAATTTATTGGAATATAGGTTCTCAAAGTAGTCTCTGATGATTCACTGGATTTCCGTAGTGTTTGTTGTTATCTTCCCTTTTGTGTTTCTGATTTTACTGATTTGGGTTTTTTCCTTCCTTATTTTAGTCAGATTTGCCAGGGGTCTGTCAATCTTGTTTATTTTTTCAAAGAACTAGCTTTTTGTTTCGTTGATTCTTTGTATGGTTTTTTTTTGGTCTCTATTTAATTAATTTTGGCTGTTATTTTTATTATTTCTCTCCTTCTGCTTGTTTTGTGTTTTGCTTGTTCTTGTTTTTCTAGGAGTTTGAGATGTAGCATTAGGTCACTGATTTGAGATCTTTCTGTCCTTTTAATATATGCACTGACAGCTATAAACGTTCCTCTTAGGACTGCCTTTGCTGTGTCTTGATTTAATTTCTGAATTAGAAATATCCTACTAAAAAACTGCCCAGAGGCAGAATATGTTATTACTTACGAAGTTCTTTAACGCAGTCATTGACAAGCTGTTGTTCCTTCTCTTCATATGTAGAAGTTTCTGTTTTTATATGACAAGCCTTCAAGGAAAAAAAATAAATTATGGCTTTGCCTTTTGAAGATTATAGTTTACTTATAAAGAAAAACAAAAACCACAACCTGTCATGCTTTATCTACCATAAAATAAAGGTATGTCAAAGGATGTAACAAGCATGTCCCCTCATTCCTTTCAGCTTCTTTACTACTTGAGCCATGCCTCTGGCCCTTTTTGCTATGGTTATTTTGGAGATACGGTCTCACTTTTTACCCAGGTCAGCCTGGACCATAATCCTATTTTACATTTCGCACTGTTTCTGGGATGACAGGCACACACCACCATGCCCAGCTTTTTTCTATTGAGATGGGCTCTCATGCCCCTGAAACTGCTTGATGAATCTGTAGCCTTGGCTAAAATGTCACTTGATTAAGTAGAACTTGCTTCATTAACTCCACTTTATGAGCTCATAGAAACTTGTAATTTTGTGACACAGCTCTGCTAAGTTATTTAGTTATCTATGTAACTCCACAAGATGTATATGCTATGTAGACTCTCCTTATTTTATCAGTCAACCTACTATTATCCACTTTTCAGTGAGCTCTAGGTAACAACAAAAAGCAAATAATTCCTTGTCTGCCACTTTCTAATTGGAAGTTTATGCCATATTTCATCTCAATATTACCTGGACCTGAATCTTACAGCTTTAAAGGAAAGGAAAACGAGAATTACACTGAATGTACCTTGGACCGAAGAGCCATATTCTCTTCTTCCAGTTCCTTGAGCTTTTCTTGCAGCATGTCCAACTGCAGCAAACCTTGAGATAAGCTAAAGGACTCATTGAACCGAAGAGGTGTAGAACAGCTGGAATCAGTTTCACTCTCTTCAGAAGCAATGGAGACAATTCGAAGCAATTCCTCTTTCTTGGATAGCTCATGCTGCAGCTGATTAACCTGCACATAAAGAGTACTGGATTAAAATGAGTTTATATTTTCCATTACTTACATGCAATATAGCCTCCAAATCTTGAAACCAATGTTTTTTAAAAAAAAAAAAAAATCACAAGATCAGGCGGGGTGCAGTAGCTCAAGCTTGTAATCCTAGCTACTTGGGAGATGGAGATAGGGAGGACTGTGTGGCTCAACTCTGGGCAAAAAAAGTTCATGATACTCCATCTTAACCAATAAAAGCCGGGCATGGCTGTTTGAGACTGTCATCCCACCTAGAAGGGAAGTATAAACAGGAAGATCTTGGTCCAGGCCAGCAGGGCATAAGATGACACCCTGTCTAAAAAATAATGAAAGCACAGAGGGCTGGGTGTGTATGAGGAGAGTGGCTCAAATGGCAGAGTGCCTGCCTAGAAAGCATGAAGCCCTGAGTTCAAACCCCAGTACCACCACCACAAAAAAGAAAAAAGAAGAGTAGAAAGTGCTAAAAAGAGAATAACAAACCTCAGATAACTTCCTAAGCTACAGTTTTAGACCATTAACCCAACAAATACAGCTTTTCCTAGAGTGAAATGAAAAGCCAATTTTTATACTTTGTTTATAGTTGAAGCCAAAACAAAACTGAAGAACTTTCAAAGTATCATAATAGTCCCCACTTCAAATCTTCACCTTAGGCTTGTACTTTTTAAGCTCTGTAACTGGGCATGTCTTCCCTGCCATACTGGGTTTTACTTCTAGGAAATAAATATTTTTACATAAAGGCCCAAGTGCTTTTGACCATAATATATTTATAAAATATAAATAAAGCCAGATAAAAACAAGTTATAGGGAAATTGAAATTTAACCATTCAAGTTGACAATAATTCTTACTAAAAAACATTTATTGATATGGAATAAATATTTTAAATTTTCTGTTTCTTTTCTGTCTTTTGTTTTGGTTTGAGTAAGGGTACCTATATTTGGGTATTTATTTATTTTTCTTGAGGGAGAGAGAGAAAGAGAACAGGTATTTATTTAAAAAAAAATTAAAATACAATCACACACAAAGTCTGTATGTAAAGGAGTGAGGATAGACTTAGAATCTCAGTAGGGCACCAGAGGTAGTACAGATCTTGAATCTAGGCTTTTAGTTGATTAAGAATCACATAAGTACTGTTCTATACAGTAACATTTCATTTATTTTCCTTTTTCCTGGTGGTACTGGGGGTTGAATTCAGGGTATCACACTTGCTAAGAAGGTGCTCTACTACCTGGCCACTCTGCCAGCCCTTTTAGCTTTGGCAGTTTTTGAAATAGGGTCTTGTTATATACTTGGGCTGGCCTAGATATTGATCTTCCTATTTGTACATCCCTGAGTAGCTGAGATGACAGGTACACACTACTGCGCCCAGCGATTGGTTGAGATGGGGGAGCATTCCCATAGACTTTTTGCCTGGGCTGGCCTCCAACTTTCAATCTCCAACTCCAGAAAGGCTTAAGCCACTGGTCAACACGTACTGGTGTTATTTACCTATAGTCATTATTTCATGGACATCAGGAAAATAAATTTCTCCACTGCACGAGACCTAATTATTTCATGCTGTAAGTACAAGACCAAAGACTTACTTGATCAAAGGCTTGTCCCAATTGTTCCTCCAGGGCTTCATTCTGCTCAGATAAGACATGATTCCGCTTTAAGAGAGCTTGTCCAATTCGAGCAGCTAGCTCAAGATCACGATCCCTCTGTTAAAAAAACAAATTTCTTTTCTTTACATACAATCAAAAATAGACGGCAGTTTAGAAATTCTGCAGTTGATTTTGCTGACCTCAAAAACAATCTCATTCCCATATATATATATATATATATATATATATATGAAGCATCAAGATTCATTTTAAAGCCCAGATACCACAAATAAACACAGACCAGACACTCAGGTAGTATTTAATAAATACTGGTCAAACAATGACTACTGTACTTATAAATGCAAAGAGGCCATCTCTTTTCTTGATATCAAGTGAGATTTTATTGATCATCCTGGTCGCTAGTGCAAAAAAATGAACTTCTACACTAAAAACTTTGAGGAATTAGGAAATCAAAATAAGCTTTAAAAATGTGGATGGGAGCTGTGAGTGTAGCTCAGTGGCAGAACATGTGCTTAGCATAATTGAGACTCTGGGTTCACTCCTTGGCACAAAAAAAGAGGGTGGGGGAATGGGGCCTGTTCAGCAGTAAAAGCCCAAGAAATATTTGTTCAAGTGCAATTGTGTATCAAGCATAGTAATGATATAGAATCGGGTATTTTAAGATATTGGAATCAACTAAATATGCTGCAAACCGTTCCATTTAGGGGAACACTTGTATGCATTCAAAGCCAGTGGCTTAGAGGAAAGCCATAGTCCAGAGCCCTGTCAACAACTGATCATGGTATGAAATAAAACTGGGAATCGAAGATTGGAAAATTTGTCATTACAGAGTCTTGCCTAGGGCCCAGAGAAGGGAATCTAACAAGCTGGTGGTAATGATGCAGGGCGGCCTATAGAAAAGCCAACCAATAGGATTCTACACAGAGTTACTTTTTCTGGGTAGATGGTGATACTTAGTAAGGGCACAGAAACCCCACTGGTAGTGGTGAGGATTTTGGTTATAGAATGAAAACTGTCAATGTACATTTAACTGCCTTCTATATGAGTATGGGTTCTGTTTATGTTGATCATTATTTGAATAAATTAAGCACCTATCCTTTTTCTATACAGCATTTGAAAATGGACAGATTATCTACATGTCTCAAGGCCATTTATCTTGTTTTAAATACAGGTTAATGGCACATGTGGAAATCATTCTGGGGAGCTAGGGAGAGAGGAGAGAAGTGTACATCAAAGAGAAAGTCTTCTATAAGACCAACTGAAAATGAGCTACAAGAGAGAACACTACTGACTGTCAGTTGGAAGATGTACACTAGGCATGTTATAAACGCATGGACAAAGTCAGCTCAAATGATCACCCAAACCAAAAGTAAAAAGGGTTGATGCTCCAAACTACCCGTGTTAATTTGCAATGGAAGTACTTTCTGAAGAGGCAGCTTTGTTCCGGGGTAAGGAACAGCAGGGATAATTTTATAAGATTTTTTTTTTTTTTAAGTTCTAGGACAGGGGTCCAGCCCTGTCCTAGAATTGATTGATTGATTAATCAATCAATCTACCTCCCCATCTATTAATCAATTCTCTACAACTTCACAACAATAATCTTTAGGAGTCATTCTACTTGGGAATGCCAGCTGGCATGCCAATTACTCCATCTGTAACAATCTTACACAAAACAACCCAAAGCACAGACATCATCATCTTTCATCTGATATGATATGCAAATTGGGATGATTACAAATGATCCATGTTTTAGTTTTTCTTTTAGAGAAAGAAAAGATACATTCCTACCTCTGCCAGGAGATGTGTAACCATGTCGATGTCATTGTAAGTTTTGGTCATCTGCTCCACCCTGTCTGTGCCTAGAACTAAGATTGTTAAAAACAAAACAAAACAACTCTTTATAGTCTTTAGAAATAAAAAAATTTAAGTAGTCATAAGAATTGAAAGAAAACAACAACAAAACCCCCAAAAGAATTTGTATTTATAAGCTGAGAAACTGACTCTATAACTTATCCATGGTGATAAGAGAAATAGGTGTTTGGGTCTAAGGAATAGCCACAATTTAATTGTGTAGCATAGTGAGACCAAAGGACTAAAAACTAAAGCAGATACTTACTGTGAGTAGTCTCTTCTACTTCTGACCTCAATAACAAATTGGGGTGGGAGGGAATGAAATTAATGTATCTATGGTCCAGACTAATTACAAAAAACCAGCCAATGTTTGCAAAAACAAATGTAATCTGGAGCAGAAGTTCTCACCTCCAGATTTTGATTTAAATGATCTGGAGGAACCACAGGACACTGATGGTACACAGGAGATTCCTAGGTGGAGCCAAGGATGAAAATCATCAATCTAGTCTTATGACTGACAAACACCAACATTGAGAACCAGGAATCCTGGAGACTGAGACTCAGTCAAAAACTTTTTATACATCTAAGTTAAAAAATACATAATATGGCTTACACTACATGATTGATCAGAGTTGAAGATGAAATGGCAGACGTAACTTGAAGTAAAACTATTAGGTCAAAGATGTAATAAGCAACTGTGAACAGTAAGTCACACATGAGGAAATGGGAAGAAAAAAGAAGCCACTAACACAGCAAAGAAATGTTTAGAATAAAAAATATTCTGGAGAGGAGAAACAAAAAATATAATTCCTACAAATGTTTACATTTGGTTTAATATGAGAATTTAAAGCAGAAACTTAAGTTCTCTAGTTTCAGGATTTCATTTTCTGGTATAAAGAATCTCTCTGAGAGAAATTATGTGATATGTCTAAGATCACAAAGCAAGCTACTAGTGCAAAATTGAGATTTTAACATGCAGGTGATAGTGTCCAATGTACAAGGTCATTAGAAAAAGTAATGGGCTCTTCTCCCAATGCAGCTGTTTCTAGCATAGTCCCACTAAAAACATCAAAAAGTCCCTTTCTAATGAAATACTAAATATACGTATGTGAAGGCATAGAATCTAATATTGCTTTTTTTAAAAAAGAGTGAGCAGAACTATAAATGTCTATATGTAGGAGAGCTGGAAGGATATACATTAAAATGTTAGTAGTGGTTATCTTTGGGTAGGGATTATGGTTGATCTCTGTTTTCATTTGTTTTTTGCTAATTTTTTTTCTCCCACCCCATGTCTTCCCATTCACAATAAAGACCAGGACACAAGGCCTGAACTGAGGTATATAATGGGTATATTTACTTTCCCTCCTCTTTATACAGTCAGTGTAAGACCCAGCCTGTGGTTAGCACCAGGAGGCTGCTAATTTTCCACGAAGAAGAAATCTTATTGCAATCAAGATAAAAAAAAAAAAAAGCAACTCTCATTAAGAGGTTTCAAAAGGCAAAATCAATTTAAAAATGCTTAGATATTTCTTATGACAAAAAAGTTAGTGCAATAGCCTATATACTACCAAGCCCCAAAGACTGGTCCACCAAAGGATAAGGAACATGGTTTTCTCTGTGTAGCCTAATCAGTTTGTCTTCTCTTTCTTAACACAAAACTCCTAATAAAGGCATTGTGCTTGAGATGACTGCAAAAGTACTCACAGTAAAGCTCTGAGGCACTTAGGCCTTGTAATTAAATGCATCAAACCACAGATTAAGACAGGCAAGGATAGTCTTTATTATAATTGATCCTATCAAAAGCTATTTTCCAAATGCTAAAATAAAAATATGTTAAACAGTATAGAAATGATCAATGATCCTTGTTTATTTCCTGACATAAACTTTCCTTTGTTTTTTTTTTTTTTTCCAGTACTGAGGTTTGAACCCAGGGCTTCATGCCTGTTAGGCAGGTATTCTACCACTTGAGAAATACCTCCAGTCCAAACTTTCCTAACTCTTAAAAAAAAATTCATACATCATACTGGGTATGGTAGTATACACTTGTAATCCCAGCTCTCAAAAGGCTGAGGCAGACCCTGTTTAAAAAGAAAACAAGCCATACCAAAACAAACACAACACCTATTTATACATCAGGGAGTGGATAAACATTTTTACAGAACAATTTTGCAATGTGGTTTCCAAAGGTGGTTAATGAATATTCAACATTTTTGGTATACAATTTGGAGAATCTAATGTTTCCAAAAATATGGGGGATATGTGTTAATATACATAAGCTGTTCCCTAACTTTTACTTTGTGTTCTGTCTCTGCATAACTTTATACCAAATACCTCAATCTCACATTATCATCAGGATAGGAAACACTAATGTTACTCCATTCGAGTAACATTTTTATTTATATGATGGTGGCCCATACTTCTCTCCTATGTTGCTTTACAAGACCTAGAGTGTTTACCACAATTCATGAATTTTTAAAAGAATTCTAGCCAAGTATGGTGGGGCACATCTGTAATCCCAGCTATACAGGAGGAAGAGGTAGGAGGATGATGGGCTGAGGCCAGCAAGGGCAAAAGTGAATACTTACCTGAAAAATAAAGTAAAAAGGGCATGAGGCATGGCTCAAGTGGTAGAGCACTTGCCTAGCATGAGTTCAAACCACAGTACAGCAACCCCATACCACCAGCAGAAAAAGAAAAAGAAACAGAATTCTAATCTTTCATCACTCTCCAACCTTCCCACACCAAAAAACCAGAATGACAACAAAAACCAAAACCAAAATGAAACACACGCCCAGATGGCATAGAAAATGCTGCAATAGCTCCTCATAATTGCAGGCAGGTCCGAAGAACTGAAACAGCTCTTGTTGCTCTAATATGTAGAATGTTTCTGCAATACAAAAAGCTGCCTTCAAAAGACTGAGACAGCACAAAAGGAGACTGATGAGCAGCTGTTCTCTCCAGGGGAGAATGAAGCTCCACAGACACTCATTTCTCAATTTTCCCAAGGGTAGCACAAAGCTAGCATATGATGCATAGGTGGTAAGTACTCCATGATACAAAAGATGTGTTAGGGTATTTGGCTCAATTCTTGTGGAAGTGGCAACAAGGGCTGATGTAGGGGAATTATAAACCTGTTTGCCTCTCAGACCTTACAGTTAATGCTTTCTGAACATTATCATATTTCTTTTCCTGGCAGTACAAGTTAATTTTTGAGGGCAGAGTGTGAGGGAAAGAATACCTAACAATGAGAAGTAATAATTTCTACAAAATTTTTCTCTGAAAAATTGTATACTCTCCCTACTTCCATAATTCTCCAATTAATGTCATTGTGAAATGGTCATTCACTATTACTTAGTTGACAATGATTTATGTATCAGTGGTTCTCAGCTGCAGCGTGCATCAGCATCACTAGGACATGTTAAAACACAAAGTGCTGTGTCCCATCCCTGGGTGAGGGGGTGGAATAATTAGCCCAGCCTTTGGGAGGTGAAGGCAGGAGGATCATGAGTCTGAGGCCAGCCTGGGCTTTATACTGAGTTCCAGCCCAACCCAGGCTACAGAGCAAGACCCTGTCTCAAAACTAAAACAAAACAAAAGTATATAATCAACTCCTCTCTTCCTTATCTTATGCCATAGAGAATGGTATAGGTGATCTTTCATTCCCAGATAAAATCTCCTGAAAGGTAGATCTAGGTTTCTACTTTTAGTATTTACATTAACAAAAGGTACTTCCTTTCCTGTGTGTTGACTGTAAGGCTCATCCCAAAGCTTACTGTGGGGCTTACTCATAATAAAATTAGGAAGACCCTAGAGTGACCTGTTGTATATGTAAGATATTCTTTGAACAATTTAAGCTTTGTGAGTGTGGGTGACAAGGACTAAGATGAAATTATTTTTGGACCCACTCACCGCTTTCAAATATTCTATCTTAAAAGTAAATAACCTCTTTCTGGTTTGGGTGACTTCAGAGAGTCACTTCTCTCCCTTCCTTCCTGTAAGACAAAGCTCCCAACTCCAAATGCTGCCCAGAGTTCCTTCTCAATCACTTTTTTTTTTTCCATAGCTCTTTCTACTTCTTTGTGTTATATACAGGAGAGAGCCACTACCTGTGCCATCATCTTTTTATTACGTGTTAAAATTCACTTCAGTGAGTACAAGTAACCTCTTGCATGTAAGACAAGTGGGGATAAAAGGGGTTGAAGTAGCATTAGGGAGCAGAACCTAGGAGGTCTGCTAGGGTATGTAGTAATTATTCAATGCCACAAATCTTGAAGTCTCAGGGGGTTAAAGAACTATGGGTCAAAGGTGAACGAATGTTTTGTATTTTGCTTTTCCAACTTGCTTAATTTGTTAAATGAAGAAAATCACTTATCTTTTACATTCATAAAATGCAAACTCATGATTAAGTTTATTTATATTTAATTGAACTATTAACCCAGAGAATTGATACCTTTAAAATAACAGTGAAATTAAAGTTCAATGCAGAGACAGGATTAGTGCACCAATTATAACCCTACCTTCTTTGCTTCATGATCTGAGGTATATCATATATATTTCAATTTTTAAATTGCTGAAGAGAAAATAGTATCATTAGACTAGAACCCTGAAATATGGAGCTGTATCATCTTATTAATCTCAAGTTTTAGACTGCTGTCCTGAATAAGTCTTGAAAAGTATTTTAGAGTTTTCATACCTTTTATTTTTTACTCTTTAAAATCCATCCTAAAAGTGACCCCATTTAAATCATGATATTAAGACATCTTTCTAGCCCCACAGTGGGGTACATGACAGCCACAGAAGGGTACTTTGTGTCACTCTATCAAAATAATGATAAACTAAACTTACCTAATGAAATTTCAGTTTGAAAGTTCTCACAAATTTGAAAACTTAAGTTACAAAAAGAAATGGTAAAACAAAATAGTGTTCCTTCTAAAAAACATTTTCTAGAAAATCTCAAGCAACCAAATTCTCAAACTGAAAACTTAACAAAACCTTGAAAGCCTTAATTTAACTTAATTCAGTTACTTAAAAGTAATATTAAGGACAGAATTACAGTTTTATTTAGGTTTCTTGGTAGCTGAAGTTTAAACAAGATTTACATTTTCCCCCCATGGGCAGTAAGTCCTAGGAAATTGACAGAAGTAAATAAGTTTTAAGAAACTGCCTGATTCTAGGAAACTACCACTAAAAGCAAGTTAATGATTACCATGAAAATGAGTATTTCACAATTTATTCTCCAGTAACAAGGTGTCATTAAAAACACTGAAGCACTCACTGGGAATGTCTAGGACCTGATGGAATCTTGTATTTAATTGAAATTAAAAGAATTTCAAAACATTATCAACATTGAACTTACAGACATATATTCTAACAGCTACTATGCACACAACATTTTTATACTGAATGGATAAATGAAGTTAAAAAAAAAAAAGGAAAACAAAAATAAAGTAAGTGCAGAATTTTGAAATTAGAACAAATGGAAATAAATCTCCATATTTAAAGTTAAAAATTCCTCTGTTTTGTCATTTCTGACAGCTTCATGTAAAACAGGTCTATTTTTCATGACAAATCTGGCTCTACTTCTCACTAAAATACTCTTTGTGCATCCTTAAGTAAATAATGAAGGCTACTATGAAGTGTTTATGTAGTTCTCCTTGGCATGAGTGAAACTACTTACGAATCTAAGAACTATGCTCCTTAATGATTAACACAATTCCTATGAATGTACTTAAGGGAAATAGAAGTCAAAAAGTTAATGGTGCAGGATACCAAACTGTTGGGATAATAAATGTTGACAAATATAATAAAATGATATAAAATTTTAAATAATTTCACTTCTTTTTAAAAAGTTCTCTTTTCTTCTCAGCCTGAGGTAAATACCAAGTAAAAGATAGAAGAAATGGAAACTCTATGCTTGCAACACTTGCTATTTAGAGTCATAAGGATGGCAACCTTCCTGCATTCAGACACAGAACAGTTAGATCATCTCTTCCTGTTAAGTCAGTTCAAGCAGGTAAACCCTGAACAATGGCTACTAAATTTCAAGTGTTTTAAAAGGCAATGCTAAGATACTCCTGATCTTTATTTCCATGGAAAAATCTAAAAGGATAAAAAATACTCACTCATGTAACGGAAAGTCTCTTCAGCAAGCACTGGAGAAAGGGCATCAGATGCATGCTGCTGCTGGTGTGGTGACTGCGTCCAGTCTTGATTTTCATATAGAAAGAGAGAGTCTACTCTTAGCTTATACTGTGGCAGCTGTTCTTCTAGGAGATTCACCAGCTCAACTTCAGGGAGATCCTCATTGGAGCAAACATCTAAAGAAAAGAGTCCATGTAATTGAACCCAATATATTTTGGTTTTCTAGGCTACAGAGAAAATCAGTGATAAGAGATTTTTGGAAATAGGAAACCAAGGAAATGTTAGATAAGATCATTTCTTCACTGATTTATTAATCTACTTTAGTGTTATAGTTGGTCTTTCTCCAGATTTCTTTAAAAAGAGAACTTCTGAAATAAAAGGTACATCACAAATTTTAATTATACACCATCTAAAATACATCCCTTAGAGAATATAACTTTTTCAAGTTTAAAATGAATTGGAACAAATTTCTTATTTCCTTCTTACCAATCTACCTTAGTACTATTTAAGAGATCTGATCTTAATTTATATGCCTGGCAGGGGAAGGGGGGGAGGGGGAGAAGGAAGCAATACAAAACAACCAGCAGAAAACAGCTGATCCCTAAGTGATAAAAATTACATTTTCTTTATAATAATATCTTAACTTGTAGAAGGATTCTTCAAAATCTGGAAAAATTACATTTTAGCATTTAAAAAATACTAATAAATTTACTGAATTCTGGGAGTGGCATCTTTATTATTTTTACTCTAAGATATGATACACTTAAAACCCTAAATTTGTGAGAAGAAAATATGAAAGGAGAGGGGAAAAAATTTCCTTCTAAAAATTCTCTCTAGCCTCCATATAGGATAAATATAATATGATATAGGGATAAGAACATCAATTTATAAGTCAGACAGACCTGGGTTTGTCCTGATTCTTGTACATACCATGTTATGGTACTAAGTAGGTTATTTAACTGCTAAGCCTCAGTTTTCCCATCTGTGAACTGAGAAGGTGACAGTATCAATACTTAACCTTCATGGTTGTATGAATTAATTGAGATAAATGTGTGAAACAACACTTGCATTTAGGTACAAGGCCTGGCACATTGCAGAGGCGCTCTCTAAATGTTAGCTAGTTTTACTATTGAGTTTTTAGACCGAGAGGTCGGATCAAGTCTAAGGTTGCTATATCATCAAAACAGATACAGAAAATCAAAGGTGGAATTCTGAAACCATCCAATTCTGCCTCCTAGATAAAGGAAGCTGAGACTTAAAGGTGAATAACTTGTTGAGGACCACTGGATTTGAATCTCAGTTTCCTATCCAGCACTGTGCTCACTCAATGATAGGGTCACCTCTTGTTGCTATCTCCCACATACTTACAGGAAAAGGCCGACTACTTGTCCCAGGAGGCAAGTTTCCACATATCATGCCTCTAACATGCTATATTATTTCTGTGTAATTCCTAATCCCTTTAAGTACCTAATTGATTTATTGTCCTGCTTTTCATTCTTAATATTAGAAATGGACCTTGGCATCAAACTTAGTTTCTAAGTCTGACTCCTCCATTCATTAGCTATGGGATATTAGACACATGACTTATCCTTTCTGAGCCTTAATTCCCTCTATCTGTATAATAAAGAGGATCATCTACCACAGTAGTGCTAAGAAGTAAATTAAGGCACTCAGGATAATACTCTGCGGGTGGTGGGCACTGAGTACTGTTCAAGTCTCTCACTTGCGTGCTGTTTTTGAACACAGCTGGGGCTTTCTTCTTTATGTGTCTGCTTCCTGTTCTCAATAGCACCCAGAATCCATCCACCAGTTTCCAAATTCAGTAGGAGAGGGAGGGAGGGAGGGAGGAAGGGAGGGGAGAGAGGGGAGAAGGGAGGGAGAGAGGGGGGAGAGAGAGGGGGAGAGAGAGAGAGAGAGAGAGAGAGAGAGAGAAAGAGAGATCCCTTTTATCATGCTTAAAATAGAAAAATACAGGATGTGCTATCTACCCACTCACTTTTAAGAGGTCTGGTGTTTCCTTTGTGGGTAGTAAAGAGAAAACCATTTTAACTGGCAAAGAACAACAAAGTACAGGTCAAGAAAACAGACTTTAAAAGGGTAAATTGCTCTTACTTGACCTGAACCTACCAAGGACAATTTAATAAGTTCAATACAAAGAGGTCAGCAATATCACATATCCCTATTCACCCAGAAGGATAAGCAGTAGCATCACAGCCATAAAGAGAAGAGATGAGGTACATTTAAATTTTAATCATGGTTCTAAAGAAGCTCTTAAGCCTTAATAGATCTCTTAAATAAGAGCTCTGAAAATTCATGTACGTTACTACAAATTGCATATAATCATGCAAAATTTTCCTGACACACATATATTATATATAAATTGTCATTATAATACTTCCAGAAGAGAAGTTAACTACAAATACATGCAGAGCTAAAGCACAGACTACTAGGTATCCGAGTATAATGGAAATAAAGATCAAAGTGGTATTTATTAAAAGAGCTACTATTTCCTAGAACTTTTCTTTTAGTAAGTATTAATGAAATCCTATGAAAATTCAAGGTAACTATTTTCCTATTTTCAAAAAGCAACATAAAAATGACTGTACAATTCAGCTTTAGGAGATTCTTCAGATGAGTGAGCTCCTCCTACTTGTTTTCATATTTCTGATAATGTTACTATTTTTAAGTTTCTAATTTGTCCAGGCTTGCAATCTCTGCTCTATCATTTAATCCTCTGGTGCCTATTTCCATATACCTATTCTAGTCATACTGCCTCCATTTAGGCTCAGGGCCTCCTTTTGTTTCCCTTGAATATGGCTCAAAACTGGTCTGTCCTCACTGTGCTCCAATCATCTTTCACATCTTCATCATGTCACTCTCCTAATAAGAGTGAAAGAGGTCTGAATTTCTCCTCATCAGAACAGAAAAACCTCACTGAATACTTAGGCAATCAGGAAAGATTCCAGAAAGGTCATGTAGTGATAGTAAGATGAAATTAATGCTAGAATAAAGAATCCTAGCATATGGGCCCACATAACAAAGATGAAACACAAGCCTCAAAAAGAGAACGTTATCAGCAAATAATCTGCCAAAACACAATTTAACACTCTTTGAAGGAAGACAACAAAACCTCAAACCTAATAATGTAACATTCATAATGTTTGGTATTCCATAAAATGGATAAATTTCTAGACACATATGACCATCCAAAATTGAGTCAAGAGGATATAAATCACCTAAATAGATCTATAACATGCAATGAAACTGAAGCAGCAATAAAGAGTCTCCCAAGAAAGAAAAGTTCAGGACCTGACAGATTCACTGCTGAATTCCACCAGACCGTTAAAGAAGAACTAATATCAACACTCCTCAAACTTTTCCATGAGATAAAAAGAGAAGGAACACTTCCAGCCTCATTCTATGAAGCCAGTATTACACTTATCCCAAAACTGAACAATGACACAACAAAAAATGAGAATTACAGGCTAATGTCTTTAATGAACTTAAATGCAAAAATTCTCAATATTGGCAAGCCAAATTTAACAGCATATCGAAAAGATCATACACCATGATCAAGGTGATTTCATTCTAGGGATGCAGGGATGGTTTGACATATGCAAATCATTAAATATAAAAGAGTATATTAGCAGAAGCAAAGACAAAAACCATTATCATCTCAATAGATGCAAAAAAAGCCTGTGACAAAATTCAACATCCTTTCATGATAAAAGCTCTGATGTAACTAGGATCAGAAAGAATGTACCTCAACATAATAAAGGCTATATATGACAAGCCTATAGTCAACAGCATACTAAATGGGGAAAAACCTGAAACCAATTCCTCTGAGGTCAGGAACAAGATAAGGGTGTCTATTCTCTCCACTCTTATTCAACACAGTCTTAGAATTCCTAGCTAGAGCAAAGAAGAAAAAAAAGAATACAAATAGAAAAAGAAAAACTCAAACTATCCCTTTTTGCAGATGACATGATCTTGTACCTAAAAGACTCAAAAAACTCCATCAAAAAACTCCCACACATCATAAACACCTTCAATAAAGTAACAGGATACAAACCAATTTACAAAAAAAAACCAGTAGCCTTTCTATACACCAACAATAAGCAAACTGAGAAAAAATATAGAAAAACAATTCCATTTACAGTAGCCTCAAAAAAGTAAAATACCTAGGAATAAACTTAACAAAGGATGTGAAAGACTTCTATAAGGAAAACTATAAACCACTGAATAAAGAAACAGAAGACTACAGAAGATGGAAAGAGCTCCAATGCTCATGGACAGACAGATCAATATTGTGAAAATGGCTATATTACCAAAAGCAATCTACATGTTCAATACAATCCCTATCAAAGAGATTGAAAAATCAATCCCTAAAGTTCATTTGGAAGCACAAAGACCATGAATAGCCAAGGCAATACTGAGCAAAAAAAGCAATGCTGTAGGTATCACGATACCTGACTTCAAACTATACTAGAGAGATAGCAATACTGGCACAAAAATAGACATGAAGACCAGTGGAACAGAATAGAAGACCCAAATATGAATCCACACAGCTATGCCCACCTGATTTTTGACAAAAGTGCCAAAAACGTACAATAGAGAAAAGACAGCGTTTTCAACAAATGTTGCTGGGAAAACTGGATATCTGCATGCAGAAAACTGAAATCACCCTGTGCAAGTATCAACTCAAAGAGGATTAAGGATGTTAATATAAGACCTAAAACTCTGAAGCTAGTACAGGAATGAGCAGTGAATACACTGGAAGCCATGGGCATAGGCAGTGACTTCCTAAATAGAACTCAAACGGCTCAGCAACAAAGAGAAAGAACTGACAAATGGGACTGCACGAAATCAAAAAGTTTCTGCACAACAAAAGAAATGGTCACCAAATGGAAGAGATTACCACAAAATGGATGAAAAATCTTCGCTAGCTATACACATGTGACAAGGGATTAATAACCAGAATATACAGGGGGCTCAAAAAACTTAACTCCCAAAAAATCAATGACCCAATGAAGAAATGGGCAAATGAACTAAACAGAGCTTTTTCAGAGGAAGAAGTTCAAATGGCCAAAAAACACATGAAGAAATGCTCAACATCCCTGGCCATAAAGGAAATGCAAATTGAAACCAAGTAAAGATTCCACCTCATTCCTGTTACAACAGCTACCATCAAAAACACAAACAACAACAAATGTTAGCGAGGATGTGGGGAAACATATATTGGTGATGAGAATGTAAATTAGTACCACCACTATGGAAAACAGTATGGAGGCTCTTCAAAAAACCAAAAATAGATCTGCCATATGATCCAGCAATACCACTCTTAGGGATATACCTGAAGGAAAGTCAGGTTACAACAAAGGTACCTGCATACCCATGTTTATTGCAGCATTATTCACAGTAACTAAGCTATGGAAACAGCCAAGAAACCTCACTACTCACTATGATGCGTGGATTAAGAAAAATGTGGTATCATATACAATGGAATTCTATTTAGCCAGAAAGAAGAACAAAATTTTGTCACTTGCAAGTAAATGGATGGAACTGGAGAACATCTTCTTAAGTGAAGTTAGCCAGGTTCAGAAAGCCAAAGGCCACATTTTTTCTCTCATATTGGAAATATAGACCTGATACAAATACAAGCAATATAATGAAAAACAGGTCATGCTAAGGGGAGGTCACATACAAGAGAGGGTGGTTAAAAGATGGAAGTTAAGAAGGCAAATATGATTGATGTACTTCCTATACAAGAACGAAAACTGTTGAAATCAGTATAAGAAGGGGACAAAGGTAGAAAGAAGAAATATAGAGGAGATGAACCAATCCAGGTTGTAATACATATTCACATGGAAATGCCACAATGAAACACCCTGTATAGTTACCTTAAACAAAATGTCATTTTTTTTTTTTTTTTACAAAATCGGGGAACAGGAGAGCAGAACAAGTCCTGTCTGAGAGGTTGGTTCCAGTGGGAGGGAGGAGGATGTGGGGAAAGGGTATAGGAGGGTGAATATGGTCTAAATACTGTGTACATATGTATGTAAATGGAAAAATGAGACCTGTTGAAACTATTCTAGAAATGGGGGAAGAAGGGTTAAAAGGAGAATGATGGCAGGGGGTGAATTCAGCTATGATGTATTATAAGAACTTTTGTTAATGTCATAATGTACCCCTAGTACAACAATAATTAAAAAAAAAGAATAAGGAGGAAACAGAAAAAAAATTTGGGGTTTGGATGGGTTTCAGAATTTAGAATTTTTTGGATTTTAGAAAAATGGTAATGTGCATTAACTGTATGCTTTGTAACATCCCTTACTGGTTTTGTAGCAACATCTGATATTTTATATTAATATACCTTCAAAAAACATGAATATTCTGGCTAAATGAGATTAGTCTAGAGTGAGCCATACAAGTCAGGTTTTATGGGTCAATGAGTTTTAGAAAAGTTTTGGGAAAAAACCTTATATGTGCTGACTTTTTTTTTTTTTTAAAGCCTTGCAGATAAGATGTTAAGGGCTGTACCTATGTCGTGTGCCAGGCACTGGTGTCAGGTACTTATAGGTGTACAAACACAGGTGACCATGCCCTTGCCCCATGGAGATAAGAGTGTGATGCAGGTCCTGCTTACCAGGGGCTCAGAGGGCCTATGGGAGCTAGACACAGATAAGAAAGCTAGATACAAGGCAGATTTTGATAACGCCAAAGAAGAGAGAGCAAGGGATGGAGAGATTCATTCAAGTCCATCCCTGAGGAGACCAAGCCAGAAAGGGAGGCTGGGGATTCCACACAGCAGGTAGCACAGGCATTTGCCTTTTGTCCTATATCAACCTGGGGGGGAAAAGAAAGAATATAAAGGGAGTGAATATGACAAACACAATATATGTGTATATGAAGATGTAACAATGAAGCTCCTCACGTTTTATAATTAATATATACTAACAAAAGGAAAAATGGAACACACACACAAAAAAAAACATCAAACTGGACTCACCAGTGATGCTCTCCGAGTCTCTGTGGTTGCTATTCATGAGGTTTTCTTCACCTGTTGGTGATGTAAAAATGGCATTCTGGGACTGACTCATGCAGGATCCCTTTTTGTTTTGGTTGCAAAGGACAGCTTTGGTATGAATCAGAGTAAAGGAAATCCATCAAGCCATTTAATAAAGAAACAGATGTGGTCATATGGATATTTTCTTTAAGACCGATTTTCTCTGATGAGTCAAGTGACATCTGCAGCAATGAGTGCACTCATGTGATTATCATTACTTGGACAGTCATGACCTAAAACAAAGAACAGATCAAATGACTAGAAGTCAGCATCCTTTTTAATAATAGTAATTTAATTACCTGTATGTCTGTCACTAAGAATGTTTTTCTAATAATATACACAGAAACAGGATAAATCTCAAAGTAATCATCTAGAAGAAAAAAGTCAGGCAAAATAAAAAGGTCAGGATTTGTGATTCCATTTTTATAAAAATTCTAGAAAAAAAAGTCAACTTATTTATAGTGACAGAAAGAGACCACTTGGCTGCCTGGGTTTGAGGAAGGAATTATTAATGGGCAGGAAAAAAAGTTTGGAAATGATGAATGGTCAGTATTTTCAGTGTGGTAATGGTTTCAAAAGTACATATGTATCTCATATGATCAAATTATATACTTGAAGTGTAAAATTAGATACATGTTAACTATATTTCAATATAGCTGCTTAAACTTTTAAGAGAAAATCAACTGTGTGAAGTAATACAATAACATATTGTAGGACCCTATAATATATGTAGAAGTAAAATGCATTACAATAGCACAAAGGCCAGAAAGGGAAAAATGGAAGTTATAAGGCTTTTATACTCTATATGAAATAGTAAAATACTATTTGAAGGTAGACTGTGATAAGTTAAAGTGATATACTATAACACCAAAAGCAAACAAAATTACTCAAGAATTATAAACAAACCAGTGGAATGGAATAATACATATTATGGTTTCTCAACCCTGGTCACTGTTAGTATTTTGGGTCATTTGGGTCACATGAGGTGTACAACATATAGTATTTAGCAGCATCTCTGTCCTGTACTGACTAGGTATTGGTAGAAACTCTCTCCCAGACCCTCTCCCAGTTTTTAACAACCAAAAATGTCTCAAGACTTACCTAATTTCCCCTGAGTGGGGAAATCACTTCCTTTTGAGAGCAACTGATACAAAAGATACCTGGCTTCATTTAAAATTACAGTAAATAAAAATATTAAATGCACATACATTACAATTCAATAATTCTATGAGATATATTCATAGGATATAGGGATAAGAATGCCCATACAGTATTGATTAAAAAAAAAAAGAGCACACACACATACACACACTGGAATCCAAAAGTTCATAAAATGTAGGAGGGTGAATATAGTGGAAATATTATGTACTCATGTATGAAAATGGAAAAATGAGAGCTGTTGAAACTATTCTAAGAATAGGGGAGGGAAGATAAAGGAGAATGATGGATGGGGTAAATTCAACTAAGATATATTGTAAACACTTTTGTAAATATCATAATGTACCCCCACTACAACAATAATATAATTAAAAATGTCCACAAAAATGGTTTAATAATTGTGCATAAAAAGGATTACAATGCACTAAATATATGTCTTACTTTTTAAAAGTCAGGAACTATTATCAGTTTGAAAATGTTCAATTCTAATTTTGATATAAAGCTTTGCTTTCCTTTTTGCAAAGGAAGTAAGAATATAATAGGGCAATACCAATAAAGATTCATCTCTTGAATTTGAGAGAAAGAAAAAAAGCATACTTTCCTGAAATATATACCATTGCCAACTACCTTAACAAAATATGAACCAGAGGTGCTACAACAAAGAAAGTGGCAATAATGATTCTTAGGTAGACAACCAAATATCCTCTGCTACACAAGTCTTTATGTCACACATACTTTTTATCAAGGCCTTTTTTTTAAAATTACAATACTTCAGAGATCTGGATTTTAAGTAGATTAAGAATCTAGTGATATACTTGGGCTGGGGCATAGCTCAAGTTGTAAAGCACTTGCCTACCAAGTTCAATCCTCAGTACCGCAGTCATATATTTTAAAAAAATACAGTGGCAATGCAAATATAATAATAAACTTGCTAGTATACAATAGGCCATCTAGTGCTTGGTCAGCAAACTACTACCCACAGCCAAATTTGGCCTGCCACCTATATTTATACTATGTGTGGGATAAGAATGATTTTATACTTTTAAGTGGCAGAAGAAAAAGGGTACCACATGATATGTGAAATTTACATGAAATTCAATTTTAGTGTGTACAAATAAAGTTTCATTAGAATACACACTCATATTTACTGTTAACTAAAATATTATCAGTTGACTGTTTTCATCCTACCTGGCAGCGCTTACTAATTGTGAGACTGTATAGACGGCAAAACTTACAATATTTACTATGTGTCCTTTTATGGAAAAAAGTTTTCTAACCCCTGATCAATAGTAGTAAAATAATTCCATCATTAAATAACTATCTTCCTAAATCAAGCTTTCCTAGATCAACTCCTTAAAATAGGTCTCCTACATTTAGATATAAGTACTTTCAGAGAATTTCAGTAAAGAACAAACTTCTACTTTATACACCCAAAAGTGTATTTAAAAATTATTTTTGGGGGGGTAAGGGAGGGGCCGGGGGAAGGGGGGAGAAATGACCCAAACATTGCATACACATATGAATATAAAAAATTATTTTCAATTTCTAAGAAAGCATTTTTTAAAAAAAGTAATGTCATAAATTTACTTGTGAAAAGGAAAGGAAGTGAAAGATAAGGAGGAAGAGGAAGATGAAAAGGGAGAAGATAAAAGCAAATTGGATAAAAGGATAAGAGGATAAAAGGTTCAGATTGATTCTTAAAAGAACTGTGATTCTTTTAATCATATCTTATAAAGTCCATTGTACAAATCTAATGATAACCTTGAGATGTTCTGCCCGCTGCTCTGTTACAAACTAGCTGGTTTAATCTTACATTTGCATTGCCATTTCTACCATTTAACTTCAGTTTTTTTATATTTATGTATCATACAAGAACTCAAGAGATTACACATAAACTTAAACTATGGACTCCAGATCTTTGGTCTAGAGAACTGCTTTTAATTGGCACTGGAGGTTTTGTTAGTGGTTTGGTCTCAACTTTTGCATACAACAATACAGTAAATAAAGTTGCACACAGAACTAAGTCCATCTTAAGAGTCATACAGAAAGAATGGACACACCAGGGCAATTCAGGAACCTGCCTAGCCTGCATACCAGCCACTAAGTCAGAAGTGATTTGGCAATGGAGTGTTCTTCCTGGTGACTCCTTAAACATGGCCTGGTCCAAATGTATGTTGCTCAGTAGAATCAATTCGGAGTAGCAGTAGTGAGTGCAGTATGATGTACGCACCTTGACCTTAGAGAAGTCTAAATTTAAATTTTTATTTACTATTTTCTACCTTATACTCATTTACTTTTTGAGTATCACTCCTCATTGTCAAGATGTGGGTATTAATAACTACTCTTATAAGAAGGGCCAGATATGAGGACTACACAAAAAATAAAAATTCCTACCGTGGTACCTGGGACACAGTAGATGCACAAATGCTCATTCCCTTCATCTTCAACCTGTTGCTCGGGCCTGAGGAAAAGATTTTTCAGCCTAATATTTCTTAGGTTTTTGCCATGTTTGAAGTAGATGCAGTCTGAAGATTACCCGCAAGTAATCTTCATACAGTCATACAGAAAGAGATAAGAACTAAGACACTGTGCTCCTAGAAATAAAGTAACAAATGCCATGACACCATTGAGGAAGATTATTACTAAAGCTCAGTTCTTTGTGGATTCTGAAGAAAGTTTGCTTATCATAGAAAATCTTAATTATATCCAGATTCTTGTTCCATAACCTGGTGGCCATATTAGTTTCCTACCACTGCTAACAACCAATAACCACAAACTTAGTGGCTTAAACTACCACAGATATGTTTTACCTTACAGTTCTGGAGTCAGAAACAGTTTCACTGGACCAATAGCAGGGTATCAGCAGGGCTATGCTCCCTCCCTCTGGAGAGTCCAGAGAAAAACTTATTCCCTTGCCTTTTCTAGTTTCTAGGACTATGTTCCTTGGCCCGGGTCCTCTTCCACCATCTTTAAAGTCAGTAGCATAGCATCTTCAAACCTCTTTCTCTGCTTACATTGTCACATGGCTGCCTTCTGCTGCCAAATCTTCCGCTTCTTCCTTCCTATATGGATACCTGTAATTACATTTAAGGTCTAACCAGAATGTAGGATAATCTTCATCTCAAGATCCTTAACTCAGTCATGTCCGCAAAATTCCTTTTGCCCAATGTAACATTCACAGGTTCTGGAGAATCAAATCTTGATATGTTTGAAGACCATTATTCAGGCTACTACAGTAGTTAACAATATGAATCCTGCAGCTAGAGGGCCCATATTTGAATCCTAGTGCCACCACTTACTGGTTGTATGATCTTGGACAAATTACTTAACCTCATCTCTTCATCTGTTAAATGGGACTACTTTTATGGGGTTTTGATGCGATTAGGTAAGTTTTGAAAGTAACAGAACACCCACCTCAGGGGGTCACTGAGGAAATGACATGAGTTAATACATGTAAAAGTCTTAGTAGAATGTCTTGGAATACAGCATATGCTGTATTAGTTATGATTACTGTTACTGTACCGTACACAATGTTGGGCACAATTAAAGGCTTATTACTGACTACTTGATGGCATCTTACTTTAAGATAAGAAGTCACATTTATTTCCTGCCCTTTGACAAGTGATATTAGTCTAGGGCCATTAGTCATTTTCTTTCTAAGTGAATTAGAAACTAAACTTTGGCATGCCCAAACAACGCATTTTCTGTGCCTTACTTAGTTTTGTACACACACATTCTTAGTACATATTCCAGTGCTACCAACTTTCTTTGTTGAATTGTTATGCAATCTTTTTAGGACCAACTGCTTTTCTTTAAAAAACAAAAAGCAGTCAATGAAGCATGTATTATTTAACAAGAAGCAGGCCTCTGTAATTCATGCACATTTAGGAGAAAATAGTATACATTGCTGGCAGAAAACAACATGACTAATGACCTCAGTTCAGCCATGGAAGTAAAAGGTCACCAATGAGAGCTAACTATAGGCCTTATGCCTTAAAAAAAAAAAAAAATTCTTGCTACTTCCTTAAAACAGGAGGCCGTAGCCAAAACAGCCTCATCAAAAAGGCTACCCATGCTCAGGGAAACTTCACCTGCAGGAATGCAGAGCCTGGAATTACAGTAAATGCAATGATTTAATGAACTATTCATATTGGAAATACACTTCAAAATTTTATTTTATAAACAACACTTTGGAGATTAATTTAAAACACACCACATTGGCTGCAGCACTGCATGCAGGAGTGGGAATGGTGCCAATCACCAAGTGCAACAGCTCCCTAGGCAGTGGCGACCTGACCCAGACCAAAGACAAGCTGTGTAATTTTAAAACTGAAAATAAATATAATAATAATAGATTTTTGACAAAGACTCATTAATTGCAATGTACCTGACTACACCACAGTCAAAATCTACCCCAAAAACTTCAGTAACTGAAGTTTTATTAAGCCACCCAAGGACTTTACCATAGCTTCAGTGCTAAGAACTATTCGGTGTCAACATCAAAATCTAAACTTGCTTGTGAGCAGCAGACCCCCTGAGGCAGAAACCATGTACTAAATCCAGCTACATAAAGGCTACATACAGAAAGTAACACTGGCTACATTCAGTTATTTTATCAGCAATTGCACAGAATAACAGCTATTCTATCAGAATTTACCCTGCTTTGTTTTTCTTTATTGCCATTCAATTAATGATTATCAGGGTTTTCAGAACAGGAAATATATGGAAGCAGCTCTCCTTGCAAACAGATTGGGGTCCAAAAGGCTGTTAAATCTATCAGTCTAAACATCTAAAACCCTGATTGACATTTAGGCTTATGGGGTCAGCATTTCCTCTTATACGATATATTTTGGGCGTTTTTCATTTCTGATGAATAATTGCTGAGGCAGGCAATCCCTCCGTGCCACAGTCTCCACCAACAGAAGGGAGGTAACCTACGGCAGCTAAGGAATCCACACCAGAACTTCACCTGTTGATAAGAGAAGGCCTTGAACCCAGGGTGACATCTGTGGTTTCTGATAAGTTTCTATAGAATCACCTGCATCACTATGCTTAGCCTTTAAGCACTAGAACTCCTAACCTTCCCTTGAATTAACCTTTTACTAGGCAGACATTCCACTTTAACAATGATCCTTTGCCAAAAACATTTCAGATAGTCACATGTCATATTTCTTCACCTCTGGTCAACTGTCAACTTCACAGGTACATCTTGTTTCACACAACATGGTACTGTCCTTCATAATCATTTTTATTGTCCAGTGATAATTCAAGCAATTAAAAAATTTTTATGCTATTGTTACTTTTATGTCCATGAGTCTATAATTAGTATTGCTTTCAGGGACAAATGAGATTTGTAATATTTATAGAATACCCTACAACCTTACACATATATAACAAACATATAATAGTGACTGTGTTGAAAATGACCAGCAATACTGATTCCCTCGCTGTGGAGCATATTTTATCACTATCCATAAAGTTCATAAGCTATAAGTTTTAAACAGAAGAGTTTACATTTTGAAAGATTTAAGAAAGTTAATCCATAATGCAAAGACGGGGCTTCCTGCCCTACACATTTAAAGATATAAAGTGTTGGTTGGCATTTAGTCCAAGTCAAATATTAAAGAAAGCTTGAAGAGGTCTGGCCTGATACCTTTTAGCAAAAGATAATGCATTTATGTTTTTGAAGTAATCCAATCCACCATTAAAGTAGAAAGGGATACTGTTCCTCTGTACTTTACCCAACAAATGGCATGAGAAGAAAATAGATGACTATTGTGATTCATCAAATTAGTTGGTGCTGAATACTGCACAAAGGTCTAAGGAGCAACAAGAAGAAGGCTTTGTAGGAAAGGAACCACTTGTGAATCAATAATTAATTTTATAGAAGAGTAGCACATTATATAACCTTAGTTGCAGATTCCATACTTACCTCTTGCAAGAATTAGGCAAATAACCCCAAAGCAAAAGTATGTTATGGATTTTTTCAAGAAAGTAAGGTGTGATCTTTATCAGAAGCCATCCTATTTCATATTTCACATCTATATCCTGTTTAAAATATAATGAGAGTTATCGAAATGACACGTCTTGGGGAAAATGTTAAATCACCCTAATACCTACTCTTTAAGAAGTCTGGGATAACAAAAACATTAAAAGATAATATTTTATGGTTCTTGAATATTAAACTTTACCCATCCAGAAAATTCACATATCAAGTGTACTGGAGTACCAAATGGAGTATCTAATAAATAAAGGTTATTACTACCTTTGGATTTTGTTTTAAAATTCTTAATACTGTAAATGTTAAACATGTCAGCACATTTGTTTCTCATTTGATCTTACAATGAGTTACACATTGATATTTAAAAGTTAAAATTCAGAAAAGTTAAATAGTATCTTTTTGTAATTAAAATAGCATGTACTATATAACTCACTTATTTTCAATGATTTTCATTAGTTCTTCATATTCCCTAATTAGTAATATTAAAACTGAGAAATCTACACTTGGTTAACTTAATCCCTCTGTGCTTCAGTTTCCTCATTTACAGCTGAGGACAAAAACAGTACTTACCCTATAAGATTGTTAGTACATTAAATGAGTTAATATTTATAAAATGTATATAATAGTATATAATACATAGCAAGCATTATTTATGTGTTAAGTATAATTAAAAATAGATATACTTGTGCTACCAAAATTAAGTATATTACTATATAATCTGCTTTTCAGGAATTACTTTTAAATCAAACAACTAAGAAGATCCTGTGAAACAGAACTTTCAACATAGTAGTAAGGAATACACAAATTTTAAAGACAGCAAGAAGAAGAAAGTCTGTATTCTTATCTTACTTTGTCCCCTCTAACAATAAAATATAAATTGCTTTTGGTATCTTAAAATAATCCCAAATCCTTTGGTTACTTAAAAGTTATAGTGCTTAATGCTTTCAGAAGCAGAAGTTCACATATAATAGGTGCCAAAAGCAAACTATGGGCAATATGGCTCTGCACATATTATAAACAAAGTTATCACTAGCACCAAGATATGCAATCTTGAATAACCAGGAACAGGGTGTAACTTAAAACAAGGTGGATGATGATCAGGATGGAGAAATGTTTGTTATAAACATATTTATAAACACATGTAATTCTACCATTACCTACATATCTAAGATATGTAACTATTTTAATGTAATTCTACTAGGCAAGAAGCCTTCCAATAATATAATACACCATATAATATTATAAAGCTCATTTTTCAAAATCAGTTATCACTACCATTCCAAGGATTTTAAGACGAGGTTACTATGTGGATGAGAATTCATATGTAATGATGATTTTGGTTTGCCAATGAAATTCATGAAATAAGAATAGATAATTTTTTGAGACATGGTTATTGCCTATGCAACTCAGAAGACAACTGGATTCTAAGCTTGAAGGATACAGTAACTAGGTGGCTGAGGAAATTCAGGAACTCTTTTCTTCCATCTGCCTCTAATAGCTAGTATCCTCAACTTTTCAGGATTCTCTCATGGGTCTTCTTCTTTTCTTGGTAATCTCATCTGCTTCAAAAGCAGGTGGTGATACTAACTTGTTAGTGAAGCAAGAAAAAAACCAGATATCATGACAGCACCTTGGGCCTGAGATGAAGTTGGCTATGGATGAGATGTTCCCTGAAAGTGGGGCCTCTATCTGGACTGAACAAGACTTTGAAAATGATGTTCAGTGGAACTGTCTGGCAATACTGTGACCATGCCTTTGTGACACATAGCACACTGAACTGTCCAGGACAGGGTCAGATGGTTTTAGAGACCTTGTGGAGATCACTAGAAATGGACCTGGTCAGCAGAGAGAAGAGAATTGTCTGATGAACGACTTGGATGTGCCATTCATCTCCATCTTGCCTATTTCTATTAAAAATGCATACTAATTGCTAAACAAAGAAGAAGAAAAAAACAAAACCCTCAGTTTGTTCTTAAGTAGTTTATATTTTCTTTTAAAAATGGGTTATCTAGGGCTGATAGAGTGGCTCAAGTTGTAGAGCGCCTGCCTAGCAAGTGTGAGGCCCTGAGTTCAAACCCCAGTATCCTCCCTAAAAAAAAAAAAGAAAAAAAAAAGGGTTATTAGTTGTAAAAGTTGGATGTTTTTATGAGGCACAGTGACTTGTGTGTGTTATTACATGAATCATTCACCTCTTTAATGAGACGATTCCAAATCTGAGTATGATTCTGCCTTTATTTTTTTCTTAGTTTTTTTTCTAAGACAAGGACTTACTATGCATTTCTGACTGGTCTTGACCTTGCTATTTAGCCCAGGTTAGCCTTGAGTTTTAAATCCCTCTGCCTCTGCCTTCTGAATGCTGTGATTAAAGATATGCATTGCCACCCCTAGCATGATTCTGTCTCTGTGGGTTATTCTACAATATCAAAAAGTAATACATACCATTACCATAAATTGGAAATAATTCTGTTATTTGTTTTAAGCTACTAAAAGTGGTAAGTGCAATATAGATCAAAATGAATACTAACTCCAATAATGTCCACCTATATCTTATCTTTAACCAACAGATACATATTCAATAAATATCTATTAAGTGAATGAATCAGCTGTAGTTGCAGTATGTAGTAGGAAAAAAACTGAACTTGATGAGAAATATGAGACTCAGAACATTTGAGAATTGAAGGCTTGCTTAGCCCAATTTACGGAAAAAAAAATTACATGGGTTATAAGTTATATAAGAGTTATAAGTGTAGTATGTTCAGGGTTATACCAATTAAATACATCTGAAGTTGCAAACATTCCCTAGAGATGGAATTGATAGCACTGTGGCAAAACCCAACAATTTTTAATGCATTTTTTTTGGGGGGGGGGGTTCCATAGTGTTCTTATTTTAAAAACACTGATGATAAGATGTTCCCCACCTAAAATTAAGACATGACAATGAGTTTAATAAGCAGCTATGGAGGGAAAATATTTTGATGAGTCAGGGTCATTTTATAAATAGGTATTACTATATATGTAATATATGCATATAATATAATGTGATATCCTCCAGGATTGTAGGCTTTTAAAGAGTTTGTTCTCTCTACACTAAATGGTCCCAAATTGCTCTCTATATATTTCTTTTTTAGATTTTAAGTTCACTTCTAATTTTGTTTCCTCTCTCCCTGCAAACCTATCAACCATTACACTTCACTTTGCCAGCATGCCTCTCCCCTTTCTCACTGCTGTTTGACTGAGAAACCAGATAACCAGGTTATCAGAGAACCCATAAGGCATCTGCTTGAGACTGAACCCCAGGACCTGTTTTCTACCTCTGGCTGGTTTCCCAAGTACCCCTGTCTTTCATTCCTCCTGTACCAGGGATTTAGCTGGCATTCTTCTCTACCTTTGGCACTGTCACCAAGTGCTTTTCTTACCTTGCGTTCTTTTTCCTAGGCTGGCTATGAATACAGTCAATTCTTTTCTTTACTGCCTCTCCCCAAAAGTGTAGTTCCTCCTCTCTTCTTTTGTGAGAATTTTACCTTTAATTAATACAAGGAATTATGGAGTGGATTACAACACAGAAAAAAGGATTTAGGAAATCTTAAAATTTCTCATTGTGATTTTGCTTAGTGTTTATTGAATTTTCAATCCAATTTCTTGGATTTTCCCAGAAGATGTTGTCATTTCTTTTCATTTTTTTCCTTACTATACTATAAGAGACTTGAAGAAAGGTATCTTATTTTTGCATGTCCAAAACCTAAAATAGGAACTGACACATAGGAAGATTGCAACAGATGCCTAACTATCAACTCACTGATTAAAATGTTAATTCACTGCATTACAGAACTAATTTAATGAACAAATTATCAACATATTTTCAGTCCAACAACCAAATGAACTGCCTTAAAAAGAAAAATAAAGCTAAAATTGAATATTCTAAAGAAAATACTTATTGCTTTATGAAAATCAGTACATAAACCAGGTGTAGTGATTCCTGCCTATAATCCCAGCACTCAGGAGGCTGAGACAGGAATAGTGTGAGTTTGAGGACAGCCTGGGCTACATAGAAAAACCCTGTTTCAAAAAAAGCAACTCTAATAAAATAACTCAGTATTAGATTGGCCCATCATTTTTATAGCAATAACACAGTACTTACTTTTCTTGTAATTACTAAATGAACTAAACCTTTCTTTGGCTCATTGCTTAGACTGATTATGTTCTCCACTAAGCATCTGCAGCTGATTATGAATGTATTTAAAATAAGCCCCACATCAAATAAGAAGCCATAAAATAGCATTTAAAAAATTCACAGCTGCTAATATAAGCTTCATTTGTAGTCTTTCAATTTTGTGACTAAAAAGAAAACAAAAGCAAATTCATTGGGTTAGCCTCCTACTAGCTGAGAAAGATGAGAGGGATTGAAAAGATTTTTTTTGTTGTTAAATTATATACTTTAGGAACATACTTTAAGACACATTTTCACTGGTCTCCAGGCTCCTCCTCCTCCTCTCTTCCTTCAGACAGAGTGCTCTTTCTTAGCCAACAATCTTTCCTTTGTTTTGATTCATACAACTGGCTTCAACCCCACCCCCAGCACTGTACACACATGACTATGGTGAAAAGTAGTAACAGCAGAAAGCTTGACCCCCAAACATTATTAACTTGCGTAAGTGATGAATTCTTGTGCCCACTTTCAAAACTGACTTGCATTTGAAATATAAAGAAGCAGTTAAGTTCTCCTGAAAGTTAGAAAACCATGTACAATGGGGCTGTAACAAATTCAGTCATCACCCAAATTTAATCATCAACCACAAGCCTCACAACACAGGCATGCCTTCCATGATCCCCCAAATGTCCTCTATCTTCTGAAAAAAACTCCGCACTTCATCTTTCTCACTCATCTCTAACTCCTCTGACTCCATGTTTTCCATTTCTCTTTATTCTTCCCACCAGTAAATCCACATAATCTATAGCTACCTTTCTCTCCAAATTCTGAGAACTAAGTGCAACCATACTCTCAATTAGGCAGTAGTACACTTGTTGGTTCAGGTATAAATTGGTAATCCTCTCAGAAGAGGAGGTGGGTGGCTAGAAACAGAAAGAGGGGGAGGACTTACTTTTAAATTTTTCTACCATGTATAGAGTGCATACACCATTAAAAATAATGAAATGTTAATTTATGTAACAGTCGCTACTCTCTAAAACGTGCTTGGTTGGTTATCCTTGTTCTCCATTAGCTTTACCATTTTCCCTGGCTTATTAATTTACTCAAAAATCCTTTTTGTTTTTGTTTTGATTTTTTTAAGATTGGGTCTTGCTATGTAGCTCAAGTTAGCCTCCAACTCTATATTTAGCCGAGGCTGGCCTTGATCTCATGCTCTTTCTGCCTCAGCCTCCCAAGTGCTGGGATTATGGGCATTTGCTACCAGGCCTGGCCAAAATCTTTTAGTTTATTAAAACCAGATAAAAGTATTAAAAAGCTCCTTTCCCCAAGACTGGGTTTCCCACTAGCTATTGCACTCTCAGGAGAAGCTCAATCGAGCTTCTCCAAAAAGGATTTATTCTAATTTTTATTTCCCCATCTCTCATCCATACCTTAACCTTACCACAACCTGATTTTTCCTGAAACCACTCTCTTTTCCTCCACCAATAGTTCCTGCTAACCAATCCAATCAGACCTTCTCAGTTGTTATGTCATTTCTGGTTCAGTATGCTGATGACTCCCTATGTCAGTTTTCCTTCTTTGGCTTTCCTGGAGTCTACATCTCCAGATGCTTGTTCTCAGACCTCTCATTAGATCACCTAGTCCCTTCCTCTTGATTCTTAAATTTGGTACTTTTCAGAATTCACTATGACCACATTTTTGCACTAAGCTCCATCTCCAGCCCTCAGATGAACTATTAAATAAACGGGTAGGTGAATTCTTTCACCATTAACTTGCATAATTCATAGACTCCACTGTTACACAATATGGTGTAACACTTGTAAATTAGGTCCTGTTTTAACAATTTCTTCCTTTTTGTGACTTTTAGGAGAACTTTCTAGAAAGAACTCAAAGTTTGGCAAACATTAACAGATACTTAAATATAGGTAAAGCTTCAAGGATCTCAATGATCTTTACAAAATGAATTAGTTGCATCTCTATACCACTGGCAGACTTTGTATGCTCGTTTTCTAGCATAAATAAATCACAACATAGGGTAGTTAACCAGAATATTCTATAGGTTCTGTAAGTCAGTGCTAAAGCTAGGAACACTGCCTATTAAGCACTTATCGATAAAAATAAATTTCAATGAAGTTACCTCAATTAACAACTAGTTAATCAGTGCTTTACTGAACAGCTCTCAATAAATGCCCTTTGATTAACTAAAGATACTAAAAAAAAAAAAGATAAAACAGCCTCTGGCCAAAGGGAGGTTAAAGAGCTAAGAAATCTAAGATCTAATGGGGAAAGCTCTAACCATCTCCATGATCTAGATTAGAGCTAATAGCTAATGATCTATGAAATCTAAGAAATAAGACAATAAATACTTAATGGATATTACAACGTAACTATCCTGTAGCTAGCAGGGGTGTGTGTGTGGGTGGGTGGGGTCTTTTCTATCTGAAATGGCCTGGCTTTGCACTGGATGTCAGATTTTAGTGGGTTCCTTAAGTATGGAAATACTTGGGTGAAAATGGGGGTATCTGATAAGATTAAAAAAAAAAAGCCCAAAAGCAAGCCAGTTTGGTAACAGATTGAGGAAGGATTACTGGAAGGGTATTTGGAGATTTAAATCTGATTAGTTCAGATTAAGAAGTCTGAACTTGATCCTGCAGGAAAAATGTTTCTTAATTGAAAGTGGCATTTGAAACAAATAAATCTAGAGGCAGAATACAGGGTAAATTTCATGAATAGAGAAATTAGAGACAGAAAAATAATTAGGAAATTTTATCACATTACATGTGAATTACTATGATAAAGGCATAAACCAGGTGAACAGAAATAATAGATTTGTGAGATAATGAAAATAAGACTTGTTAACTAGTGAGTTGGGACTAGATAAATTTTTCCTCTCCTAAAAAATTACTACATCTGGCACACACCAGAGTCATTCGGGCTTGGAAACCTAGCAATCTCCCTTGTCCCTCACACCATGAGAGTTTTCTTCCAGAGACATCTGTCCCCTCCCCCATAAAAAGCTGGCTTCTCCAACTTCCTTCATTAACCGCACAATATATTCCAGCCTAAACAAAGCATTTACTAGTTCCCTAGACACACCAGGGAATTCTCAACTTATAACTCTATTCACAATATTTTTTCTACCTCTGATGTCCTCTCCCAATTCTACATATACAAATTCTAACCATTCTTCACACATTAGCTCAAATGACACTTTTTCAGTGAAGCCTTCCCAGAAGCCCCAACTCAAAGTCAGCACTGCCTACCATCCCCCTTTTCTCTAAACCACTTACTTAAACTTTTCGTTATAGTTGCTCATCTCTTCTGATAATATTGTCAATGTTTTACAGCAAATATACTCAATTCATTTTTGTACCCTCCCCACTTTCCTCACAAGTAGTTGAAGATGTTAAATATCATATGGCAACAGCAAACAATAAGGCTAACAACACAGACTCTAAAGACAGAGAATGTGTGAGTTTGAATTTTTAACTGCTGTTTTTTAGCTAGATGACCTGGGGCAAGTTACTTAACCTATGTTTCTGTATACTGATGTATAAAATGGAGATTAATAGTAGGTATTTCACAAGGCTGTCAGAAGATTGAGCTTAGAACAGTGTATGACTCATAAAAATGTCCATTAGATACATAAAATCACTCTTTAGGGGTGAAAATACTAAATATTCCGTGACAGTTGTGTAAAGCTTTACAACCTATATAGGAAAAGCAAAATGTTAAAAGCAAAGCTAGTATCTAGGTACAAATAGCTATATACAAATTCTTTCTAAATCTTATGTATGCCCTAAGGGTTATCTATGCCTTTTACAGTCTATCTTACATTAACAATGAAAGTTTTAGTTTGACATTTCAATATTTTGAGAAAAATCTTTAGTTCAGTTTCCTAGGGCAATAGTTACCTAAATTGATCTCCCTGCCTCCATTCTTATCCCTTTTGCCACAAGGCTCAAAATAGTCTTTCTTCATTTTATTTTTTTTTTCATTTTTCTTTTATTATTCATATGTGCATACAAGGCTTGGCTCATTTCTCCCCCCGCCCCCACCCCCTCCCTTACCACCCACTCCACCCCCTCCCTCTCCCCCCCTCAATACCCAGCAGAAACTATTTTGCCCTTATTTCTAATTTTGTTGTAGAGAGAGTATAAGCAATAATAGGAAGGAACAAGGGTTTTTGCTGGTTGAGATAAGGATAGCTATATAGGGCATTGACTCACATTGATTTCCTGTGCGTGGGTGTTACCTTCTAGGTTAATTCTTTTTGATCTAACCTTTTCTCTAGTACCTGTTCCCCTTTTCCTATTGGCCTCAGTTGCTTTAAGGTATCTGCTTTAGTTTCTCTGCGTTAAGGGCAACAAATGCTAGCTAGTTTTTTAGGTGTCTTACCTATCCTCACCCCTCCCTTGTGTGCTCTCGCTTTTATCATGTGCTCATAGTCCAATCCCCTTGTTGTGTTTGCCCTTGATCTAATGTTCACATATGAGGGAGAACATACGATTTTTGGTTTTTTGAGCCAGGCTAACCTCACTCAGAATGATGTTCTCCAATTCTATCCATTTACCAGCGAATGATAACATTTTGTTCTTCTTCATGGCTGCATAAAATTCCATTGTGTATAGATACCACATTTTCTTAATCCATTCGTCAGTGCTGGGGCATCTTGGCTGTTTCCATAACTTGGCTATTGTGAATAGTGCCGCAATAAACATGGATGTGCAGGTACCTCTGGAGTAACAGTCTTTTGGGTATATCCCCAAGAGTGGTATTGCTGGATCAAATGGTAGATCGATGTCCAGCTTTTTAAGTAGCCTCCAAATTTTTTTCCAGAGTGGTTGTACTAGTCTACATTCCCACCAACAGTGTAAGAGGGTTCCTTTTTCCCCCCGCATCCTCGCCAACACCTGTTGTTGGTGGTGTTGCTGATGATGGCTATTCTAACAGGGGTGAGGTGGAATCTTAGCATGGTTTTAATTTGCATTTCCTTTATTGCTAGAGATGGTGAGCATTTTTTCATGTGTTTTCTGGCCATTTGAATTTCTTCTTTTGAGAAAGTTCTGTTTAGTTCACGTGCCCATTTCTTTATTGGTTCATTAGTTTTGGGAGAATTTAGTTTTTTAAGTTCCCTGTATATTCTGGTTATCAGTCCTTTGTCAAAATAGTCTTTCTAAAATGCAAATTTAATGTTTCCCCACTTTTACAAACCCCTCCTTCCATCGCACTTAGGATAAAGTTTAAACCCCCTCAGATCTCACTTGAAATCTTTCTAATCTGCCCCCGCCTAGTATCCAGCTTCATCTCTCAAAACTCTTCTCATCAAGAAACTTGAATCACCTAGTCACATCGAAAAGGCTTTTTGTATGGTCACTCCTTTTGCCTACAATACCCCTGTTAGCTTGCTGGAGCTGCCATAACAAAATACCACAGACTAGGTGGCTTAAATAACAGAAATTTGCTTTCTCACAGTTCTGTAGCCCGGAAGTCCAATTTTCTCCTGAGGTCTGCTTCCTTGGTCTTTTTGATACAACCATGCATGGTGTTTTCTCTGTGTGGGTGTATTTCTAGCATCTCTTTTTGTGTCCAAATTTCCTCCTTTTATAAGGACACTTATCAGATTGGATTAGGACCTACCCTAATGGCTTTATTTTACCTCAAGTCCTGCTCAAAAATAGTTATGAGAGTTAGGGCTTCCACAATAAGAATTTTAGGAGGATAGAATTCAGCTCATAACAATTCTTACTGCTTTTCTCTGCCCAGGCCAATTTCCATTTGCTTTTCTGAGTGGCCTGAGCCTTCCCATTCTAGTCTGATACTGTGCCCCCCTAGTATCTCCATACACTGCTATGTTATGGCTCAACATGATAACATACTCTCTCTTTCCCTCCTCAGTCTATATTCTGTAACAATGAAGACTACATATACACCCAGCACTTAGCACAGTGGCCCACAGAAAGTATGTAATAAAGAGCTGATGAATGGCAAGTAAAGAACATGGACCTTGAAATAAGAGATGTATGGGTTTGAATTATGGCTCACTGTTTACTTATTTTATGTGGTTGGGAAAGCATTCTAACTAAGGTAGTTGTAATGATAAAAGATTTAATTGTAACAAAAGCTTTCCTTTAAGGGGTTGGTATACCATCAATACTCATATGTTAAAGATTTGCTCATTTGATTTGACACTTAGTTCATCCACTCACTCAGTAGTTCAATGAACTTGGGTATGTTTGCTATCTTATTTCTTTAGTTGCCTATCTATAAAAACACCTCATGATTCTATCATGAGGATTAGTATAAGTAAAATACTTAGCTGGGTTTGTACCACATAGTATTATATAAATGTTTCCCTTATTATTATTATTATAAGAACACTGTATGTCTGAAGAGTATGACCGCACTTTCATTACTAAAACATTTAAATGTGACTACTACCTTAATGCTTCAAGTCTCCTTCCAGATAAAGGCATAAAACTGAAGAGGTTCAAAAGTGTATAAATGATATAAATGATATGAAAATAAAAATGAAATAATATACTATTATCTGTCTCACCCCTTATATTGGTATTTAAACAAGTTTCTCTAGTCTTTGTGACTATAGATGTTAACCATTTACAGTGGAGAATAATCCTTCTTGGCTCATACATTCGAGTGTAGAACCATAAAACCTGTGAACTGGAAAGCACCTTTGTGGTGAAAGTCCAATCCTATCATTTTTTACTTAAGTACATGAGATGGATTTGGAATAGGCTTTCAGCGTCTTAATGAGCAGCTCTGTGAGGGATGGTAATTGCAGACAGAGAGAACAATTTGTTCAAAACCACTAAAGTACAGGTTCTTAACTAACTCTCTCTCTCTCTCTCTCTCTCTCTCTCTCTCTATATATATATATATATATATACACTGAAGGTTTATTGCCACCAATATTAGGAAATAATGCTGAAAAATCCTTTTGAACCATTCTACATTTTAAGGTCTGTAATTTAGGAAGTAGGTAAAAGGTACCTGATGTGTAACTTTAAAGCAAGGCAGATCTAGATTTAAAATTCCACTTGCTACAAAAGCAAAGTCTTTGAGCCTCAGGTAAGTTCAACAGGTGTGCTAAAGTGATTAAGTAAGCTATGTATGTACTGGGCACCCGGCAGATTGCAAGCACTCAAATGTTGGTTCTTTCTCATCTTTTCCTTCTATCATTTGAATAAAAATTTGTAAGGTTACAAAACACTCTCTTATATAGTATGGGCTTGCTAAATGCCTGAGACTTGTTGGACACTACTTAGTTTTAAAAGGCTTCTTCATCTCTGCCCTTCCTTACCACCAAATGTCCTTCACGATTTGTTCTGAAGTGTCATGTCACCACCATTAACATGCTATTTGAAGATCACTGTAGCTCAGACTTCCAATTCAACAGCAAAGATTTGAAGGTTACGAAAAAATTTACTAAGATAGACCAAGAACTAGAAGAGTCGACTTCATTTTGTTGCTAAGATCCATTCCAGCTAGATGAATTTCCAACAGAAAGTTACTATTTTTCGGACGCAGAAATAGCGGGTGTAAGTAAAAAGTGCATGGTCAAGTAACTGACTTCACCATTATTACTGTGACCCAGAATTTTTTGTCCTTGGGAGATTATTTTTATGCCGGTACTGAAAATGGAATCTGCTAATATCTATCACTAACGCTTCAAACGAAAGTCAACCGCAACTGCAAAGAAAAGCCCAAAACAAAAAGGGCTTTTCCAATACCCTCTCCTCCACTTTACATCACAGATGGTGACCGAGGATTAAGATTTAATGTCCAGACACTAAAGCTACTCCTAAAAGCCGGGATCCAGATGGATGCTGTCCGGCAGAGGCTGGGAAGGTGCCAATCATCAGAGGCGCAGAGCCCAGCACCCATCACTCTGCAACGACGCCCGGGAAACAACCCCTTCCCTCCTCGCGACGGTGACCCGGCGAGCACCCAGCTCTCGGGTGTCCGCGAGTGACCTCCGAGGAGCCGAGGGGCACGGAGCGGAGAGCCTCCTCTGCCTTCCGGGGAGGTCGACAAGGGCAAATTCGAGTCGCGCGCGGAAAGGTTACTCACAGGAATGGCCCGGCGTCCTGCGTTCTCTGCCCGCAGAGAAATCCCTAAAGCGGCGACAGCCTGAGAGCAGCAGCCGGAGCTGCCGCCGCTACTACTAACTACTCGGGCGTGGCAGGGACCGGCGAGCAACTTCACAACATCATCACTCGGCGACCTCGGATCCGCAGCGACGCGGGGTCAACGACAGCCCCCACACCATTGGGGAAGCTTAAAGGAGACCTACTCTCCCGGCAGTCTCCACTGCACTAGCGCACGACCTGCCGGGAACTGTAGTTTCCTTTGCGCCCCGCCTCCATCTCGAAGGCCCCGCCCCCTCTCTGCCCTGCTCGGGGCGAGAGGCGGAGCAGGGGCACGAACCTGGTCTCATGCTGGGGTGGGGCGAATCCCGTCCGAGATGACTGCCTGGGGCTGGGGCAGAGTTACCTAGCCAACTGCCCCAGTCACGGGCGCGGCGCCCTGCTGCGCCCCGCGGCCCTCGCTGGGAGCGGGCCTAGCGCGCTCGCCTTCCCCCTCCGCGAGCCGGGGTCCCGCGCTTGAGGAGTCGCTGGCCGTGGTCGCCGCTAGGGTAACGAGGGGAAGCTGTAGGGCTGGTGGGAGACGACGGGGAAGCCTAGCGCCGGCACTCGCTGCCCCACCTCGAGCCCGAGCTCCAGGCCCGCCCGGCCGACCTGACCTGACCCTGCCCCGCGCGGCGAGCGGCCCCTGCGCCCGCGCTGTCTGCCCCGCGCGAGGTCAGCAGGGCCTGCGGGGCTCGGCTGTGCCAGGTGCCGGGTCCCCCGGCTCTCACCTTTGGCCTCGGTCACCGGTCTGGCGACTTTCAACAGAAGGCACCCTCTGGCACCCGCTCCATCTGCCCTCAGGACTGGAGGGGACGTTTTACAGAATTAAACGCTTCAGCGTCGTTTTGTCCCGAATTTAAATTTAGCATTGGGCTTTCCTCCTCGTGGGTTTGTTGTGTCAAATAGCTTTTTCTTCAGTACTTGATGAGGATTTGTAACACGGTACCTGGCACACACTAGGCGCCTTTGTAAATATTTGTTGAAAGCATGAGTCACGATCCTAAGTTTGGAAAATTCAACCGAGCTGTGCGTCGCTGTAGTTTTCGTTAAGGTTTTATGGGTTCCCAAGATCACTTTGAAAATTACGGTAATTTTGAAGCTCAACAAAGAGAGTTAAATCGGAGGTTTTTTGTTTTTTTTTCTTTCATTTTTGTAACAGTAGACTCTGTTGGATGCCTAAATTAACTCAGAACCCAAGTGTTGACCTTTGAAGTTTCAAGCCTTCAGGCAAACCATTCTATTATGAAACAGATGTAAATTATTTATGAAGCTCTATTGTAATTGACTTTTTAGATACATGTGCAAGGGACTACATGAGGTACTCATGAATACACTTAGAAATAGAGGTCTTTTAAGTGTGGTTTAAAAAAAATAGATTTATATTCACAACCTGTGAGAGAGCGCACACAGGAGAACATTGACAGCAAATCTCCCACCCCACTGCTTTGACCGGTGCTGCTGCTGCCTTGACCTCAAAGTGTCTTATAAAATTATCGCTTAATAGTGGAGTATATCTGAGGCAGAACCTCTGAGATTAAACCTCTCCACAGGGCAGTCTTTTTAGTACTAGCAATTCTCACAAATTTTTCTGAAAAATAGATAATATATCTATAATAGATAATAGATTTTTCTGAAAAATAGATAATATAATGGACTTTTCACATTGTTTTGTTGTTGAAGACAACAAAATCAGTAACAATTATATTAACGGAACAAAGGCAGGATGCAAAATCATGATAACCAGAAAATTAAGTTGATCACAATATCTGTAACCTTCCTACCTGTGGGAAAGTCAGCTACAAGTGGTCTGTACCTTGCTTGCCTTAATTATCAGTGGGTGTCCCCAGTGTCCAGCCAGTTCCTGACCTGTGGTAGTCATTCATTAAGCGTATGGAATGAATACTTGACAATGTAATGACTTTCTGTGTGTGCAGTTTTTTCATTTATGTGGTTGTCTCTGTAGAATGGAGTGGGCATTTTACTGGGTCACAGCTATAGATATTTTCATGGTTATCAAAACATTGCCAACTTGCTTTCCTGATAAGTCTTACCATTTTGCCCTTTTCAGAGCATCCTCTCCCATCTTTTATATATTGTGTTCGGTAGTTACAAGTACTTCCAGATGAAGTATCTTATTTTATCTCAGTCACCCCGAAAGGCCCAGCAGGCACTGCTTTCCTCATTTTGTAGCACAGAAACACCAGCATCTTACATTGACAGTATTGGTTGGCAGGTGAAAAAATAATTATGACCTTTCAGGTTCTTTTTCCTTCCATTCTCTACCTTTGGTTCATAGTGAACATGCCAAGTAAATTCACTTTCTTTCCTTAGTAATAAAATTGGATACTGTTTTATAACATTTATTTTTACAAAATCTTCCTTTTCTCATTCTGCTCAGAGATTTGTAGACTCCTTGATCAAATTTGGGATGTTGTTTAGAAGAAGTAAGGAAAAGCCTGCTACTAGCAAGTTTCTAATGCTGCCACCCTTTCTATTGGTAAAGGTCTAAAAACCTTTGGTGGTGTTTTTTTGTGTCTCCTTGAATTTAAGAAGTTACTATGTTAAAAATTTAAATCTGTTAGTAAAAATGGACCCCCCCCCTTTTTGTAAACATAGTAATCTCTGTATCTGCTGGAAGTGGGAGCACACCTGTAATCCTAGTGTTTGGGAACTGGAGAATGGAAAGTTTGGGCCCATCCTGGGCTACAGTGCAATATCTTATCTCAAAAAATCTAAATAATAATAATAATCTGCATATCTGCTATATCTATCAACAAATCTCAGGACTTGAGTTGAGAACTAAAAATCATTAGGTAATAGAACAATGAAACCACTTAAGCATGCAGTTGCTTTAAGTGGGGCAGGGAAGGGGTTGAGGTGAAGAAATGATGGGGGCAGTCTAACCATTGTACAAAATAAACCTGTTTGGAATTGTCACAATGAATCCCCCCTGTACAATGAATATATCTTAATAAATTATAAAAGAAAAAAATCATAAAGTAAAATGATTTAACTTACAAAAATATTTTCACATGAAAACTAAAAACTAAATCTATGGCAACAAGAACACATTACTATCTATTACTAATCCTGATTCTTTCCCAAATTTGCTAATCAAGGATCCCCAATAATTTAATAGGTAATTAATCCAATCAGAAAGCTTTGTAATTTCTCAAAGTTTACTTAAATAGAACCATTGGAAATTCTTGAGGTTTATTTGTAAGTGGTACTATTTATATAAAAATAGCTACAAAATTGTTTCTCTGGATGGCTTTCATATTTGTTCAGGGTGCTTTTAAAAACTAGTACAGAAAAGACAGGGAAGAAAAGATACAAGTATCTTGGAAATAATTTGAAAATATACAGAACCTCCCTTCAACTTCACTCTGCCTTTCTGTAGTGATGTCAGATCCCAAACAGTGTTCAGTAATGAGAAATATTCTTTAAAGACAACTTTTAGAAGTCACTTGTCTTCATGTCAAGGAATGCCTGCCTAAATACCCAGTGAGGCTACAGAACTACTTCTTCAAGGAACTTTTAGGTAAATCTAACTTATTTTGCTTTTGTTTTTTATAGTAGAATATTTCTACGTCTTGAAAGGAAGATAAAGCAAAAATCTTCTTTGGAATAGATGGATTTTTGTCACTTTCTGTGAACTAAAGCGATTCAATGTCTCTTCTGGTAAGTTTTTGTTAACCTAGATCTTACTGTGTGCCATCAATAGTTAGATGTTAATGCAGAGCCTTATCAAAAGGCATATTCTGTTGAATGACTTCTGTCTTGAGGAATGAATTAAATTCTCAGTGAGTTTTTGTCTCTTACACAGATCTTCTGTACTTCTTTGATATACTCATTATTCTAATCCTTTTTCTTATACCTACTTTTTCTATATTGTATGCTTAGATGCCAAGTCCCATCTAGTTAGCTATGCCTTATCCTTTAAATCTTTCAAAAATTCCTTTTATCCCCAGTACCATCAAGAGAAAATTCCTTGTATAAATTTCTGAGTAAAGGCAAGCAAGATAGCATTTAAAACAAGCCTTTTGGCTTAACAGTCAGGTAAAAACATTTGGACCAGTGCATTTTATGAGCTATATTAGATGCCAGTTTGTTTTGTGTTTGGAGTAGATGCATGTTAGCTGTTTTAGATTAAGTGACTTGAGAACTTTTATTCTGATTTATGTACAGGGTAATGTTTGAATAGGGAATTTTTATATTAAGACAATGATTTCAGTTTTTAAAGTTGTGAGATTGGCAGGACAGGTGGAATCCTCATTTTGAGTTTGCCTGTGAGTGCCAAGAATTGAAGCCAGGGTTCAGACTCATAGCTGCCACTCCATCAGTCACCAAAGCTAAGAGGCAGAACTATGAACTTAGGACACTGTCTTGTTAGTTACATGGAAAATACATAACATACTTTCTTTGAATATATGTATCTAGAAAATACATTGAAGTCAAGTATCTCATTCTATGAAGCAATATTTGCATGCTACTACTCTTCTACTCTTGTAGCATTTAAGCAGCCATAGGCAGTGTGTAAAAATGAAAAAAAATGAATGAGTTCCAGTGAAACTTTATTCACAAAACAGCTGGTGGTTCATGGACCATAGTTTGCTGACTCCTGCTCTGAAGAAGTACTTAGATTTACAATTTTCTATCACTTTGTAAATTGGAGAAGGTATAAGAGGCCATTTACTTTAGTCCATTCATTTGATAGATGAGGGATTCAGAGTGCTGAATTCAACTTTAGATAATCAGTAAATTAGGCTAACTGGTAAAATAGCTTGATTATTAAGAAATTCTGGCTTTTTTTTAAAAAAATGAAATTTGATTACTTTTTAAGTGACTGATTATAAAATATTAACTAGAGAAAGATAGCCTTATTTGATATTGTACTTTAATATTCATATAAAAGTGCTTATTGATGAGATTCTTGAAAATAATTTCTTATAAAAGTCTCATATGATGTACTTATACTTTTCTTTTGGCATACTTTTTCTCCCTAAATAATGTAAGATCAGCTTCATTCATCCCACTAATTGAAGATGTGCTAGATCATATGTAGGTGGTACACTTCTTTATAGGCAATATATGATAATAGAGCCATGAGTTATTATGCAGGAAAATGTAAATTATGATACTAGAACAAGTCTCTTTTAATTTGCTTTGAGTTGGACGTGTTTGTCACCTTAAACAAATTGGTACGAAATTCACTCAGTATGTAATTTAAAAAATAAATGTATGGTTTAATGTGGAATAATATCGTTTCTACACTCAAGAAGAAAAACATCTGAGGATCAAGATAAAATTACAGCAGACTAATCTTTAGCTAAGTATTCAGAAGAAAATAATTTTAGCTAAATATTTAGAAATATCTAGAAATTCATCAAGGGTAATGAAAGAGGTAAAAGTTAACATCAGGTTTTAAAATGGATTGATACTGCAACACCAAGAAAAGAGAGGACAAAGCTCAGAGATAGTACCAGCTACAATTCTAACCGGTCTGAAGTTAGCTGTCTGCATGCCTAGCCACTCCTCCCTCCTCTCCCCATAGGATGAGTCCTTGTTTCAGTTCTGGACTGCTCCTCTCTGGGCATCACATCTTTTTGTATCCATTCACCACCCCTGCTTATCCTGTGCCATACTTTTCACTTATTTATTTCTTACTTCCAGGATTGTTTCTGTACTTCACGAACACAAGTTGAATCACTCAGACCTGAAAAACAGTCTGAAACCAGTATCCATCAATACTTGGTAAGAAAGTGGTTGAGTATAATTAATGTACCTCCTTTGCCTTCTGTAAAATCATTCTCTCCTGATTCTCTTGTAGCTCTTTTTCTTTCTGGTGTCTCTTATTGTTTCTTCTTGCACCTATTACTGTCTAAGAGTCTAAAATTGACTTCTCTTTCTAAACCAGCTCTCCTTAAACAGCTTCTCCTGTTCCTTTGATATTACTTGTTCAGATTTGAGATTGTGCTGAAGCTACCTCAGGTGTCCTGAGAGAACTCTGGCATCAAGATAATCACCTGATTTTTCTCTTTCTTGGGCACTAGACATGTTGATAGAATATATCTGATTAGATTTCTCAAAGGTACCTATACCGAGTTTGAGTGAAACTTTAGTCATCTCTGAAAGCTCACCAAACCATTGTATTTCCTGCTTTGCCTAATGAAAAACCATCTGTAAGTCATCCTTACTAGAAACTTTGTTATCCTTATACTGCCTGTACTCCTGCCCTCATCTGGAGTTAGATACCAAGTTTTAGGAATCTCTCTTCTTCTCTCACAGGAGCACTGTTACTTAAGTCTCCTCATCTCCCACCTGGCCTGTTGCAGTAGTGTCATTGCCTGTAGTCTCCTAGTTACATACATAGTCTTCTCCCATGGTAATCACATCAGTGTGCGGTACTGTAACATGATAGGCCCACTTATGCTATTTTCCAGCTTGAAAATGTCTCTTGGCTTCTTAAAGCCAAGAACTTTTTAGCATGATATTAGGATTCTCATTGATGTGGAGTATTTCCAGTGTTTGAGTCTCATTTCTTGTTATTGAGTCTTAGCACATATGCCTCCCTCTGCTTGAAATGCCTTTTTCCCTCCTCCTGAAATTCTTCCTCATTCACAAAGAATTGATTCAAATAACACATCTGTGAAGTCTTTCCAATTATGCTTTTATTTCATTATGCTCCCATCTATCTTAGACAATCTTATAAACATAGTTCTTACTATATTATCTCACAGTGATTGAGGGGTATGTCTCTCCAACCATAATGTGATTCCCCATAAAATAGGGATCCTGTCTTATTTATCTTGCTCTCCTCAAGGCAGTGCCTGATATATTAAGTAATATTTAAAGGAATGCATTTGGCAACACATATTTCTCAGAGATCCTTTTTCTCCTCATAATCCTTAGGTTTTTAAAGTTAATCCTTACTTTGTGCTTCAATTTTCACTACAAAATGGAATCTGCCTTGCAAACTTTGCTACAAAATAAGGTAATCCCAGTTAATTTTGCTTAGAATTTATCCCAGGCCTGTCTTCAGCCATCATCATTTTTATCATTTCACTTCTTACTCACTAATACTCTCCATGGCCTTCTATATATTTGTCTTCTCATTCAGTAGGAGTAGTATTCATCCTGAGCTTTGACTCAAGTGATACCCCTTAGGTTGAATTCATGTGGCTCAGGTTCAGTCACATGGCTGCTGTTGTCTCCATGCTGGTACCAACAGAGAGACTTGGAACTCAGGAAATTTCCCTGCTAGAGTTCTTCACACTGCCAGGTTGGAACCATTATATTTTAAACAGCTAATTCACTGTTGAAACTACTTAGACAAAAGTCTTAGGTAAGGAAAACAGAAGCATAATATGGAGAAATAAAATTGAAGAAATTATGTAATGTAAATTAACACCTGCTGTAAACTGGTGCCTGATAATTGGAAAAGACTTTTTTGAGTCATGTTTAAAAATACCATCTGTTGTTTTATAGCTATCTTTCGGCCTGGACCCTATAGACAAGGCTAAATGTTAAGTTAAAATGTCATGTTCAGAAGATGCTCCTGGTTTTCTAAATGATTTGTCTCCTAAAACTTTGGAAACACCCCTGTTTTCTAAAATTAACCTTTGCAAATGAAGGCCTATGGTATTTGAGTTGAAATGCTGCTTTTAAAATTACTGCAATGTTAGCATTCTAGTGGTTCCTGAAAGGTCATCTAGTCCAGTCTTCAATCCATGCAGGAAACGTTCACTATAATATCTCTAAATTGGTTGTAGAAATCCAAATTTGAAATAAGCTCTATCATAGGAAATAATAATGTCCCATCATCATCATCACCACGGCATCATTTTAGGTCAAGATTCCACAAATGAATAAGAACATACGATATTTGGCATTTTTATTATTTTTTTGTTTTTTGGCAGTACTATGGTTTGAACTCAGAAGTTCATGCTTGCTAGGAAGGTGCTGTACCACTTGAGCCACTCCACCAGCCCCGATATTTGGCATTTTGACTTGGCTTATCTTTCTCAGCATGATGATCACCAGTTTCATCCATTTTCCTGCAAATGACATAATTTCACTTTTCTTTCTGACTGAAGTAATATTCCATAATATGTATATATACACACTATGTATATAGTACACACCATATTTTCTTTATCTATTCATCACTTGTTGGACACCTTGACTGTCTCCACAGTTTGGCTATTGTGAAGAGAGCTGCAAATAAATATGGGTATACAGGCAGTCATCTTGTATATTGATTTATACTCCTTCAGATACATGCCTAAGTGGTATAGTAGGGTCATAAAGTAGGTCTATTTTTAGTTGCAACTTTGCACTTTCAAAGTAGATGCTGTACCACTTGAGCCACATCTCCAGTTCATTTTGCTCTGGTTATTTTGGAGATAGGATCTTGCAAACTATTTGCCAAGTCTGGCCTTGAACCATGATCCTCCCCATCTAAGCCTCCCAAGTAGGTAGGATTATAGGTGTGAGCCACCAGCCCCTGGATTATTTTTAGTTTCTTGAGGAACCTCTATACTGATTTCCATAGTGGTTGCGCTAGTTTACATTCCCACCAGTTCTTTTTACTACCACATCCTCTCCCACATTAGTTGTTTGTTTTCTTGATGATTGCCAATCTGACTGGGGTGAGATGGAAACTTAGTGTAGTTTTGATTTCCATTTCCTGTATAGCTCAGGATGTTGACCATTTCTTTATGTATTTATTAGCCATTTGCATTTCTTCATTTGAGAACTGTCTGTTCAATTTCTTTGCTCATTTATTAATTGGATTATTTTGTTTTTTGCTGTTCAGTTTTTGAGTTCTTTATATATTCTGGATATTAATCTTTATCTTTTATTTGTTAAATAGTTAGTACAGATTTTCTCCCATTCTGTGGGTTGTCTTTTGATTGTGGTAATTATTTCTCTTGATGTGCAGAAACTTTTTAATTTAATGAAGTCCCATTTGTCAATTCTTTCTATTATTTCCTGAGCAATTGGAGTCCTATTCAGAAAGTACTTGCCTACACCTGTATCCTCCAGCATATTGCCTATGTTTTCTTGTAGTAGTTTCAAGGTTTCAGAGAGAGAGCTAGAAGTCTAGTCTTACCCTTCTGCATGTAGATAACCAGTTTTCCCCGCACCATTTTTTGAAGAGGCTGTCTTTTTTCCAAAGTATGTTTTTGGCTCTTTTTTCTCAAAGATCAGATGACTTGTAGGTATGTGGTTTTATTTCTGACTTTCTTATTCTCTTCTATTATTTTTCATGTCTGTTTTTGTGCCAGTACAAAGCTGTCTGTATTACTATGGCTTGGTAGTATAATTTGAAGGCTAGTATTGTGCTGTCTCCAGTGTTGCTGTTTTTGGCCAGGATTACTTTTGCTATTTGAGGTCTTTTATGCTTCCATATGAATTTTAACTTTTTCTGTGAAGAATGGCATTGGGCATTGCATTAAATCTATAGATTGCTTTCAGTAGTATAGCCATTTTTACAACATTAACTCTGCCATCCATGAACATGGTAGGTCTTTCCACCTTCCAATGTCATTCAGTTTCTACCTTCAAGGTTTTATACTTCTCACTGTAGAAGTTTTATTCTCCTTAGTTAAGTTTATACCTAAGTATTTTTTTAGGCTATTGTGAATGGATAATTTTCCTGATTTCTTTCTCAGCCTGTTCATTGTTGGTATATAGAAAAACTACTGATTTTATATCCTGCTATGTTGCCAAAAGTGTTTATCAGCTCTAGGAGTTTTTTTTTTTTTTTGGTGGAATCTTTAGGGTATTACAAGTATAGAATCATATCATCTGCAAGTAGGAATAATTTGACTTCTTCCATTCCTGCTTGAATTCCTTTTATTTCTTTCTCTTGCTTTATTGCTTCGGCTAGGAATTCTAGTACTCATTCCTGACTTTAGAGGGAATAAATGAGTTCAGTTTTTCCCTGTTTAGTATGATGTTGGCTATAGGTTTGTCATACATAGCCTTTATTATGTTGAGGTACATTTCTTCTAGTTTCTTTTTATCATAAAAGGATGTTGAATTTTGTCAGAGGCTTTTTCTGCATCAGTTGAGATGATCATGTGATTTTTTTTTCTTTGATTCTGTTTATGTGATGTATTACATTTATTGATTTACATATGTTGAGCTATCTTTGCATCCCTGGAAAGAAACCAACTTGATCATGGTATATGATCTTTTAAATGTGTAGTTGAATTTGGTTTGCAAATATTTTATTGAGAATTTTTGTGTCTATGTTTATTTAAGAGATTGGTGCATAATTCTCTTTTTTTTGTTGTGTCCTTTTCCAATTTTGGAATGACTGTAATACTGGATTCATAGAATGAGTTTGGTAGTGTTTCTATTTCATGAAGTAGGTGATAGTTTTTTAAAGATCTGGTATAATTTGTCAGTGAATCCACCTGGTTCTTGGATTTTCTTTGTTGGGAAAACATTACTTCATCAGTCTCAATGCTTGTAATAGATCTATTTATATCATCTTAGTTCAGTTTTGATAGGTCAAATGCATCTAGAAATTTATCAGTTTCCTCTAGGTTTTCCAGATTTTGAATATAGGTTTTCAAAGTATTCCTTCATGATCCTCAGGATTTCATTGGTATTTGTTGTGATAGCCCCCTTTTCATCTCTGATTTTATTAATTTGGGTTTTTTCCCTCCTCGTCAGATTAGCTAAAGGTTTATGAATCTTATTTATTTTTTTGAAGAACTAGCTTTTTGTTTTATGGATTCTTTCTGCCTGCTAATTTGGTGTTTGACTTGTTCTTGTTTTTCTAGGAGCTTGAGGTGCTATTTATTTGAGATTCTGTGTTTGTTTGATGTAGATGCTTATAGCGATAAACTTTCTTCCTAGCACTGCCTTTTTTGTATCCCAGAGGTTCTGGAAGGTTGTGTTTTCATTTTCATTACATACTAGGAACTTTCGGGTTTCCCCCCTTATTTTTTCAGTGACCAACTTGTCATTCAACAATGTGTCATTCAGTCTCCATGTGTTTGAATATTTTCTGCAGTTTCTTTTGCTGTTGAGTTCTAGTTTTGTTCCATTATGGTCTGATAGAATACAGAGTGTTATTTCAACTTTCTTATGTATGCTAAGACTTGCTTTGTATCCTAACATATGATCCATTTTGGAGAAAGTTCCACGGGCTGCTGAGAAGAATGTGTATTGTGCAGCTGCTTGGTGAAATGCTCTAGATATCTGTTAAGTTCATTTGATCTGTAGAGTCATTTAATTCTTTGCTGATTTTTTTTTGTCTAGATGACCTGTCTATTGGTGATAGTGGCATATTGACCCCACTATCATTTTGTTGGGATCTGTTGTGCTTTTAATTCCAGTAGTGTTTGTTTAATGAAGTTGGGTGTACCAACATTTAGCACATATATGTTAACAATTGTCATTTCCTCTTAATGGATTGTTACCTTTATTAATGGTCTTCTGACTAATTTTGGTTTGAAATCTACTTTATCAAATATGAGTATAGTTATTCCTGCTGCTTTTGGGGTTCATTTGGATGGAAGATCTTTTTCCACCTTTTTATCCAATGTTTGTTTTTGTCATGGATATTTGTTTCTTGTATGCAAAAAAATGGTTGGGTCTTGCTTTTTATCCAATTAGCCATTCTCTGTCTTTTGATTCTGTGTTAATATTGAAAGGTATATAGTAATTCCTGCCATATTTTTGCTTTTTTTTATGTTTGATTCTTTCCTATCCTTCATTTGCTTATCTGTTCATATGTTGAGATTTACTTTTTTTTCCATATTTTTATGATTATATTTATCTTCTTTTGTGTGTAGATTTGAGTTATCTTCTGCAGTTGTGAATGAGTTGTTACAAATTTCTTTAGTTTTGTTTATCCTGATAGGTTTTTATTTCTCCTCCAGTTATGAATGGTAGCTTTGCTGGGTAGAGTGATCTACTTTGTCACTTATTTTCTTTCAGCACTTGAAATATATCATTCCATGCCCTCTTTGCTTTTAAGGTTTCTATTGAGAAGTCTCCTGATGGGTTTGCCTTTATAAGTGACTTGGCCCTTCTTCCTTGAAACTTTCAGTATTCTTTCCTTGTTTTCTGAACTTAATGTTCTAACTATAATATGCTGTGGAGAGGTTCTATTTTGGCCTTGTCTATCTAGAGGCCTTCTATACCTGGATGGACATCCCGCTCTCAAGATTTGGGAAGTTTTCTTCTATTATTTTATTGAATATGTTTCCTATGCCTTTAGCTACACTGAGAGAGAGATATTTTCATTTCCAGAGCTTCAATTTGATTTTTTGTTCAGGATTTCTTATCGTTTTAGTTCTCATCTGTTGCATTGTTTTCCATATTTCATTTAGCTATTTATTTTAGTCTCTGAGTTCATTTAGTTGTTTACTTGTGTTCTCTCTGAATTCATTTAGCTGTTTCTGTTTCATTGAGGTGTTTATACATGTCTTCTTTTATCTCATTAATCATTCTTTTTTTTTTTTTTTTGCCAATAAAAAGCAGCCATTTATTCTCAGTGATGACTTTGGCTATCAGTTTCAGTAGTAGTGATTTGAACTGATGTGTGTTTTATTTTTTTTTTTGCATTTCTTTTTTTTTCTTTTATATTCATATGTCATACAGGCTTGGGTCATTTCCCACCCTGCCCCACCACTCCTTACCACGCCACTTCCACCCCCTCCTCTCCCCCCACCCCCTCCATACCCAGCAGAAACTATTTTGCCTTTATTCTAATTTTGTTGTACAGAGAGTATAGCCTATAATAGGAAGAACAAGGTTTTTGTGGTTGAGATAAGGATAGCTATACAGGGATTAAGACTTTTGATTTCTGTGCGTGGGTGTTTACCTTCTAGGTTTTTAATTCTTTTTTTTTTTCATTTTTCTTTTATTATTCATATGTGCATACAAGGCTTGGTTCATTTCTCCCCCCTGCCCTTACACCCACTCCCGCTCCCCCCCCTCAACTACCTCAGCAGAAACTAATTTTGCCCTTATCTCTAATTTTGTTGTAGAGAGAGTTATAAGCAATAATAGGAAGGAACAAGGGGTTTTGCTGGTTGAGATAAGGATAGCTATACAGGGCATTGACTCCATATGATTCTGTGTGTGGGTGTTACCTTCTAGGTTAATTCTTTTGATCTAACCTTTTTCTCTAGTTCCTGGTCCCTTTTCCTATTGGCCTCAGTTGCTTTAAGGTATCTGCTTTAGTTTTCTCTGCGTTAAGGGCAACCAAATGCTAGCTAGTTTTTTAGGTGTCTTACCTATCCTCACCCTCCCCTTGTGTGCTCCTCGCTTTTTCATGTGCTCATAGTCCAATCCCCTTGTTGTTTTGCCCTTGATCTAATGTCCACATATGAGGGAGAACATACGATTTTTTGGTCTTTTGAGCCAGGCTAACCTCACTCAGAATGATGTTCTCCAATTCCATCCATTTACCGCAGCGAATGATAACATTTCGTTCTTTCTTCATGGCTGCATAAAATTCCATTGCTGTATAGATACCAACATTTTCTTAATCCATTCGTCAGTAGCACAATGCAATTTTTTAAACCTTAGCATCATTGTCTACTCTTGCAGCTAATGGGAAGTTGCAGCTATCACACCAATATATACCTTTTATCCCTGAGGAACAGTTTAACTTTAGTGCTTTTAAGGTGATTTATTTTCCCCAAAGACTTTAATGTTCCTGGGAGAGAAAAAAAGTTTATCTTAAATCTTCAAGTAGTAGCCTGTGACTTGGTTTGAGCTTACCTTCTCTAAGATAGTGTCACCAATAGCAGTCGAAGGTCAGTCATGTTTTCCTAATTCACTGATTACACATCATTCAATTCAGGTAAAGAATGTTATAAAAGAAATAGTTATAATGAAGTATTTGTGGGTTTCAGGTTTGAAGCTTAACTTTTCCCTACCTTCCCCCCTCCCTTCTCCTAACATTCAGAACAAAATGTTATTCCTGAATGTCCACAAAAATCTCTTGCCTGGTTTCTGCTCTCTGGCCTTTGTTCATCTCCATTTGGGCTTAATGAATTGGGGCTCTAGTATTTCAGTGGTGTGCTAGTGATGGAGCCCAAATTTTATCTGCTGGTAAGTATTTTAGAGTTTTTGTGGCAAAACTCCATGGGCTTTTAAGATTCAATGTAAATAAGCACAGTTTATTCTTCCTAGCTTCCTGGACAGGTCAGTATTCTCACTATTCCTGCCATAAAGGGATATTTAGAAGAAAAATTTAAGATGTACTATTTTAATTTAGTAGGGCACACTTAAACATGATTTTTATCACAATACTTCCTTAGTTTCTCATTACTTTGACTTAGACTGTCAAGCTATTAGTTGACCTTTGACTACTGCCAGTCTTTTACTCCATGAAAGCTAGTCTCCTTGCTCTAGATTTAAAAAAAGTGCCTCTTCCTTTTCATTTATCACACTTAGGAGATTTCTTTCCTCTTTCCTTTAGTTCCTTTAGCTAAAACTTATAGCACTTATAGTGCTTTCTTTATTTCTAAGGAGGTTTTTTTTTTTTTTTTTTGGCTTTAGTGGTCCTGGCGTTTGAACTCAGGACCTCACATGTCCAAGGCAGAAGCTCTATCACTTGAGCCACTCCCAACCCTTATTTTGTTCCCACAAACTTTTTTTTTTTTTTTTAACCTCAGAGCCTCACACTCACTAGGCAAGTACTCTACCAATTGAGACCTGCCTCCAGCCCTCTAAGTAGTTTTAAATATATAAATACATTAAATCATAAATTAAATCATTTAGTAGCTCTTTTAGGACTAAATTAACATTTTATAGATGGGAAGACTAAGACATTGAGATTTGTCCAAGGTTGTACAGCTTGTTAAGGGATAGAGGGACGGAGGTCAGGTTCTTCATATCATGCCTTTCCATGGTTCTTTCTCACTTCTGGATGTTAGCCAAAGGTTCTCTAACTCTTCTGTTCCATAATGAAATCCATCTTATGGCAGGAGAAATACTTATATAGTCAATATAAGTACTAACTGTAGCAAATTGATGTCACTTAGGATGTACATTATATACAGATTAAAAATATGTAATTTTAGCTTCATATATTAATGTTAATTAGCAGTTAATATTATGTTCAGATTTAAATTTTTTTTTTTTTTTTTTTTAGAGGTAAGAAATATGGAGAAACAGCTAATGAGTGTGGAGAAGCCTTCTTTTTTTATGGAAAATCACTTTTGGAGTTGGCAAGGTATGTCTTTCAAGCCTCAGTATGTAAGTAGACTATTTCCTTTCACCTTAGTCTTTTTAAAAACTTGAAATCTCCAGCCAAGTTCCAGTGGCTCACATCTATAATGCTAGCTACTTGGTTGAGTTCAGGAGGATCACAGTTTGAGGTCAGCCTGGGCAAATAGTTTGCCAGACCTCATCTCCAAAAACCATAGCAAAATAGACTGGAAGTGTGGCTCAAGTAGTAGAGTAATAGAGTTTTGCAAGCATGAAGGCCTTGGTTCAAACCCCAATCCCATCAAAGGAAAAAAAAAATATTGAAGTTTTCTTGTTTGCTAGGATTATGTACTATCTTTGGGATTTCACATGAGCTAAGTGAGACTAGTTTTACCTAGAAAGTAGGTTTTGAAGGAAACATAAAATAATGGAAACTGTGAATGGCACTTGATAGAAAGAATAGAATTTAAGTTTTGACTTTAGGAATCATTAGAGGCAAAGATCTTTTCATTAGTGAATAGTCAATAATTGATCCAAGTTCAATATAGGGACATGAAGAGGCACAGTGAGTAAACTGGGAGTGGTGGTACATACCTGTAATCCAGGAGGCTTAGGCAGGAGGATTGAGTTCAAGGCCAGTTTGGGTTACATGTTGAGATCCTGTTTCAGAACTATCAAGGGCTAGGAATGTAGCTTAGTTGTAGAGCGCCTTCCTTATGTATAAGGCTCTGGATTAGATCTCTGGCATTAGAAAACAAGTAAACAAAAATAGTCACTCAACAAGGACTGATGTAGCATGTGAGAATGTCTAGTAAATAAGATAAATAGTCTTTATTTTTTAATGTGGTAGTTGAGGTACATTGTGACATTTATAAAAGTTTTTATAATATATCATAATTGACCTCCATTATTCTCCTTTATCCCCACTTCTCCAGTGTCCCCAAAAAGTGGACAGTTGCCAAAGTTTTTTGTTCTTTTTTTTGAACACAGGGCCTTTACCTTGAGCCACTCCACTAGCCCTGTTTTTGTGAAGGGATTTTCAAGATAGGGTTTCGTGAACTATTTCCCCAGGCGGCTGGCTTTGAACTTTGATCCTTCTGATCTCTGACTCCTGAGTAGCTAGGATTACATGTGAGCCAATCGGTGCAAGTTTTTTTCTTTTTCAGCACTGGGTTTGAACTCAGAACCTCATGATTGCTAGGCAGGTGCTCTTACTGCTTGAGCCACTCTGCTAGCCAAGACAAGTAGTCTTACTATTGGAAGTTACTGAATAATATCCACCCAAATTTATTAACCAGAATAAAATATATTGAGAGTATGCAAAGTAGCAAATGATCTGTCATCCATTTAATCTCAGTTCTGATAAGTTTCTAGTTTCTAAACTTAAATTTTTTGTAATCTTTCATAGCACTCTGATGACCTGCTGTGAAAATTGTGACTATCTTGAGAAGTGGGGGTGGATTTGAATTCTGGGAAATATTATGGCCCTGTTGTAAGAGGAATGAATACAGGTCTTATTCTTTTGATGAGTGATTTATTAGTGCTTTTCAGGTGGTTGAATGAGTTGTGTGCATATTTCTTGACATTCTTTTAATTTATTTTCTTTTTGAGTATGTGGTTTTATATTCCATACACTTGATTATTATTCTGTGTCTTAGAATACATTGTTCGGATCTAGTCGTTACATGTTTTTGCTTTCTCCTCTTCTCCTAGAATGGAGAATGGAGTGTTGGGAAATGCCTTGGAAGGTGTGCATGTGGAAGAGGAAGAAGGAGAAAAAACAGAAGATGAATCTGTGGTAGAAAATAATGATAATATAGAAGGTATGTGGAGTTTCATGTTACATTAAAGAGATGCGACATCGTACATTTCTTGTATACAGTGATAGAAATAGGGCTTTCTTGTCTTGGCTTGTCTCTGCTAAGATGCTTGGGCTGATGCCTGCATGTAGTAGAGACTGCAGTGGGGATTAGCCCATTACTGAAAGTGATAGCAGGCTTCTGTAAGAGGCTAGCTAACTGAACAAATAAATATGGTTATTTAAATTGGTGTTTTATTAAATATTTTACTGATTTAAAATCTTAAAACATTTTTGCATAGCTCAGTTATAATAGTAATGTTTTTCGGAGCTCTTCTACATTTTTTGTCTCTAATAAAATTAAAGCTGGGTTTGGCTACTAGAGTTTTATAATTCTGACAAGGATCTATAATTTTGAATAAAAAATTTGGCATCTCTTACCTAACTGGTAATCAGAATGCTAAAAGTAAAATAATGCAGTGTTAATTTCATGGAGTTTAGGTTTCTTTTGCAATAAGTTGCTCTGCTAGCTGGGACTCTTCTTTGCTTTTCTCAAGGGGGCACATAATTTTTAGGCCATCTGCTAAAACTTAGCCAGGCCATTTGAGGGTTTGAAGGAATGTATTTTTAGTTTCCATTTATGCTTTAATCATTAAACTCGAAGACATGTTTATGCTTCATGTTCTTTAACCATGTAGAGGAAGCAAGGGAAGAGTTGAGAGAACAGGTTTATGACGCCATGGGAGAAAAGAAGCAGCCAAAAAACAGAAGGCAAGTCTCTGTCAAAGCCTGAAACTGATACAGAACAAGAGAGTGAAATGGAGAAGTGTAGAAGAGAAGATATGGATATAAGTGAGCCTGCAGAGAAGCTACAGGAAAAAGTTGAATTGACTTCAAATCAGTTAACTGAAACCTCTGAAGAGGCAAAAGGAGCAGCAGCACCAGAAGGACTGAGTGAAGCTGAGGTCACTTCTGGGAAGCCAGAACAAGAACTACCAGATGCTGAGGAAAGAAAATCAGTTTCTGGAATTGATTTCCAAAATGAAGAATGCAGTGAAAAAGGAGGTCAGGAGAAGCAGGGAGAGGTAATTGTGAACATAGAGGAAAAACCAAAGGAAGCTTCAGAAGAGCAGCCTATCATGACTCTAGAAAAGCAGGGCAGTGCAGTGGAGGTAGAAGTACAGCCTGTAGACCCAACAGTCAATTCAGTGGATGTGGGTGGGGATGAACCAAAGGAGCAAGTAGCTACTTCTGAAAGTGAGCCAGGAAAGGCTGAGCAACTGGTAGGGCAAGAAGTGCTTTCTGTTGAAGAGTCACCAGTGGTGGCTGCAGAGGCTGGATCAGAAGTCTGTGAGAAGCCAGGGCAGGAAGCTACAGTTCTCTCTGAGAATGGTGCAGTCAAACTGTCAGCTGCAGGAGATGAGACTCCTATTGAACCACAAACTTCTGCAGAAAGACTGACAGAAACAAAAGATGATTCAGGTCTACAGGAGGTTAGAGCAGAACTGGTTCCTAGCCAGGAGGAGACAAAACTGCCTGTTCAAGAGTCTGAGGCAGCTGGAGATGGGGTTGAGATCAAGGTAGCCCAGAGAGCTACTAAGAAAGCACCTGAAGACAAATTTAAGATAGCTGCTAATGAAGAGACACAAGAGAGAGAAGAACAGATGAAAGAGGGTGAAGGTAACCGGGATATGCAAGAGCTACAGTGGGTGGAGTACATTCTGGATTTGACTCACTAATCATGGGTAAAAGATAGCCTTCCATTCAGGATTTTCCGTCTGCCTTTGGATTAGGAAAGGGCTAAAGGAAAATGGGGGTAGTTTAAAAGGTTGTGATAAGTTGAGCAAGTTAAATCAAAAGCAAATTTTCTTTAGCTGGCTTATAAACTAATGCTTTTACTAACTGCAAAATAGGTCTTTGTGATCTTTGAAAGTTGGCTAGCTACCAGTAACTTGTACCATACTAGCTAGCCAATTAAAGGATGGAAAAGGTAGAAAAGAGGGTGTGTCGAGGGGGCAGGTAGGGAAATAGTGGGTTAGGCTGGCAGAGAATGCTGAATGGATGTTCACTTGCATGCCTATGGGTTTTTTAACTTAACTGTTCATATGGTTTCTCTTCTCTGCTTTAGGAAGCAGGAACAGAGCAGTAGAATCCACTGAATTGGCACACTAAGCAGGCATGCCATTTAAACAAAGACAGTTAATATGGTGCCCTTTAGTCTTCAGGAAATGTTTAGAGGCTTATTCACATTGGGTAAAAGAGCCCCTCTTCCCCCCAAAAGAGATAACAACACCACCAACAAAAAACTTAGCTATTTAGCCCTCTTTCTGTCATCACCACGCCCCCCGCCTCATTTCATGCTCGCTTTGGCTGCTAAACTGATTTTTTTGTTACATAGAATGTTACCAAGTGTAGATGCATTGTATGACTATTTATTGGCCTAATCATGATCCAATTTCATCAAGATATATAAGCCTCTAATTAGTAATTGGCACGTCTGACTTGAGTTGTGCTATCAGTTGAGGATTCTACTGTATTTAAGACTCATCTAACATTGACATTAAGAACTACAGGTATATTTAGTTAATTGTTATTATTCTGTATAATTGCGAGACTACTTTAAATAAGAGTTCTCTTAAAGTTACAGATTTTCAAAGACCCACCTTTAATAATTAGAGATCGTTCTGGTAAACTACCTATGTGCAGGTCCCTGCACTCCAGCCAGCACACAGTAACCAGAAGTGAATTGATGGAAGCCATTAGGCTTCTTGAGCTTAAGGAATTCTTTAAGGAAAAAACAGAGAATTAAATTTCTCAATTTTTGAAAAACTCAGATGTCTGTATTTTTTTTTTTTTTTTCCTTTTTTCAGTGCCAGAGATTGAACTCAGGGCCTCAGTCATGTTAGGTGAGCACTATTGTGCCATACCCCCAGCCCTATACATGACATTTTTAAGTGTTATATGGCAGATACTTTTCTACTTAGTAAAAAATAGTATAGTTTCCATATTTTGAAAATACAGAAATGGGAGAAAGAGGTTAAGTAATTTGCCCTAGTTACATAGCTAGTAAAGAGGGTTCTGGGTACTTAGGCTGGCTCTAGGGCTCAGCTACTTCCTATGCTTTGTTCCTCTTATGTGACAACAGTAGTCCACACTAATCTTGTAGGGACCGAGGATATAGTTCAGTGATAGATAGAGTGCTTTCTTGGCATGTGGAAGGGCCTAGGTTTGAGCACAAAATTCTTTTTTTACATCCCTATCTATTGGACTGGTGGAGTGGCTCAAGTGGTAGAGTGCCTGCCTAGCAAGCATGAGGCCCAGAGTTCAAACCCCAGTACTGCCCTCCCTCAAAACAAAAGAAATAAAACTATGGAATAAATACAAAAAACAAAACAAAAACCACACAACTATTTATTTTATGAATATAGAATAACAATACCAGTTAATTTTTTTTGATGGTTTGGGTATTATGAGAAGTAGGTATAGATCTCCTTTAGTAGATCTTAGATATTCTGCTGAAGATGGGTAGTTAATAAAAACCCCTGTCTTGTTGAAACTTGGGAACTAAATCCACATAAAAAAGATAGATTTCAGAAGCACTGAATTACATAGTCACAGCACAGGTGAAAAGTGAGCTTGATAAAAAGGGTTAGATGCTGTAGATGGTAACCAGGTTGTAATTTGTAGATAGTTCTGAGAGGACTTTATAGTTTGTGCTAGTAAATTGTAATATATAGGAATTTTCCATGCCTGTTCTCATTGTGAAGTAGCATTGCTTTACAAATAAGATGCTTTAAGATAGGAGTTGATATGGCTATAAATTTAAATAGAATCATTTCAAATAATGGTTTATTCACATTTTCAGAGCTGGCTGGAGACTGTGACATGCTCATTGGTGAGAGTTGGTTAGGACTGTGCTTTTTTCTCCATAGCTGTGTTGTTGTGGGAAAGCTAGTTTCTTGAGCATTTCTTTTTCTGAATGGACTGGAATAATTTAACTTTTGGTACTTCCCCCAACTTGTATTTTCTAACAAGTGGCAAAGAAACTAGAAACAGTGACTAATAAGACCTTTTCCTACTTTTGACTGAATAGATGGGAGCTTCTACCCAGTGAATAAGAGGAGGCAGCTAATCAGCCTCATTCCAAATGATGTCAGGTTAACTTTTACAATAAAATGCTCAGTCTTTTAATCACTGAAGGTCTGACCTGTAGACTATAAGGTTACACATTCTAAGTCTATGTTAGACTTGAATTAGACTGTAACCACTGACTTTATATGTTCAGATCAAATGTTAACTGACAGATTAGTATCTGGCCTGTCCTGTCTCAGAATGTAGGACCGATACATCCTTAGTTATATTCTCAATACTGAGGAATTTTTGTTTGTAGAAATTGAAGGTTCAGAAGAAGAGGACAAAGAAAATGACAAGGCTGAAGAAATACCAAATGAATCAGTTCTTGACAATAAAGTAAGTGGTTATTCATTCAATTCTCTTACCTATTTATTGGACTAAAGGTTACTTAACATAGCCATGGTTACTTAGGTAGCTGCTTCTTGGTTAGGGATTGGGAACCCTTTGTTCATGCTTAGAATGGGCAGATCTGTTTTATCTTGAGGACCCAACACATCACTGTTCCATTTCACTGATGTAAGGTGATAACTTAAGATAGAAACCTTAAACCTTATAGGGACCCTTTCTATAGGCTTGAGGGAGAAAGTCTGAATTTTGAATTGCAATTAATTTTTTTTTCAAGCCATACTAAATTATACATTTAGATGTGTACAATAAAAAAGATGCCTGTCTTGTATTTCTGCCTAATACCAATGATTTGGATATACTTTAGTCTCTTCAAGAAAATGAAGAGGAGGAGATTGGGAACCTAGAGCTTGCCTGGGATATGCTGGATTTAGCAAAGATCATTTTTTAAAAGGTAAAACTCTCGGTGCTTCTAGGCTCAGGTTGGGAATTTGGTTGAAAATAGAAAGCAGTTAGGGTTAGACAAATACCATTGAAGTTTTTCTGATCAACTTTCCTTCTTTTAGGCAAGAGACAAAAGAAGCCCAACTTTATGCTGCACAGGCACATCTTAAACTTGGAGAAGTTAGTGTTGAATCTGGTAATTCATTTTTCATTTTACAGTTGTCTTTAACCTCCCTCATGCCCCCATTTTCCCTATAATAGGTTTCTTTAGAATCCAGCTTGATTGAGCTTAGTTGGGTGAGATCACCCATAAAAAGACACCTAATACTGAGGCAGGAGTATCATAAATTAGAGGCCAGCGTGGGCTATGTAACAACCCTGTAACAAACAACAACAAAAAAGACAGATTTGGGTTCCCTACAGTCCTAGTCCTTTGAACAATCTTTAAAGTGATAATCTGACAGTGCAGTAGTTTTTCATTTTGGGTAAGGATCAAAGTCAGGGCCTCAAATACTGTACCACTGAGATCTGTACCCCAAGCCCCTTTTATAGTAGGATTTTAGTTTGTCTTTCATTTCAATACTGGGGATGAAACCCAGGGCCTTCTACATGATAGGCAAACACTCTGCCACAGAACTACATCCTCGGCTCTTTCTTTTAGTAGGATCTTTAAGACTCAGTTTTGTCTTTGTAGCAAAGGATCCTAGATATACTAAAAACTGAAATGTAAAATGAGGAGGGTACATTTAAAGAATGAGTCTCAGTTCTGGACTTTATATTAAATGCCATCCAATTGTGCTGTTTCTCTTCATTAGAGAACTATATTCAAGCTGTGGAGGAGTTCCAGGCTTGCCTAAACCTGCAGGAGCAATATCTGGAAGCCCATGACCGTCTCCTTGCAGAGACACACTACCAGTTGGGCTTGGCCTATGGGTATAACTCTCAGTATGATGAGGCAGTGGCACAGTTCAGCAAATCTATTGAAGTCATTGAGAAGAGAATGGGTAAGTGAGCAAGTATCTGCCTTATGATGTTAATCCAGCAATTGACTAGATTTAAAAAATGGATTTTTTTTGTGGTAATTATTACTGACAGTCTGTTCTTTGTAGCTGTACTAAATGAACAGATGAAGGACACTGGAGGATCATTTTCTGAATATGAGAAAGAAATTGAGGAGCTGAAGGAACTGCTACCTGAAATTAGAGAGAAGATAGAGGATGCAAAGGAGTCCCAGCGTAGTGGGAATGTAGCTGAATTGGCTCTGAAAGCTACTCTGGTTCGTTCAGTTTCTCTTAATGTTTTCATAATAGCATAATTGGTATCCCGTTAATATTTTGCTAGGAACTTTTCATCATGACTTGGTTTCCATGGAGCTGGTGATCAGAAAGATTGTGAGAGTTTATCTAATTAGTCCTTATTAAACAGTGGTTAGAGAATTGGCTCTAGAGCCAGACCGTCTGGGTTTTGAATTCTGTCTCTGCTACTTTATTTGTGTGATTTAAACTATAAAATGGGGATGCTGCTTATATGTAAAATACTTTTGACAGTCTCCAACAAATTGGAATTGCTTAATAAATGAAAGCTATTATTTTACTCTCTGAGAGCTATGGTATATAGATCAGTGAGTCATTGAGAGCTTTTAACACCAAATTTCAGGGAAGTTTCTATCTTGGAGATAGGATGTGAAGGTATAGTTTAATATCTGTTTTCTGCCTATTTCCTTGGTGTGTATGTGTGTGGAAGACCTTGTTACTACATGGAGGCCACTAGCATTTCACATCTTAATCAGATTCTTAGATGATGAGTACATGTTATAAGACTGGGTGGCCTGGGTTCTGTTCTAGAACCTACTTGGGTTTGTCATCTCTCACACAGGTGGAGAGCTCTACTTCAGGTTTCACTCCTAGTGGAGGAGGCTCTTCAGTCTCCATGGTGGGTATTCAGGTGTTTTTGTCACTTAATATTAGGCTTCACTGAAGGTCTCATAGCTTATACATTGCTAACAAAGCCGTCTTTTTTTTGCTAGATTGCCAGTAGAAAACCAACAGATGGTGCTTCCTCATCAAATTGTGTGACTGATATTTCCCACCTTGTCAGGAAGAAGGTAAATTTTTTCTTTTTGCTCTTTTTCTGAGTCTGATTTGTTGTATGGTGGGGGTCCCAAGTAATACACTAGTGGTAGGTGCAGTGAGACACTCATTTTACAAAGGTGGTCACTCGACAGTCCAAAATAACAAAAACAAAAATCCCAAACCTCCTATGTCTGCTTTTTGTATAGTTCCAACAATTTTCTCTTGGGAGATTTTTACTCCTGCTTTGTTTATTTACTGGAAATACAGGAATTCATATTTATGCTCTGTTACTATCCACAACTCTACTCACCTGTATTCCATCATGCTTTTAAATATGATACGTTGGGACAGACTGATTTGTTCTGTTGAGTATAGGCTGCATCTGCCCTGTGACTAGGGAGACACTCTTAGACTGTGAGTCCTGGTGTTCGGGATATTTGTGATAAAGGGGTTTTGGAAATGTTTTGCACTTGTGTTTTTAAAAACACTTAGACTTAAGTTTATGGTGCCTTCACAATTATATCTTTAGAGAAAACCAGAGGAAGAGAGCCCCCGGAAAGATGATGCAAAGAAAGCCAAACAAGAGCCGGAGGTGAATGGAGGCAGTGGGGATGCTGTCCCCAGTGGAAATGAAGTTTCAGAAAACATGGAGGAAGAGGTGGGCAGTTAAGCAGGGATGTGTAGAAAACAGATGTCTGGCAAACAGGTTCCTGTTAAATGTATAAGGAACCTGAGCAACAAAACCTTTGGGTCATTTCTGCTTAATCTTTTCTACGTGATGGGTGATTATTGGCTTTGTCAGTTTAAATCACAAGATAATTTAGGAAATGATCTTTATTTTGTGGCCCTTGCCCTCAATATAGGGAGCAAGTTGCAAAGCAGAGTTTGGGGGACTTGTGTTCACTTCCTCTGATGGAAGCCTGGTCTTCATGGAATGGCTTAAACCAGCGTCACTTATGCCATGTTTCCTGTTTGCCTTTCAGGCTGAGAATCAGGCTGAAAGTCGGGCAGCAGTAGAGGCTGGAGCTACAGTTGAAAGCACTGCATGTTAAGAGAGGGAGCAGAAACTTCCAAGGGAAAGTGTTTTTGTATATAATGTATTTTTTCACTTTTGGGAATTCTTTTTGTATAACTTCAATAAAGATTGTAAGCAAAGGTGAGGCTTTGATGGCTTTTTTCTTAAATACTGGCTGAATCTGTGCTTGGGGCACTCCAGGTTTTATATAGTGGCCAAAGGTGTTCCCTTCCTTCCTTTGTTTTATCTTCTGTATTGATCTCATTGGATGTTGTAACTCAAATTACTCTTATTTGGAGGTAATCAAATCAAGTGTCTCTGTAGCCCTTCATCTTCCATTGGTGCTATATTTCTTTGTCAGATACTTGACTGAATTAAGCTATCTCGAAAACTTTAAGTGGTGCTGTCCCTGGAGGGGGGCTACAAAAAAACTTGGTGAAGATTTTGCTGTTTGGTGTTGACAATTGATGATGGACTTTGACTGTGAACCTGGCATTGGGTAGTACCTATCTTCTGTTCGCCTTTGTCTGCATTCAGGGTCATAATCCTATCCTGGAAAAAGAACTCTGAAGACGAGGGGAAATGATCACTGAGGAAAGGGGTGTTTAACTGCAGGGAACTAAGCACACTGGTTGGAAAGGGGCAGAGACTAAGGAGGTGATGTTGGAAGAATGTATGGGGGAGGCTGGCAGTTTAACTTTGTTACCTATCTTCTGTGTAAAAAGGCTGAGAAATGTCAATGCTTGGAACTGTTACACTGTCTGCAGTTTTGACTCATAAAAATAAAAGATGCTAAAAAAAGCTTGTGGTCTAGAATTGTGTTTAGAGATCTTACATTGGGATTCTGGGCTGCCTGGAACATTTTAGTGTGGAACATGGAACTGGGAGGCAGAAACTGACCCAGCAGCTCTTGGATGTCCAGTCCAGGGATAATAGTCTGGGCATAGATACTAATGCCAGCTCACTGGGCTCTCGCTGATGTCCAGTGTACAGGGCTTGTATGAGACTCCGACTGAGCTGCCTCTGACCTGATAACACTTGTAGTTTATGAATCTGACAAGGCAAAATTTGATTTGCCCATGTTGTTGAAGTGGGTTAGAACCTGTGGTTTTAACAATCCAATGTAGAAGACAAGAGCTGTACTGAACTCCTAAGTCAACCCCATTTTTCAGTTTGTTTTTTCTCAACAAAATATTTCTCTGAGCTGGTTACTAACAGTTGGCTGTAGACACTGGCTTAATCTGACTTCTTAGAGACGCCCTTGTGTTACGTGTTCTCCTACTGAGTCCAACACACGTGGCTCCCAGTTTTTGGTGACATTGGGATCTGGGGCTAGGCCCAATATAAAAATCTGGCATTTGAGCTCCTACTTGGTTGGAATGTTACTGGGTTGAGGGCTTATCCTGGAATCTGTCCTACTAAATCTCAGGCATTCCCTGTGTATGGAGGCTGAGAGTCTGGATAAAAGGCTTCTGGGCAGAAATCCTGAGGAAGCTGGGATTTGAAGAAGTTTGGCAATAAAACTGGTTTTAGTAAAACCCTACTCCCTTTCAGAAATGTAAATACTTGATGAACTTTGCTGTGGTCGGAATTCATTGTATTTACCTTTAGACCCTATATCAGAACACTGGTTAGAAAAGCTGCAGGTCTGAACTCAGAAACCCAGTGGGGATGGGTCAAAGCTGGGGTGAGAGCCCTAACTCTTTATCCTTGACTGCCAGAGGGCTCCTTTACAGGAGGTGGGGATCAGCAAAGCCAGCATTAGGGGTGAGCCAGTTGGTTTCCAGTGAAGATGAGCTGGACACCTGTGGAATGTGAGAAGGCAGCTCATTAACCAGACAGGTAAAGAGCACAGGTTCTGGAGCTGAACTACCTTGGCATCTTAACTACTTAATATAAAACAAAGTTAGGGAAATTAAAGGATGATGTTAAAAGGAAGTTCTTGTTTTGGTATCTTCAGGGTGATATGGAGGTACAAGGATCAAGTGAGAACGCAGAAAGCATTTGGTAGGCCTGGTTATTATCCAACAGAAGCTTGACAACCCCACCACCTGTCCCTAAACTGTAACTGGATCCTCACCAGTGGTGGGTACTGGTATTCCTGGGCATTTTCTGGACTGATTTCTGCCAATGCCTGGACATCTGCATCTCTTGCATTCACCAGCCTCAGGAGAGCTCTGCCTGACCTGCCTGGGGAGAGGTGAAATGGTACTCCATCTGTACCTTGGAGATTCAGTCCCCACTCTTCACACTCACCTGGGGAATCCCATTCAGCTGCCCAAGGCTGAAGCTGGGGTCCAGAGGAAGGGCCCTAAGTGGGAGGCGCCAATGGCCACTTAGCACCCGCTGATCCCGGTCAAATAGTACTAGTGAGGCCCAAGCCTTTGGTACTGACGCTCTAGCCCAGGCCAGTCCCTGACAGGCCTGTAGTTCACAGACCAAAGATACCGATGGTGATGGGGGCAGTCTGCAGAACAACCAAAAAAGAGTGTCAGAAGCCAGAGGTGAATGCCCTAATTAGGGATTTCCTAAGACTCAGCCCTTCCTTAGGGCCAATGGTCCCTATGTACACATGAGAAAAACCTAATGAGGGGGAAGTCTCAAAAAGCACTCTAGTCATAGCCCCTATCTACTGACCTGGGCACAGGCTGCCTGCTGGCAAGGATAGCACAGTTACCCACAGGCCCAGGAGCTAGAGGTGGGGGCAAGCAAAGGGCTGGGGGCAATGCAGTGGTCCCGCCTGTATGCTGTCCGTCTTTGGCCAAACCAATCATTAGTTGCACCCAAATCCAAGAAGCCTCAAGGCCCCGCAGAAAGTCATAGAAAATGACAAGGCCAGCCCTGGAGGAAACATAAAGTCTTAGCACACACAAAACAATAAGCTCTTCACCCTTCCCACACCAGCCAGTTTGGCCAACCCTTAATCTCCTCAAGTACCCAGTAGTGGCCAAGTCATGTTGTCTAGGGAGGGAGCAGAGTCTCACCCAGGGTCATAAGGTGCAGGGCCTAGAACATCAGATGCTGGCAGGAGGCTCAGGTTTCTGGTCATGGCTCCAGGAAGCAGCTGCTGTAGGGAAGAGAGAAAGCCTGGAGCTTTCTATGCTTCCCCAGCTGCACAGAGCCCACTTGGAGTCCCACTCCCCCAGGTCCTCACAGCCTTTGCAGCACCACTGAAAATCTGGACGTTGGTGGAGCCTGGAAGTGGTGACAGCGGGGGCGCCACTGGTGGAGGGAGGAGTTGGGGGTCTCTCCTGCCCCTCAGATGGGGGCAGGGATCAGCCAGGAGTCGTGGTTCTCCAGGCTCTAGGAATAGAGAGAGTTAGTTAGGAAGCAGGTAATTGGGCTAAAGTCTCGGGAATAACAGAGACATAGGTAGACACATGGAGAGGTGCATCAACACGAATGGGCAGAGCACACACGTGGGTGTCATTCCCCATGCATGATCCCTCCACCCCTGTAGGATGGGCTAGAACGAGGCTATGGTTTTCACTGACCCCAGGGTGCCCAGCCCGGGCCCCTCAGCATCTGCAATGCCAGAATTTCTGCCTCCAAGCGCCGGTTTTCCGCTTCCACTACTAGAAGCTGCCCCGAGGTGGTGCTTGACTTTTCTGTGGTGAAAAGTCTGACCTGTCACCTTTGACAGTAGCTAGATCTGGTTCTGCGCAGCTCCCCAGTGATAGGGCTCTCTGGACAAGTGTGGACCTGTCAGCTCACATTCTAGCTCCAGTCCCAAAGACCACCCAGGTTTCCTACCCTGGGCTTTTGCCTGCCAATGATGCCCTCCCTCACGCCATTTTCTCCTCCCACGTCCCACAGCCGAGAGGTCATCCAGGTTGGCCCCTTCAGCTCACCCCTGCGGTGCCGCGACCGCCGCAACTCCAATGCTGAAGCTTCCACTTGCAACTGCTTCATCTTGCCCAGAACACTAGGGTCCCGGCCTCCACCGTGCACGTAGGCCTCATGCAGGGCCCTAGGGAGTAAGAGGCATTCTTGCCCAGACTGAACAGCGCTTCACCCCATATATGTCCCGTGGCCTGGCCCTCACCCGATCTCGGCGGTCAGGGTTCCCGGGTTGGCCTGCAGCTCCGGGACACACAGTTCAGCGTCTCGCCAGGCTTTCGGCTGGGTCCTGGCGCAGGGAGACGACGTCACTTCCGCCCGGTCTCCCGCCGCCCCGCCCCCGCTCGGCGCTGGGATGGCCTGGGTCTCACCCTGTCTTGGGCTGTAGCTCCAGCACGCGCGCCCCCAACGCCTGCAGGGCCCCTCGCGTCCGCCCGGCCTCTGTCCGAAGTTTCTGAAGCTCACGCTCCAGGCCGAGTAGGCAGGACGTCCCGCCCCGAGCCCGGGCTACACCCTGAAGTCGCCGTTTTAGTTCTGGGGGAGTAAGGGACGCGAATAAGGCTCGGCAACGGGTGGGCGGCCTCTAGCCCCCCTTTCTCGCTCACCCTCGCCGCGCCTCTCCAAAGCTCGGCCCCGTATTTCGCTCTCCGCCATGCGCCGGGCGCGAGTCCCCTGCAGTACCCGCAGCCGCTCCTCAGGGCTCCCTGAAGCCTCGGGGGTGCGTCCCTCGGTTACCCAGGGTCGCACGTCCTGCAGGGACAGCCGCAGCCAGTGCACCTGGAGGTAATAGTGATCCGCCCTTGTATAAGCTGGAGGTCTGCGGGGTGGAGGGCTCTCCAAGGTTGACGCCCTGAGGAAGGCTTGGGGGAGGGGGTGTACCTCGTCTGTTAACCTTTTTAGAGCAGACTTGCTGGCTTCCTGGTCTGAGTGGCCCTGGAGTTCTTGTGACACAACCTGGGGTCAGTGTAAGATGAACAATCCTGAGTCCAGCCGGCTGGAATACCCACTCCCGGCCACAGAGGCAGTCCTTACCAACGTGCTCCGTGGTTCAGAGGCTACTGAGGGTTGTGCTCCAAGGGTCACCTCCTGGGTCAAGCGGCCAATGCAGAAGCGCTGAGTGTGTGTGGCCAACAAGGCCCAGGAGCGGAAAACCATGTCACAGGACCCACAAGGCAGGAGCCCTGGCTCCTCAGTGGAGGCCATGGGATGGGACCCGTTTTCCTGAGGCCACACAAGTTCTGCAGCTAAGGCAGAGGGCAGCAGGAAGGCAGAGGATGACAAAGAGACAGAAAGCCACAGGCAGAGAGGGGAAAGGCTAGATCTCTGCATTAAAGTTTGTTTGGGGAGGAGCCTTAGCTCCCTGGGCAGCAACTACAGGTCTGGGCAGGTCAGGACAAAGTGGGGGCGGGGGGAGGGGTGGGGAGGACGGGGGAAGCCTTGTCACCTTTGGGAGGAGTCCAAAACTTAAGTGTCACAGTCTGTTCCACCTCATTGCATGAGTATGGGCAAGTCTTTAACACTGCACTTTGGTTTCCCTGTCTTTACTAACAAAGGGGAACATCTGCCTCCCAGAGTAGCTGGGTCCTTACTGCTTACTCTAGTTTTGGTCATTTTATAGACTCTGTCAGGCAAGTACCACCTTTTGTATTGTTGTATTCTAACTCCATTCTTGGAATCTGTTTATTTACAGCTGTAGAGAGAGCTACAGCAAGGAGATCTTTGGGAGAATATAAAGGGTCTCTCAGATGAAGGAATCAAATTCAGAAATTCCTTCCTCAAAGACTAGCCAGACTAGCCTCCAGAACTCTCCCCTTGCCCCCATCATCAAGACACAAAGAATCAGGAGCATGCATCTCAAGGCCTCTTTGCTAAATAAGACAAAGCCAAGGCATGACTAGCAGCAAGTGACAAGTTTCCAAGTATGTGATCTCAGTTCAGCTTAACTCCAAGAACGAATACATTTTTAGAAGTATGTCTGAGCAAAACTAATAAATGGCGAAGTCTGAATCTCAACCTACGTCTCAATCTAAGTTTAATATTTTTGTAACAATATACTTAGTTCATTTTATGGTATTTCACTGATTTAAAAATGTATTTTTTTTCCATTTTTTTAACAGCAACATTAGGATTCACTGGATCATAACTGGCAAGTTTTTTTTTGTGGTGTTAGGGATTGAACCCAGGGCCTTACATATGTTAGGCAAGCACTCTACCACTGAGCTACATCCCCCTAGACTTGTTTTTTGAGACAAGGTCTCGCTTTGTAGCCCAGGATGGACTTGAAATCAAGATCCTCCTGTTTAGTTCAGGCATGTGTGACCATGCCTAGTTCATTATTTCTTAAAATCTTCCCAGTACCTACCATGGAACCAAAGAGCTTGGACATGCCAGGGAAGTACTAGACCAGTGACCTACATCCCCAGCTAAATGTTTTGCTTATTAGTACATAAAATTGTATCTTAAAATAGGTCTGGCAAGTGCCTGTAATCCCAGCACTCAGGAGGATCATGACTTTGAGGCCAGCCTGGGCTATAAGGGGAAACCCTGTCTCAGAAAAGATGGCATCTGACATTCAAGGAAATATGATAGTTAATTCTTACTGCTCTATCTCAACTGTCATCTCTATAGTTTGCAAACAGATTGCTCACAATGTACTGCTAAGTAGTAGGCAACATAATACACTTTGACAGTGTCTTTTTACCTTTCTGGCTGTTAGAATCTAGCAAATGTCTTACTAGTATCTCTGCCTCCACCCTCTCTGGCTCACAGCCCACACTATAGGTTATCTAACATGGCAGTCAGACCTATTATTCCCCTACTTATCTCCCATTAGGGTATGACTTGGGCTTCTTTATCTACTAGGAACAAATTACTATAGGGATAGCCAAAAAGTGCAGATACTATATGTCTGTTGTAAAACTTCTATTAGTCTATCAAATCTTGGTCTAAGGTTTCCAATTTTTCTGATACAACTGTTTATTTTCTCTCTTGCCCAGCTGAGTATTACTGCATCATCAGAGCTTTGCATAATGCCTGGCACATACAACAGGGGCTTAGGAAATATCTGTTGAATGAGAAAACTTGCTTCTTCTGCTGGCTCCTTAGCCAACAAGGGTCATCTTTCCCCTCCATGGTCTGTCTTTGTAGAAAAACTGAAACACAGACCTTCCTTCAAATATGCACATTGGTAAATACATGGTCACTGAAAAATGATCTCAGGAAAGAGAATTTGGTTTCTGACTTTATTACTAATAATTTATTGCACAGGTTTTTTGCATCAAGGTTACGTGCTGAGAGGAGAAACAGGTGTGACTAAATCCAGATTTTCCCCCCAGACTTCTAAAACTATTTTCCATAAAAAAGAATCCACGCTCTAACTTTAAAGAAAATATAGTTCTCACAAGACAATCCAAACTGATGCAAAATATTTATTCCAAGTTAGTTATTTTATGCAGTAGTTTTCCCCCTCAAGACTTGTGATACCACCTTTTAAATCTGTAAATAATGTTATCAAAATAATCTTAATCTTTGAAATCTCACAAAAATTTATATTTTACAATCCACCCTGAATATCAAGGCTGCAAGAATAACACAACATTTCCTATATCCAAATATTTTACAGCTGTACCCAAAAAAGGAAAACAAAACAAAAACAAAAAACCACATATGCTTGGTTAAGGGCTAGGTTACCCGAGCAGCCAAAAATAAAATAAAATATCCAAATTATTAGCATTAATTTAATACAATTATAACTTCAATAGTCACTTTTCATTGACAATGATTGCTTGAGCACAGGGGTGAGTACCAAGTGCTAGCTGGCAGTTGAGCTGTGGCTGAGCTCTGTGCTGCCAGTTCCTACTTGTGCATCACCCATACATACTACTGTGTGTGTCTGTCTTTTATAAATCTTTCCCACCACACAAACTTCTCTCTATGAAGCAGATAACAGGGAAGAACAACAACGAAAGCTAAGCAAGCTAACTGCTTTCTCTTTGGGATATGATTATTTCCCTTGTGCACAAAATATTCAACAACATAGGAAAAAGAAAAAAACAATTTCTTTTGTGTATTCCCTAACCACACAAGCTGAGTTTACTGGGTCAGATTAACTGTGAGCATTTATATGCCTACTTCCAGGCATCGTCATCTGATGTTTCACTGCTACTTGTTTCCGTGTCTGAGTCCTCAAATTCTGCCTTACAAGCACTTCTCCAAGGGAAGAAAAGGCTGGAACTGCGGCTCTGCAAGAAGCCATTCTTTCCAAAGCCATTTCTTCTCAGCTGTGGTTGGCATGGGAAAGAAAAAAAAAAAAAAAAAAGAAAACCCATTAATGACTACACTGGACCATAGGAACTGGGCAAAAGTAGGCCTCAACTGGACTGGAGACAGAATGTGAAGGGGAGGTCCTTCTAAGAGATCTTCTATGACCTCTTAAAATAGTGCTTTTCAAACTTTAATGTGCAAACGAATCATCCAAGAATCTTTTAAAAATTCTGATTCAGAGTGCAGTTAAGATTCCCCATTTCTAACAAAGTTCTGAGTGGTAAGATCTTATATGTCAGCCTGTATACTGTCCCTTTATAGGGACTTATCCACCTGTCATGCTTTAAATGTATACCACCAGAGTGTAAGTTCAATGAGGTTTGTAGGAATTTCATTTTAGTCATTTTCTTCACTTTTGTAAATCCTAGGCAGTGTCTTATTCAGAGAAATAATCCAAGCATTTGTTGAATAAATTTACATGGACCTTTTGGCTTTTTAGCTCTGGCCAGATTGACAGAAGAAACTACAGGGCTGGAAGCAGAGGATGGTCTGCCTTCTTTCCTAAAGACTGAGACTAAGACCTTAACTTTGGAACATAGCCTGTGGTTCTGATAAGGGGTTAGAGCTGTGAGAATGAAAAAACATGTTACTTTCTGGGATCAGCTAGTCATGCACTGAGTTTTTGTATTTACCAGTGGAGATCTCTATTGCCCAGAGTTTGACACCCCTTTACATTTCTAGTATGACAAAGTAAATACTTTCTTTTTCAAGATCTTTCTCCCACTTTAAACTATGTTTTCCTAAGGGAAAGTACTATCCTGACTCCTTTCTCTCCTAGTGGTTTAACTTGGTCTCCAGAGGAGGTTTATGACATACTTGCTCTGTCTTCATGTGGAACTCTTTGAGTTCATCCTCGGTAAGAGGAAGACAACTTTCATCATTTTCAGGATATTCCTGCCATCCCATTGCTTTCAATAACCTGGTAGAGGCAAAAGGACAGGTAAAGAAAATATGACACCAGTAAGCCTAAGTAGGCAGCCCACTACTTGACACAGAAAATTCCTGAAAAGGGGAAATGACTGTTAAAAAAAGAACTGTGTTGTTTTCTTCTCCCTAGTTGAACAAACTACTCAGATGCTTGTAAGTAAATGGAAGCTTTTCACAGTCGAGAGAAAATGAGCTGCTCAAATAGGCAGAAGAAGAACCTAAGGCAGCATAATGAAAACAACCCACTGTAAAAGGTCTGTGTCTCACAGACCAAAACAGAGGAAGAAATTTTACTTTTGCTCCTGTGGGCAAAGTAGCATATTTCTACATGTACCTAATTTCTCTTTCAATTTCTTTTTTCTTTGTGGTGGTATTTAGGTTTGAACTTAGGACTTCATGCTTGCCAGGCAAGCACTCTACCTCTTAAGCCACAACCCAAACCCCTATTAATTTTACATAGTGCTGTGGTTTCTCACATAACTTTGCAACCGCTTAAAAGTTCAGTTCCTGTGGATACAAGCTTCCTTTTACAAGGTACTGTTGTACTTGGTAGGCTCTACCTGGCCATCCAGTTGCCTGGAAAGCTGGCTGCCCTGTATTCAAGGCCTTCATTTAAAACAGATTCCATGTACTGGAGCCTCAGGCTTCTTAAAGATTCCTTAAAGGAATTATAAAAATTCCAAGTAATTGCTCACTTGGGCCAGCACAACAGTCCCTTGAAACAGGTTCCTTTCTCCCTTCTCTAATTGGAGCCATAAACTGATTATGAAATTAAACATGAAAACTTTGGAGACTGTGAAAAACCTGGCCAACTCTGTGAAAGAATGCCCAGTGGGCACAGGAAACCTGGGATACAGAATGAACATGGTCACACCTCTTTGTAAGCCACACTGAAATGTCTCAGTTGTGTTCAAGGTCCTTACAGACCACTCACAGCTTTCCTTGTGATTTCTTCCTCACCTGTGTTCTGCTTCCAGAGAGTGTGAGAGGGCCTCCCCTTCTTCCACGATGGGGAGAGAAAGACCGTTCTGAAGACAACTTTCTTCCCCATTTTCCTTTGGTTCGGATGTGCTGCTGTCTTCCAACTACAATAAAGAAAAGGAAGGACATACTTGGTTTATCAATCCTTTGTGGCAAAATAAGCAACCTACAAAATCAAGGAGTCAGAACTCAGGAAAGTGCTTTTCAAAAGACAACCTCAGCTCATAGGTTTTGCCCACTTAAAAATGGGGTCCTGCTGTATCAACAACTGATTCTAAAATTTATATGGAGAGACAAAAGACCCAGAATAGCCAAGATAATACTGAAGGAGAAGAATAAAATGTGAGGGCTAAAACTGACTGACATCGAGACTTACTTAAGACAGTACAGTTTTGGCAAAAAATAGACAGATAAATGGAACAGAATAGAAAGCCCAGAAATACACAGCCAACTGATTCTGACAAAGGAATAAAGGTGATAAAATGGACAAAAGACAGTTTTTTGACTAAATAATATGGGAACATATATATAACAAAGGAAGACAAATACACTATCCCAGAAAACCCTATGCTCTTACATCCTCCAGCTTATCACAGTCTCTGCTTTCTGAGAAGTCTGCATTGCGGCCATCCTTCAGAGTCTTCAGGAACTCACTCTTGCGGTCACTGGTTCGACGGGTCAACTTGGTCAGACGAGAGGAGTTGATCTCGATTGGAGGGGTAGTGCTGGAGGGACTCTGGGCAAATACCACAAATAGATTGTGCCTGACAGTAAAGAGCAATAACTGGGATTCTCTGGGTCACTTCTACTGGCACTGACTTTCAGAATTTGCTAGCCTATTGATAATTCTTTTGCAAAAAAAAAAAACACTTTTTTTTTCTTTAATTTTTTTAAAGGACTTTTACAATACACCTTTTTTTTTTGGCAGAAGGGGGGTTTTAACTCAGGGTCTTGTGCTTGGTAGGCAGGTGCTCTACCACTTGAGCCACACCCACAACTCTTTATACTTTATTTTTCAAATAGTGTCTGGCTTTTATGCCCAGGCCAGCCTGGACCACAATTCTACGTATACTTCCCACACTGCTGGGACAAAAGATGTGCACTACCATGCCCCGCTTTTTATTGGTTAAGATGGGGTCTTGCTAACTATTTGTTCTGGCTGACCTAGATGGTGATTCTTCTGATTTCTGCCTCCCGAGATACTTGGATTACAGGTAGAAGCCACTGAGCCTGGCTGCCTACGCCTACTTCTTTAACCTTTCTGCAGATTACCAGCAGAATTCCAGTTTAAGGCAGACCAAATTTGGTTTATTATAGAGGATTTACCCCACCCAGCTACTACCCAGTTTTGATGCTAACAGGAGACATCAGTAAAGAAACAACTCTTAGCTAAGCATGGTTATAAAACAAAATGTCATTATAGCTACGCATCATACTGCATATCTTAGTGTAAGTAAATGAGTAAGAAATGGGATATAACAACTTTATTTTTGAGGGTTTTATTGTATAGCCCAGACCTCAAACTCTCAATCCTCCTGCCTCTGCCTCTGGAGTGCTGGGATTATAGGTATGCACCACCATATGCAGCTCAGAAATGGCTGGTCCTGCATTATCATCACTCACCTCTTTGGGAGAGCTTAGAACTGTGCCACCAGTCAGTACCACTGGTTTGGTAACAGAGATTGGATTGGTAAAAGCAGACTCCCGGCTAGAGGAAAAGGATCCTGATTTGTGTTCCACTCTGTTAGCTTTCCATGCATTGGGCTATATGGGAATAAAGTACATACCAGTCAAAACAAGTACAGAAACGGAAACTCAGCTTATAATATCATAAAACAAAGAGCAAAATATTATGTGGTAATGTAAGGTCCCAGAGCTTACCTGTCTCAATGTATTTTAGAGATATGCAACCTCATTTTAAATTTAGGCATTTGAAGAATAAAGGCAGATAGGTAACAGAATGGCCATGGGATGTTTACAGGAATTTTTCAAAAAGATAGCTCCAGTTCAATCAGTCTGAGAGGTGCTGGGATGATCAAAGTTCAACTTTCTTTACTGCTATCTCTCAAAGCATTTAATTACATGTATGAATTTGTGAAGCAGAATTTCCCCTTATTTAACCTAAAAATGTATTCTTTTATAGTGTGACTGCTAACTTCCACAAAGAAACACATCAGAAAAATGATGTTTTCTAGGGACTTTGATGGCAACAGGATAGTATCATGCCAGGGTGGACACTATAAATGGCTGGACAATCCTGGTTTAGTTCAGAGGCCCTTCTTTTGGTTACTTTTGTGGGGTCTGACTACGGTCCCAACTATGATGGAAGCATAGTTTAGCTGGAATACTCCATTATTTGAGTTAATCACACTGTCTCAGGAAACCAAGAAAAGATGAGGTAGGTCAATGGAGTGGGACTGAATCAAGTGGAAAACTTCTACTTATTTTTCCAGAATGAAACCATTAGAACCAAGAGACCTATGGGAAAAAGAAAGGGTCTGAGTGAAAAGAATTCCTTTCCATAGTGCTTTCTTGGATAAGGAGTGCTAAAGAAGATACAACAGCTTTTAAGCAGACAATTAACTTTACTGAATACCTACCACATATTGGTGCTTTCCATATTGTTTAATTCTTAAAACAATGAGGTGTAAGAATTATTATGGTGACTTTATTTCTTAAGAGAATGATGAGGGCAATAAAATTATGTAATTTTGTTCAAGGTTATTAAGCTAGTATAACATGCTATTGCTTTTTATTATCCTACAATGCCTCCAAAGACAACATGTAAGTACAGGGGAGACAATGTTAATGTTCTTTTCTTTTTTTTTTGGTGGTACTGGGATTTGACCTTAGGGCTTCATGCTTGCTAGTTGGGGACTCTACCACTTGAGCGGCTCTGCCAGTTCAATGTTCATGTTCTTATACTGATGAAAACCACAAGATGCTTATGTCAAGTTAACTATCAAAGATGATTTATGATTTCTGCAGAATTACAGAGTATTATCAGAAGCCCCATGACCTTGGGGCACACAAACACTTGGGTTTCTGCCGCAGTTGCACAAAAAAGTTGCTACCAAATAGCTTACAAGCTGATACCTACTTCTCAGCTCAATTTTATCCCAAGTAATTTTAAACATATACTTTTTTCAGTAACTTAAACATATACTGCCTGTTCTTAGATAAAATTATGCCCCATATCTTTTTATTATATTATGTTGCAGTTATACAATATAATTATATTATATTGCAGTTCGAAGCTAGCCCAAATAAATAGTTCTGAGAGCCCCTACCTCGAAAAAAACCTTCACAAGAAAGTGCTGGTGGAGTGGCTCAAGGTGTAGGCCCTGAGTTCAAGCCCCAGTACACCTCACCCCCCCCAAAAAAGAATCCACCAAAGCAAGCTAAGCTCTGTATCTACCATACTTTTCTATTGAACTTCTTTCGTCTTTTCTGAATTCTACATATGCCCATTGCAGTTAATCTTTCTAATAAGTTATTGTTTATCCTACAAACTTTTCTGAGTAGTCACTGTCGCCTATCTTTTTGCTTATTCCCAACTGTTTACTAAGACTTAGTTCCCTGGAACACTTACTCCTCTCCCATTTTGTACATGTTCTTTCATAAATAACCAAATACCCCTCTCAAAGGCCAGCTTTCAAAAATGTGTCTTCTTTGGGGAATGATTTTTTTTGTTTTGAGTACTGGGATTTGACCTCATAGCCTCATGCTTGCTACATGGGTGCTTTACCACCTGGGCCATGCTCCCTCCCCCAGTCCACTAGGAACTCCTGTCAGTCTTTATAATGGACATTCTACAGTGTTCTAGGCTCAGTATTATTCTGCTTTTATCTTTTCCTAGTTGAACTGCATTAGAAAAAGTTAAGTTACAACCATCCAATCAAGTTTAAATTGTTAAAATTAGGTTAAAACTGTATTTCTACCCTCAAACTTTCTCCTGAGCTCTCATAAAGGCCTCCATATTAAAGGTCTTATTTCTCTACTACATCTGCCTTTACTCAAACATGGCATACTGTTCTTCCATTTCCAGGGGGGGATGACTAGAATTCCCTATTCACTTTACTTGCTCTTCAATAAACTGTTTTTTGTTTTGTTTTTTAATTATGAGACTTGTAGTAAAGTATCAAGCTGTATTCACTGAGCCAAAATGGGATGTTAGCAAATAATTTTTCCACATGTAGCATACTATCTACACTGATGAGTTCATTGGTTAATACTGTTTTTAAACTTCCATTTACTGAGTAATTAGGATGTCCCAGGAACTATATTTCAAGTACTTTTAAAACCTTAATCTCATTCTTTTGATCTAATTAATACCAATTTCTTGTTGAGAAAAGCTCAGCAAAATTAAATCATTTGCTCAAGATCTCCCCCTCCTACTCCATCTCTCCTCCACCCTTGACTGATAACAGGGCTAACATAATGTTAAGTAAATGAGTTATGATTTTTATTCTGGCCAGTGCTTTGCTCTTTGAAGAGATTTATGAGATCCTTAAGGACACAATGACATTGTCTTACTCATTTTTATGTTTTCTACAGTTTAAAACAATGCTTGCAGACATCTCAAGTAAAGTAACGCTTAGATAAATGGGGTTTTAAACTTGTAAAGTAAGCTGGCATGTTCATAACAGGCACCATTTATTGGCATTTAATCTATACCAGTTTTAAATACTTCATAAAATCTCACATACTCCTTACAACCAAACTTACAAGGTGCGGCTGAAGGTGTGGCTCAAGTGGTAGAGCACCTGCTTTCTAAGTGTGAAGCCCTGAGTTCAAATCACAATCCAACAACAAAAAACAAAGAACTTACAAGATGGGTATTACCACCCCTATTTTATTTAAGAAACCAAGACCAAGAAGTTAAGAAACTTGCCCAAGATCATAAAACAAAGGAGCAAAATGCAATTTGTCTGTTTCAAAGCCCTGCTGTTAACTTCCATGATAGGTAACTGCCATAGTTTAGATCTGAAATGTCCCTGCAAGTCCATGTGTTGAAGGCTTGATCCCTAGCCCATGGTGTTACTGGGAGAGGATGGAATCTTTAGAAGGGAGGGAAGCCTAGTAGAAGGAAATAGGTCACTGGGGGTGTGTTCTTTAAGGAGATACTAATACCTTGGCTCTTTCCTATCTCTCTCTCCTCTTCGCTTCCCAGCCGCCATGAGACGAACAAGCCTCCTATGCCACACGGAGAAATACTGCACCATGATGTATTACATGCCACGAGCTGAACTGACCATGATCCTTTTATGACCTCTTTTTTCAGCTATATATATATATATATATATATATTTATATTTTTATATATATATAATGGCCATGTTGGTGACTGAACCCAGAGCCTTCCATATGCTAGGCAAGCACTCTATCACCAAGCTACATTCCCAGCCTTTCAAGTATATTTCAAGACATCCCCAATGGCTTCTGCCTACAGATTTCCTTTATCTTTTCCCTAACCTGACTACTACTTACATTCTAGGTCCTTTTAAAAATTGTTTTCTGATAAAGGGTCTTGCCATTGTGGCCTAGGCTGTCCTTGAATTCAGCATATAACCCAGGCTGGCTTTAAACTTGTTACATAGTCTATGTTGGCCTCAAACTCATGATTGTGCTGGGATTACAGACATGCCTCACCACACTTAACTACTCTATCTGGTCTCTTAAAACCTCAACTCAAAGGTCACCAAAAGTTTTCTAATTGCTAAGGTCAAAAAAACTGTTTTTCAGTTATTGTCCTCATTTTGCCAGCAGTAAGTGATGAGTGTTGACAAGCCCTGTTGCTATTTTAAACTCACATGCTGGGATTTCTGTGATAGTTTATCCTTTTTTCTGTGTCTCAATTACAGTTTCTCTATGCTGTCTGCTATTGTTATTTTCCCATTCTTTACTCTTGTCTATCTTCTTGTGTCTTGCTCATAATCTTTGTTTTTTCTTTTTAGGTGGGGGTATAGTACTGGGGTTTGAACTCAGGATCTCACACTTGCTAGGCAGGTGCTCTACCACTTGAGCCACTTCCCCACCCCCCTTTTTGTGTGATGGGTGCTTTCGAGACAGAGTCTCACGAACTATTTGCTAGGGCTGGCTTCAAACTGCCATTCTCCTGATTTTTGTCTCCCGAATAGCTAAGATTATAGGTATGAGCCACTGGCACCCAGAACAGATACTCCTGCATATTTCAAAAGCTTTAACATTGTTATTGTAATAATGTCTCTCCAATCTTAATATTAATTTTGTACCAGTGCTACCAGGGAAAATTAAAATGATTCATTCACTACCCCTCAAACATGCCTAGTGTTTTCTGGTTTTAGAACTTATTAAGCCACCTTTTCTCTTAGGTTGTAGAACATTCTCCCAAGTGCTTTTTTGCTATACAAATCTGGATATCCTACAAAGACCAGTTTAAATTACAGTTTTTTGGCAGAACTTTCCCAGATGATCACAGTCTAAGCTGATTTTGCTCCTCCAAACTGTGCAAATACACAGTATGCAACTTATTTAATCCAAATCTATTTACAATGTTATTAGAATCTGTTGTTTTCTTAATGACTTTTCTATACTGTTATATCCTGCCATTCTTTCAACACAAAGATCATAGATGACACTGTACTTTTTTGTATTGGTCATAAATACCAATCACACTGCTTGTGCAAAATGGAAAGTGAATTAATGCTCACTGGCTTTCCTCTAACAACAAAGTAAATCACATTTGTTTTTTTGCAGTGGCTGAAATTCATCCAGGGAATTATTCTGTGTTTAGGTAAGGGAGCTAGGGATACATACATGAACATCTGAAGTCTACCCTCAAGGAGGTTACATATAAGAAAACAAGTAGATGTAATAAAGTATAGCTGTCAAGAGACACAGAATGCTATGTAATCATAGATACAAGGACTAATTAGATCTTTGCATGTATGTGATAGAAAAGGATTCACAAAAAGGATGGCATGGCATGAAGAGCAATTTCCCAACTAAAAGAAAAGAAGTAGTAAAATGGAAAAACCAGATGACTGTACTGAGGCTATTAAAAATTATACATGCCTTCAGCACTTTGAACACTATAGGACCGGGAAGTGACAAATAACCCATGGGCCTAATCTAGCCTGAAGCATTTTTATATGGCTCAAGTTAATTATCTTTGCATTTTTAAAGGGGATATAAAAATAAAGATGAAGATGAAGAATCCCTACCACCAGCAATATACAATAAAGACCATAGATAAGTAGAACATATTATTATCTGGCTCTTTACAGATTTTTTTTTTTTTAAACTAATCCCCACTATAAATGGTTTAGAATCCATTGAACGGATTTAGGAAGGACTATGACATATTCAATTCTTTTTTCGAAATGGAGTCTATATTGTCCAGGTTGGCCTCAACCTGGCTAAACTCATCTTTAATCCTAAGCTTCCATTGTTTTGCTAAGGGGAATGAGTGAGGAATAAGGGGGAAGAGGAAAGCAGCAGACAAAGTATTCAATCTCGAGTGATCAGATGGATGGTAATGTTACTATAAAATAGCGAATTAGGAGGAACAGGTTTATGAGATGTAGCTAATTCAGTGGACTGCTGCAGAGTCTGGAGCCAACAGTACAATACTATACACATAACTGGCAATGAATGAACATTTGGCGAGTAATTCAACAGGAAAAAACAAATACTGTATGTTTTCTGATTTATTCTCAAACCTCTGTTGCACAAGGTGCATACACTGACTCCAAACCATACCTTGGAAGGAGGTGGTACAGGCTTAGGAACCAGGTTCTTATAGACACTTGGGACTATGGTTGATGCTTTGTTCCCATTTGCATGGTGAGATCCTGGTGAGGTGAATGCAGCAGAGAAGGCGGCAGCAGGATCTTCTTTGGAAACTTTTTTGATGACTAGCATCTTTGAGGGTTGCTTGGCACTAGGTGGGTTTTCTATGAAACACAACAGAGGAGACACAAAACAATGTCATACCCACTGGGTAACACCTGTTGAGTATGATTTATACAAAGGCCTCACCTGCAACAAAGGTTAAGACAAGGGAACAAACATTACCCAGTGCACATTTCACAGATATTCTAAAAAATGGGAACTGTGGGGAAAAAGGAAGCATATGAAGCATTTGATACTAAGGTCATAAACTAGTCAGAAAGCAACAAAGATGTAACAAGTCACTCAGGGGGCACAGCTAACACAATATATGACCAGTTAAGCAAGACCAGACTAAACATGAATATAGCTAAGGGCAGAAGCCAGGTGAGGTGTGTTGGTTCATGCCTATAATCCTAACACTTAGGAGGAGCCTGAGGCAAGAGGATCATAAGTTCCAGGCCTACACGGGCTACTTAGCAAGACTCTCTTTCAAAAAAAACCAACAAACAAAATCAAGCCAAATTGAACCAACCAACCAACCAACCAACCAACCAAAAACAAACCCAGTGTAACAGCTCGTTGGCAAGGATATATAGTAATAGACAAACAACACCCCCCCCAAAAAAAAAACAAACACCCTAACAAAACCCTGTTTCCAAAATTAGGCCTCTAAAAGCTTTCAGTTGTCTATACTCCAACTCCGATACTGTGATTACGCTTCAATGGTATTTTGTCAGGCAATATACCATCTAAGTGTCCTTATCAAAATTTAAATTGGTGAAGAATTAAAAGGTGTTAGCTACCCTGGGCAAATGGATGAGATGAGAAGCAAGAAATAAGCAAAAAATGGTTTTTTTTTTTTTTGCTCCTCTCCTCAGTAAGAAAAAATTGAAAGTTGTGTTTTTAAAATGGCAAAATCTACCTACCCCACACTCCAGAAGGGGTCCCAATAGGTCTGCATAGCTGATTCAGTTTGCCAGCTTCTGGATTCAAAGAAGGCTAGGAAAAAAAGGATATGAATAGTTGATACAGAAAGCTGTTCATCTGGCCATTACCATGGAACCTATCAAATATTTACAAATGAGCACCACTTACTAATTTAACACTGTGTTCAAAACAGAAAATGTTGAAATGCAAAATCAACAGGCATTATGTTAATTTTAGGCTCTCTTGAATTTCATTTTTTTTTAAATAAACAGACTAAATGTGCAAGTTCCCACCTTACTATAGGGTATATATGCCAAATAATGAGACACAGAAGGCAAAATGAACAAGAATGTGGATTTTTCTCAGATTAAAGGGGCAATCTGGTCAGTGAAATGTATAGTATTCTCTGTAGTTCTAAGACTGGATCAGGACAGAGCAGGCCACTTGCCAGGAACTACACTAGGAATATGAAGGTAAGTAAGAATAGCCCTTGTTCTCACAGGACTAATTCAGGCAGGAACAGATATTCCCACTTGAAAGAGAAGTGCTACTAAAAAAAATTTAATTCCGAAGCTGGAAAATGGGTGATTCCAAGAACAGAAAGCTTCTGGAAAGCAGGAGTAAGAATAGAATATTGAGACATCTGCAAATAGTTCAGCATGAATAGTGGTAGGAAAAGAAGGGGGCCTTCTGTAGAGAAAGAGATGTCTAGCAAGTAGGCAATGGCCAGCTTATGAAGGATTCTTTTTAAGATTAAATTTTATCCTATAGGCAATGGGAAACCATCCTTCATGTGATCCAGTCATTAATTTACAGGTCATTCTAGTAGAAGCTTTAAGGATGGATGAGAAGCTTAAGCATCATTATCTCCATTAGGAGATAAATTCCATAGCCCAGGAGAGTAATGAAGACAAGAGGAATAGTGGAAGATGAAGATGGAGAAGAGCTAAGAGCAACAGACTAGACTTAACTAGTATGACTTAACTAGGTATGAGGATGTTACTGATGTCCAAGTCTAAACTTTACAGTCTGGGAATGGAGTAGGAAAATAGCTTTCAACACAACTGCCCATAGAACACTAAAGAAACAAAATGCTACCCACATTCTGCTACAGAACTGAGTCAGAATTTCTAGGGGTGGGAATCCAGCTGGTATATATTTTTTAATCAGTCAAGGTGAGAACCACTAGACTAGAACAAGTACAAATTTAATAAGACTACCAAGTCACTATATAAATGGATAAATCAATGACAGACTATCAAGGACCAATACAAACATTCCTCTAGAGGGAATAGTAAAGACAGAAAGTGTTTCCATGGATAAAATCTGTGGTTATTTTATTTCGATAGGCTTTTTTTGCTGGTGGTGGTACTGGGATGTGAATTCAAGGCCTCATGCTTGCTGGGCAAACATTCTACCACTGGAGTCACTATGCCAACCCTTTTTGTGTTGGGTATTTTTGAGATAGAGTCTCACAGACTATTTGCCTTGGGCTGGGCTTGAACCATGATCCTCCTGATCTCTGCCTCCTCAGTAGCTAGGATTACAGGTGTGAGCCTCTGGCCCTCAGCTGATAAGGACATGCTCTTAAATCATATTCTATTCTTGGGCTCTCAAAGCTACTGCCCCTATTTATGCAATATCCTTGATCTCTTTCCATTGATCTTATAAATCTGATGCTCCTCTTCCCCATGCTCCCTTACCTTCTAGAAATAATCACTATCTTGACTTAAAGTGATCAATTCCTTTGCTTTTCTTTTAGTACACAAGTAAGTATCCCTCAAAACTTCCTACAGGTTATCTACTTAATATTTAGGTTACTTAAAAAATAATCTTAGGGGCTGGGACCTTGACTTGAATGGTAGAGCACCTGCCAGGCAAGTACGAGGCTGAGTTCAAACCTCAGTACTACAAAAAAAAAAAAAACCAAACCTTAAACTTATACTTCTTTATTTCCTATAAATTGGTAAGTGGTTCTAGAAGCTACAAGAACCACCCCCCCCCCCACCGCCTTTTTGTTTTGTTTTCAGAAGGCACACTTGGTAGTTTTGTGTTCTTCCACTGAGAGACATATACCATCTGGGCATATGGGTGTGGGGTTTTGGGTTTTTTTGATGCTAATACTGATGCTCAAAGCCTAAAACTACTAACTCAATATAAGGTGCAAAACAATGATCTTATTTTGTAATTCCTTTTTTATTAGCTCCTATACTTCCATAAAAAGGAAATTCTCATCTACTACTTGAGTGATGCAGTGGTACAGTTTATATAGAATACAGGATAGATACATGCTTGCTCCTAAGATGAGGGAGGTGTCATTGCAAACTCACAGATCTAATCATGCTTGTTATCATTTAAACCTTGCAGTTTTCTGGAATCATTTTGATAGAAATTTAGTTATCTTTCATTATTTCTCTATTTAGAATGAAAAAATATTCCAAGCTTATCTTATTCCTGCTCAGAAATAGTATTTCAAGATCACAATCTAGGAACTAGTTGGCTGGCTGTTCACTGACGGGGCTGGTAATTGTTTTAACTTTTTCCATGGATGGTACTTGGAAATATATCTTCAGATTATTCTCCACTTACAATGGTGTTACATCCCAAGAAAACCACTGCAAGTTGAAAAAAAAAAATTTTTTTTGAGACAAGGTCTCACTATGGAGGCTGCTGTCGAACTGGTGCTCTTCCTGTCTCCATTTCCCAAGTACTGGGGTTACAAATGTGCAACACCATGTACAGACGTAAGCTTAAAATATCTTAAGTCAAAAATGTATTTAATACACCTATCCAACGGAACATCATAGCTTAGCCTAGCCTATAAACATGCTCACAACACTTATATTAGCCTATAGTTGGGTGAAATCAACACAAAGCCTCATGTAATTTGTTGAATACTATGCTGAAAGTAAAAAAACATAATGGCTATATGGATATGCTTTTGCACACTGTAAAGTTTTGAAAGGTCAGCAGGCTGATTCATCATAGTTAGGGACCATCTAAATTCAAAGACAAACACCTCATAATTTATCATTGATATTTCCAATCTTAGTTGAGTACTTGAGGTTTTTAACAGAACATCTTATCTTGTATTTGTATTTTCTTTCTTAAACACAGAATTCTTATTCTCAAGAACACAAAATAAAGAATATCATATATACTTGCTTTTGTACCATCACACAATCTCAGAATAGCAATGTCAATATATCACCAATATGATTACTATAACAATCTTTTTGGATGAGCTTTCCTTATTTTCTCATTTAAGAAGTAGTTATAATTCAGAGCACATAGGTATTATGTGCTCTATTTTAAGCTTCATTTAGTCTTAGTTTTACAATTAACTTTTTTTTTTTTCTTTTCAGTCCTGGGGATTAAGCCTTGTGCATGCTATAAAAGAACTCTATCACTAAGCTATGTCCAAACCCAATGACCATATATTTAACATTTATCATCATTCTATTCTTTTTTGGTGTTATCTTTCTGGTTGTTTGAAGCTTGTTGTCTAAGGGTAAGTGCTGAAAAAATATCCTTGAGTTTGTACACTTTTTTCCTGTTTGTGACCTTATAACTGAAGATAAGCTTGACAGAGTAGAAAATCCTAGGCTCACATTTTCTTTCCTTGAGTACTTTAACTATTATTCCATTCCCTTCTCTGTTATAAAGCTTTCCTGTCTAAGTGACCTGATTTTCTGTCTCTGACAAGTCTTTTTGGATGCCTAGAAGATGTCTTCATCTCTTCCTCTTCCTCCTCTTTCTTCTGTCTGCCGTACTTGTTAAGATATTTTTCTTTTTTGTTCAAGTCTATTATTTTATTTACTTAATAGTCCTATGAATCGTACTCAGGGCCTTGTGCTTACTAGGCAGGCACTCTACCACATTAGCCATATCCCCAGCCCTTTTTGCTTTAGTTATTTTTAGGACAGGCCTACTTTGGACCTTAATTCTCCTACCTATGCTTCCAGAGTAGCTGGGATTATAGGCAAGTGCCTGCCTAAGTCTTGCATTTTATGGTTATATCATAATGGTTGGATGTTAAGGCTGTCCTTTCAAATTGTTGTTTCAATTTTTAACTGCATTTCAGGATTTTCAGAATTTAAGCTATTCCTCTGTTTTGGTGTTCTTAAGGGTTGGGGGTCCTATTACATACTGGATCTCTTTTGCCAAACTTCTGTGTTACTTTTTCTTAGTTTTAATTTTTTATCTATTCATTTCTTGTCTTCTCTTGAAAAATATTACTATTCATTTTTTTGGGGTTCCTTCTTGCTTACTCTTCACTTTTCTGGAATTTTTCATTACTTCTTTCCAGAGTCCTAGCATTTTAGATTATGCTGGTTTTTTTACATAATGGCATCATTTTTAAGACAGGTTATAATTTTTGCATATCTTACAGACATGCTTTGCATTTTTTTATTGTGATACTCTGCTTCTCTCTCTCTCTCTTTTTGATGGTATTGCGGTTTGAATTCAGGGACTCATCCTTTCTAGAAAGGTACTCTACCACTTGAGCCATGCCCCAGCCTTTTGGCTAGCTTTTCTAATATCCCATTCTGTTGTATTCAAAGACTGTGCAACAATACAGTGACTTACTTTCTTTAATGTCCTGGTTGTTCTGCTCCCTTCCCCCTTTTATCTGAACTTTCCCTTTCCTTTGTTTCTATTGTCTTTGTGCAGCTCAATCTGGATTGTATTTCCAACAGTTTGTCCTCAGTGAGGAGCTTTGTTCTGGAAGGGAATATTGGGTGGTTAGTATGAACAATGGGAAGACTCTTTGCTGCTTCTGGTAATTTATTGCTTTTAGTTCCAAAGTCATCCCTTCTGTCTACTCTGTGTAAATGTTACCTGGCACTTTTAAATTCTTTCCTTGACAGTTGGCATGCTTGCTTTTGTCACTGGATAGCACTGGAGAGTTTTGCTTCCTATTCTAGTGTGCTTACTCAGCAGGCTCCTGTAGCACCTAGTTCCTCAAAGCCAGGTTCTAAAGTGCAATTGAGATCTGAGGCAGCAGCTTCCCTTGGCACCCCACGAGTGCTTTTGTAGCAGAGAAACACCTCCCATGAATGGTTTTTCCA